ATCCTATGAGGGGGTCAACATTTCCATCTAGTAGTTCAACTTCAGATAACTAAAAAAGAACCTCACTTGATTTATTGTGCGGTGCAGATGGATTGTTGAAGCCTGCTCACAATGGACACTAACAATGTCAGCACCAGCCTTTATAAAATCAGATACTCTCTGTTCAGGCTCTACAATCATCTGCCATGACCAGATTATAAACTAACAAAAGCATTTCGAGAAGGAAGGTGTCAAATAATTGGTATGAAATGCCCAATGAGACATACAAGATGCACGTCCAGAGGAAGGGTTGTAATGGGGCGCAAGGAGTCGACAACAAGAGGTCCAATTGTAATATTTGGAACAAATCGTCCATCCATCACATCGACATGGATCCAATCACACCCAGCTTTCTCGACTGCTTTCACCTAAATCCATAGAAGCACTAGGGTCAAGTCTATACGCAACATGTCAATACCCCCATATTATTGCTTAAAAATATGTCCCACATGAAGAAGGAAAAAATTTAGAAGTAAAAACTACTGAGAATAACGGGTCATTTTAGCACTTCAGCGGATTTGTTAACTAGACCTGCTCTCCCAGCTTTGAAAAATTTGCAGAAAGGATGGATGGAGAAACTATAATGTTGCTTTTTGAAAAATCATCCACTCGGGAGCTAGCCCTCACAAATGTCTGCGCTCTTTTCCTGTATTTATCACATAAAAGAGAACAGTATAACAAAGTATTCCAACTAAGATAGCAAAACTACTTTCCCTATATTGACATAAATTCTGACTTAAAGCTTACAATTTGATATCTTTTTACAACTACTGCATTACTTACATTGAAAAACAATAGCCCCTAAGTGTAAAAAAGCTTGGGTTTCTACAAGTAATTTTTAATACTCTCACTCAAGCTAGAGCACATAATATGATCCATGCTTGATAATTTAGCTTAGATGTGTACGTCACGTGAATCCTCAACTAAATTTAACTGTAGCGAATTCTACTGCAATCTACTTTGATTTGACTAATTATAACTTAAACTCAACACTGTTGTTCTATACATTAGTTCTCTTCTTTGTTCTTTGCTTACTCTTTGTTTTTTCTTCTAGTTCTTTCATGATGAAATACATACTGGTTGTTTTCCATAGTTCTTTGCATAGTTTTCTTCTTTGTTCTTTGCATCATTGGGATGAAAATCTACGACAACAATGCTGAGGATATAATAAAGAAAGCTACTGTTTAAGTTGTTTTGGAAGATTAAATTGAGACATTGATTCAATAAACATTCACTATGATACGAGTACCTATACCACACATACAGATGTAGCATGAATATTCATTATCTGTTAACTGAATATTCATTTTTGACTACCAAAACACTCAACTTCGAGTAACTGAATACTCGTTTTAAAGCATAACTGAATTTTAGAGAAATGAGCACCCAGTTACACGAGAATGAGTAGTATCCACTCGTTCGAAAATGAGTATTCAGTTACTTGTAAATGAGCACTCTCCGCGGATGAAGGTAAACACCATACAACCGGTTGTACGGTATATATTGCTGTAAGATACTGTCAAACATAATCAATGATCAAAAGTAACATTGAACAACAAAAAAACCACATACTACCGCAGAAACAATAACACCCATAGCTTGTTGGGCAGAAAACCATGAGTTCAAGACAGCAATTCACAATAAAACCAATGTGAAAAAAAAAAGAATGGTAAAAACCATCAATCGCGAGAAATAGAAAACGAAAAAACATACCTACGGGTAGGGAATTTGAGGTTTAGCTTATGACGGTGAAGATTCAGAAAGAAGCCATTGATTTGGGACTGTAACAGAGCTGATGAGGCCAAAGTAGAAGCCGTCGCCATTAAATTTGTTGCGTGAAGCCAGGCTATGGATGAGTCGATCCGGATACTACGGAGAAATTATATTTTCAAAAGGCGATCCCAAAGGAGAGCGAAATGAGCCACGTGTGAGACAAGTCTTTCCGCTTGAGATAAGAAGAGACGGGCCTGTCGCTGTGGTTTGTGACTATCCAAAAGAGGACCGACAATTCAACTCGAACTCGATCTTAAACGTCTGGATCGATCGTTAAAATATCTGAATTCGAATCGTGAATAAAATAATTTGAAACTGACCAGAATTTTTTTATCTGAACCCGACATCGGGTCGGGTCGGGTGTGAGTTTATAATTTTACCTGATCCAAACCCGCACCCGACCCGACTCAAACCCAAATATTTTATAACATAAAAGCCTACCTATAGATATAATGAGTAAGGATGACAACGGGTAGAGTTCGGGTCGGATAGTACTATATTCGAACCTGATCCGACTTTTAAAAGTGAAACCTAAATCCGACCCGAAATCTGACTTTTTAAGCCCAAAACCTAACCCCAATCCGACATTTAAACCCAAACCCGAACCCAAATCTGTAATTTAACCAATAATCAATTCGACGTACCCCAATAATTATAAAAAAAGATTAAATCTAATTTTTTGTGTCTTTTTTTAGTGTCTCATTTTTTATTAAAGAATTATAAAAAAAAATTATAGAAGACATTCTTGATATAATAGCACCTTTTCAAGAAATTATACGGAGTGCTCATTATATTCATAGATAGACTTTTATGTTATAAAATATTCGTGTTTGATTCAAGTCGGGTGCGGGTTTGATTCGAGTCGAGTAAAATTATAAATTCACACCCGACCCGACCCGATGTCGGGTTCAGGTGAAAAATTTCAGGTCGGGTTTGAATTATTTTATTCTCAGTTCAGCTTGAGATATTCTAGTGGTCAGTCGATTTAGTTAAGATCAAGTTCGGGTTGAATTGTCATCCGTAATAATTAGCACTCCGTATAATCTCTTGACAAGGTGTTACTATATCAATTATGCCTTTTATAATTATTTTTATAATTCCTTAATAAAAATGAGACACAAAAAAATGAGACTCAAAAAATTTAGATTTAATCTTTTTAAAATTATTAGGGTACGTCAAATTTATTATTGGTTAAATTACGGATTCGGGTTCAGATTTAAATGTCAGATTCAGGTCGGGTGAAATTTTTGGCTCAAAAGATCAGGTTTCAGGTCAGGTTTGGGTTTTAGTTTTAAAAGTCAGGTCGAATTCGGGGTAGTACTATCCGACCCGAACTCGATACGTTGCCATCTCTAGCCCAAAACCATACCGAAGAAGATCGAGCCAGAAACTTTTGAAAACCGAACCGAACGTTGATCTGAAGGAGCAAGTGGTTGGGGGTTAACGGATGAACCGATCAACCTAGGTCAATGATCTAGTCAATGATAATTATTAGGATATTTGTAAATTCGTGGGGCACAGCAGAAATCACCAATTGATAACTATGCAAACAGATCAAACAACTATACCGTAGAAAAGATACAGTAGCACTATCACAGTAACAGATGACACACATAGTGCTATAACATCTTCTCTGTTACAAGCACACATGCAGAATATAAAGTAAAAGCAGTAAACAATGCAAAAGAATTGTTTACGCAATTCATGGCAACTCTCATACGTCTGCGAGGCCCATGCCCATGTAACAGCCCTTCCACTAAATCATCATATGAATTACACAATCAATCACAATAGAACCTTCTAACGTATTGATCTGTCTACTTACGAATGACTTGACGACAAACTCTGTTTCCGTCTATCTCCATGCCTTATTACTCCTTCTCCAAGATCATCTTTAAGGACATATGTTCCAGTACACCTTTAACAAATATTCTGCCTTGATCTACAAAAATATGCAGGCTGATCCGAAGCTTGTAAATAAAGATTGAACTATTGGAATTTTATCTCCACCGTTCAGATTGAAGCTCCATGAGTCCTTAGACTCCTCCTAAAATTTTAGCACGATCTGACAAGATTTGGTACTCTGATCATCGACAAAACCAGAGTTGCATTTTTTTCAATAAACTAGCGGCAATATGTAGATCATAACTTTGATAATAGAAGATCCGTAACTCTGATTGACGTGAAAATTGAACAAGTTGAAGCCCTATGTGTTGAGAATATTCTCTGAAAATTTAAACAGAATCCAATAGTCGGATCTCCAACGATGCATTGCTGTCTTGAAACTTTGCATTGTCAATTCTCTGAAGCCCTCGTGCAAGCTGTCTTGAAACTTTGCATTGTCAAAATTAGCACCTTCTCCCTTTTCTTTTGATCGGATCTGCTTATGTTCTTTTGTATTTTCTCCCCCTAAAACAGTAAGGGAAGGTGAAGATAATATATGGAATAGAATAACTCTGTTAGAGTGTAGTTAGGAGTCTCAACAATGGCTTCCTCCTCAAAAATAGTAAAGCAAGTAGGATTAGAATACTCTCTTCAAACTCTTTCTTCTTTCTCTTTCTGCACACGTTAGGACTATAGTCCTAAATAAAACATCTAAAATAATTCTAGGTAAATCTATTCATTTGTCAAAAATAATGCCAACATAATTTGAAACTAACAATCTCTCCCTTTGGCAATTTTTTGACAAAAGCGAATCTCAGTTGTTTTGAACCTCTTCTCCCCCTTTTTTGCATAAAAATGCCAAAGGTTTATTAAGAATGGTGGGGAAAAAAGAGAAGAGTAACATTCAAGCGAGCTCGAGTATTACAATAATGAATATCAAAATAAACCTAGACTATGTCACATTAGCCTAGCCATACTTGAGTGACTCCCCCTCGGACGATCCATCCGAAAAAGTAACAATTTGCAAAAATAGAAAGACATATATATAACCAGCAAAGATATCTATGCTCTAAGGTTTTCCACGCTGGAAAAGAACACTTCTTTGAGCATCCACTCGATCAGGTAGAGATGGGTGTGCACAGCCCCAAATGGGATCTAAGTATACCAAACTGATTCACATCAAATGCTCTTTTACACATGTCCAATGCCTGATTTTTCACTCTTATAACTGGGAGGTGTCACCTCTTCACACTTATTAGATGATTCAGCACTCTTAACAGCACAATGATCTATTTTCTTTTCTCCTTAATGCAAACTTGCACTACCAATATGGTATTAATCGGGAGCAACATCCTTCATACAAGGATTATCACCTGTTTTGTTCTGATTTTTAGGTACCCAAATCAACCTTGTTGTCGCATTCTTTTCTCTGTATCTTTGCTCTTTAAAAATTTTACATTTCCTCTAATGTGTCCCCTTTTTCTACAGAAAAAACAAACATAATTAGCATAGACATTTATATAAGAATACCTTTTAGGTTTAATGATCCTTGTGTCTTCTCATACTAGATTGTGTCACAACTCTTTGCCTTTTTACATATGGTGCTGCATTGGATGTTCGAGTAGAAGCTTTATGATATGCTTCAGCGGGTGTGGCAGAAGATGTTTTAGCGGATTCGGTAGTTTTCTTCTTTGTGGGGCCTTTTGAGCAACTTCCTTTCTTTGATCAACAAATAAGTCAAGTGGGGTCTTGTTGCTTCTGGAACCTGAAAATCCAAGACCCGTCTTGTCTCCATAGAATTTTGAAATATTCACTTGTCCCTCAATGGCTTTTTCTCCAGCACTCCTCATCCATTTGTGATAGTTTTGGAGTTGATTTAATTCATGCTTGAGATCAGATTGTTTCACTTCTAAGTCTTCAATCTTCTTTTCTAATTCTGAAATATCCTCCTTTAGTCTATTTTGCTCGGTAACAAGCGGATGGTTCTCTAGGATAGTTTTCTTGTTGGCTTGAAGAAGTTCTGCCCACTTTCTTTAGAGAATAGCTAGCTCTTCTGCTGTGTCAACCTCTGTGTCATCTTTTGTATCATCCCTACTGTCATCCTCTGCTGTAACTTTACCTTTGTATCTCTGTAACTCTTTAGTGAGTTGTTCCACATCGCATTTTGATTTAGCAAGTTCACGTTTGAGATTATCATTATCTAAACATTTTTTCTTGTTGACCCGTAGAGACTCTTGAAATTTTTCTTCAACAATTATAAGCATCTCCTTTGGATCAATGTCACCATCATAGTCATCGTCATCACTGTAAAAAGTTGAAAATGCACAGCATGTTTCAACACTGTCTTTCACATGCCGCATATCTCTTTCAACGGGAATGACACACAGCTTCTCACGTCATAGATCTTCATGCATCTCCAACTCAATGGTTTCTAAGTTCTCCATCAGCTCATCAAGAGACATAGTATTGAGAGATTGTGGTCTCATTTAGGAACATCGTTTTCGATTAGCGTTAGCATTTTGGACAAAATTTTAACGGTGTAGATTAATTCTGAAAACGTTATCGCTAAAGGCTACCGTCGGATAGCCTTTTCAAACAGCTAACGCTAATCTCTAACGCTGATGCCAAACGGGGCATGTGTTTCTCTAATATCTTTAACGTCCATAGAGTATTTTACTAGAAGAGAACGTAGAACTTTCAGCACCAGCTTGTGTTCTGTAATTGGTTCACAAAGCCTTTCAGCCTCATTAGCCAACTCCCAAACTTGCTCATAAAAATTTGTGATAGACTCAGCATCCTCTATCTTAAGATTTTCAAGTTTAGACATCACGATCTAAAGTTTGGCTGTCTTGGCATTTGTAGTGCCTTCATGTGTAATAAGAAAAATGTCCCAAGCTCTCTTGGCCTCTGTGCAGTTTAAGTTAAGGCAAAACTGATTTTTGTCCACTGCTCTAAAGATTGCATTCAAGGATTGACCATGTGATTCTGCTGCATCCTTTCGTTTCTTGTAGTATCTTTCATAAGGTTTCTGAATAAGTTCTCCATCTCCATTTGTCATAGCAGGAGCAAACCATCCAACCTCTATGTTTCTCCAAACATGTCCACCAAGAGACTTGAGAAAGGCTCTCATTCGACAATTCCAAAAAGTATAATCATGGCGCATAATAGTGGAGGTCTAAAAACATTAGAACCTTCTTAACTTCTCCCATGATGGATCTTAAGCTGATAACTTGAGTTTAACTGCTCCGATACCAATTATAAGTTCGTGGGGTGTAGTGAAAATCACCAATTGAAAGCTTTCCGAACAGATCAAACAACTATGTTGTAGAGAAGATACTGCAGCACTGTCACAGTAACAGACAAAATACTATAACATCTTCTCTGTCACACGCACACACACAGAATATAAAGTAAAAGAAGTAAACAGTGCACATGAATTGTTTACACACTTTAGAGCAACTCTCCTACGTCTGCGGGACCCACGTCCGTGTAACATCCCTTCCACTAAATCATCGTATGAATTACACAATCAATCACAATAGAACCTTCTAACGTATTGATCTGTCTACTTACGAATGACTTGACGACAAACTCTGTTTCCGTCTATCTCCACGCCTTATTACACCTTCTCCAAGATCTTCTTCAAGGACATATGTTCCAGTACACCTTTAAACAAATATTCTGCCTTGATCTACAAAATATGCAGGCTGATCCGAAGCTCGTAAATAAAGATTGAACTATTGGAATTTTATCTCCACCGTTCAGATTGAAGCTCCATGAGTCCTTAGACTCCTCCTAAAATTTCAGCACGATCTGACAAGATTTGGTACTCTGATCATCAACAAAACCAGAGCTGCATTTTTTCAATAAACTAGCGGCAATATGTAGATCATAACTTTGATAATAGAAGATCCGTAACACTGATTGACGTGAAATTGAACAAGTTGAAGCCCTATGTTTTGAGAACATTCTCTGAAAATTTAAACAGAATCCAATAGTCGGATCTCTAACGATGATCAAAGATTCTGCCTTGATCTAAAAAAATAAGTAGGCTGATCTGAAGCTCTTAAATCAAGATTAAACTGTTGGAATTTAATTTCCACTGTTCAGATGGAAGCTCCACAAGTCCTTAGACTCCTCCTATAATATCAGCACGATAGGACAAGATTTGGTACTCCGATCATTGATAAAATCAGAGCTTCATTTTTTGCAATAAACCACCGGCAATATGCACATCGTAACTTTGATAATAAAAGATTTGTACCTCTGATTGACGTGAAAATTGAACAAATTGAAGCCCTATGTGTTGAAAATATTCTCTGAAAATTTTAGCAAAATCCAACGTTCGGATCTCCAGTGATGATCAAATTCGTGTAGTCTGTCCTGAAAATTTGCACTGTCAAAATCTTCACCTTCTTCTTTTTAACACCTCATCATCCATGTCAACAAGAGCATTGACGTGAAGTTTCTTGATTAAAACCCTTAATATACATAATTAATTTATTATTTTAGAAATAAAATTATACATAAAATTTTAAATAAGAGAGGAAAACTTTGGCCGAAATGAAAATTTTTGTATGATTTTTGTAACTGATTAAATTGTTAGTACATACTACCTCCGTCCTAGAGTATTTGTCCACTTTCATTTTTACACACCATCTAATACACTTCTTTAATCTATTTTATCTTGTAATTTGTATATTAAAAAATTATAGAAATTATATATTAATAATCTATATGTTAAGACAAATCAAACAAGATCACACATGACTATATTTAGGCTTACACATTGAGAGAATTTAATGAGTTAAAATGCTTAGATGAATAGTTTCAAAAGTCAAAACTGGATAAATACTCCGAGACGGAGGGAGTATTTATTTTTTAATTTATAAAGTAATGGAAAATGTCATGTGTCATTCATATCAATATTTTGAATAATATGAAAAGTATTTAAACCAATAAGGAAAAGGTCATATGCTGTTACAAAAATTTTAACTAGTATTGAAAATATCTAACAAAATTACATACTCCGTATATTTTTATTTAAATTTTAAAATAAAGATTTATATAATGATTAGTACATGCGCTTCGTTACTAACTCAAAGTTTCTATTTTTGATAAGCTATCATATACTCCCTCCGTTTCTTAAAACCATTCCCATTTTGACTTTGAGCCAAAATAAGGAAAGTGTAATTTTGATTGATTTTCTAATTTTGCCCCTGATGTGATGGGTAAAAATAAGATGTGATAGTTTGATTATTAGTGAAAAAGTATGATGTGATATGTAGGGTAGGATAAAAGTAAGGATAAAAGTGATTTTTTAATAAAAAGTGGAAGTATTTTAGGGAATTGGAAAAAAATGAAAGGGGAAAAATTTTATGGAACATAGGGAGTATAAAAATTAGAAAAGTAATTTATATATTTGTAATGCATACCAAAAAGAAATATACACAAACCTTGTAATGTTATACTCCCTCCGTCCCACTATATTCGTTCATTTTTTACTTTTCGAACTGTTCATCTAAGCACTTTGACTCATCAAATTCTCTCAATGTGTAAGCCTAAATATAGTCATGTTGATCTTGTTTGATTTGTCTTAACATATAGATTATTAATATATAATCTCAATAATTTTTTAATATATAAATTACAAGATAAAATAGATTAAAGAAATGTATTGGATGGTGTGTAAAAATGAAAGTGGACAAATACTCTGGGACGGAAGTAGTATAAGAATATAAGTATTCATTTTTAACCAAGAATGTAACAAATAGTATCTAGAGTTTTGATTCATTGCGCCACGCAGATTCAGATGAGGGTGTTGATGACGATTGGATAACAATTGAGTTTCTTGAATGAAATCAAATGTTCCATGATCTCAAACCATAAAATAGTTTTAAAAAAAAGGTAGTAATAATTATGTTATTGTGGAACAATGACCAAACATTTTGGATTGTGTGATAGTACAAGATTAATCGTTGAAGAGCTACGAAAGAACGTTATCGGTGCTATTGTAGTTTCAGAAAATCGATTCGGGGAAAATTTTTACATATTCCTGATGAATTTGATACCATATAATATAGGATTACAGCACCCCAGTAGACATTGATAGCAGATGAACAATTACATGCAATGGTGACATGGTGTACATTGACCAGATTGCAGTTGCTCCATGGGTGAAAATTGACAACTTTTTTTTGGGTTCATTAAGTTACAATAAGACAAAAAAACATTAAGCTAGTTCATAAGCACAAAAACATCATTGAGCCAACTTTTCATCCCTAGCTAAGATCATGCTCCACAAAAAGTAATTCAAAACACTTCCAAATCTTCATCTACAAAGTTACCTCTTCGCCGCGCACCAGCCTAGCCTGCAGCGACACCAAATCTGCAACCATCCCGCCAAGTTTCTCATATTCCTCCCACACATTGGCCCATTTCTTCTCAACCTCTCCCGCCACAGAACAATCCAGCAAAGTAGCCTTTTCCTTCCATGTACCCAGTGTCTCCTCGGGTGTCAGCGGATAGTATTTCGCACTCAAAGATTTGAGGAAATAAGGGTATTTGGACCCGAAATCCTTCTCTCCATTCTCCATTCCAACTTCGACTACACCATTCGTAGCAATCTGTTCACCGTTTCCATTACCAATTGTCTGGTCATTCTCCATTCCAGCTTCGACTACACCATTCGTAGCAATCTGTGCACCGTTTCCATTACCAACCGTCTGGTCATTCTTCCCCTCACCAGCAACAGTCTGGTCATCTTTTTCCACAACTGCAATCTTCTGCTTCATCTTTTTGCTCACCACAATTTCTTCATCTTTGGGTGCTTTTCTCTTCTTCGCTTTGCTCTTTCCCAATGCATTACTGCCACTGCTAATTTCAGAACCCCAAATTTTCTGGGAAAGTTGGAAAGTCTTGAGATCAGTAGGATCAGAAGTAGAAGGGGCGGCATCCTTGAACCTCCGCTTAAGCCTCCTTAACTTCTCACTCACCTGGAGCCTTGAAACCTCGACATTCAACTTGTCCTTGACGAAATCATAGAAATTTGTGACATTCCCGAGAGCGTCCGCTTTTTTTTGGGAATTGTAGTCAATCTTAGCTTGGAGAAGAACAATCTGATCTTCGTCGCTAAAAACTCGCTTTCCCGCAGACTTCTTTTCCTGTGTTTTAGGACTGGCTGTACTCTTCCTCTTGTTCTTGATCTTCTTCTTCTTCTTCTTCGTCTTCACGTCGTCCAGAGTGCGACTCGGAGCTGGCTCGGGCGCCTTCAGAGACGATTCATTGGCGGATTCTGAGTCGGATTCGATTTCCGATTCGGAAGAGGATTGAGGTTTCCGAATCGGAGTTGATGGGGTTCGGGGGGTTTCGGATCCAGCAGCCGCCGCCATGGATTCCAAGATAAAGCTCAGCCGCTAGCACAACGCTCCGTATTAGGGTTTTCCTTCCCGTGCAACTGAGTAGCTAACCACTCCTTATTTGGACACCAAATATTGACCTTTCGTTTTCTTCTTTACATATTCTTATGATTGTTCGTTTTGGAATATTTCTGATCTGATTAGAAAAAGTTTTAATCTGATCTATTTTCCTTTGATTTGATCTAAGTATAATTATATCTAATGGTATTTTTGATCTAATCTAGTCTGAATCCAATAAGAAAAAGTAACAAATAATAAGAATAAAGACATGTTCTCCTCATCTTATTTTAATGGTTCTGATCTGATTGGAATAACTTCTGACTTGATCTGAATGTAGTTATATTTCAAGTAGTTTCTAATCTGATCTAATTTAATTTGATCTGAATGTAGTTATATTTCAAGTAGTTCCTAACCCCTCGTCCCCCAAAACTCCCCTTGCACGCTAGCCCCTAGGCCCTACCCCCAGATCGCCGATTGGGCTTGCCCAAATCCGATGATCTTGGGTGCAGGGGGCAGAGGGGTTTGACAGGTTATGGCGCTAGGAAATAGGAATCATTAATTTTACCAAAGAAGCATCGTACGTGCTCTAAAATGTTTGGATCATTTTTGCTTGGATCAAAAGAACCTTGCCATAAAATTTGTATACATATAATAAGATATAGTTAAAAAAACACAACATTTAAAGCACGTATCTTATCCAAAACGATTAATATACTTACTAAACCATATTTATAAAATTTTAACGCATTCTACACGAACGAACGTACGTATTGACATATTATACGTCAGACGTATGTTAAAACCTAGGCTTCACTTGAACTTACTCCTAGGCCTCCAACCTCGAGTTCATTCTGAAAGCCTATTATAGAGGAGCCATATCCTCCATCATTATGGTAGGGCATAATTATGTCATCACTCCCTATATAAATTTGAATTTGGAAGATATCAATGTGGGATCCCTCAGCCGTCGACCATCTTTGCCACTGGCTACCACCGCCAACCACCCATGTTACCAGCAACCCTAGCCAATCCCTAACTAAATCGTGATTTTAAATCTCTTCAAACAACTTCATTGAGATTTTAAAATTCATATAATTTCAAAACCCATATCAATAATCCAATCGAATATGCAGTATTATTTTTATGTTTTGATTTAACTATTACTCTATAGATGCTTTATGGTTGTTCTTATATGATTTAATCTAAAAAAATACTTAACTTTTAATTATTTATTATTATATGATATTTTTAATTGTAACATAAAATATAATTGATCAAAAAAAGTGTCATCATGACTAATTATGTTTACACTAACATTCTTTACGATTTCAACATCATTGAGAAATTTAAATTATGAAATTCTTTAGACATAAATTTCAACTCATTACTTAAATTTACTCATTTCATAAATATCAACTCATTCCTTAAATTTAATTTTAGGTATTTAAAAAGAAACTAAATGTGGAAAGGAAGTAGCTGACACACATGTAACATGTTAAACATCCAAATGTTAGAAAACTTATGCACATACATGCATGATACACTGCAAAGACATGCGTGCACTTGCACATGTTAAATGAATGATGGGTAAAAAAAAAGTCTTAAATTAAGTAGAAATGCCAACAGAAATTGAAATGGCCAAATGGCCAATTATAACAAAAATGCTAGAGACCCACCAAGTCTAATACCAAGGTTGACACTATAGGCTATTTTTCGCACGTGTCGGGTGAGAAATATATTGTGCTCGAAACACTAAGGTGTCATCCTTGGTGGGTTTGTAGCATGGCTCCAATTATAATTACTTGTGTTTAAAAAATTTAGTCAATAGGGAGAAGACTTCTTGGAGCAACTGATAATCAACTAAGTCATGCACCTCTTTACACAAGGAGGGGGATAGTAACTACTGATTCATTGAATAGAGTCCACAATACGAAAACGATGTTACCGCAATGCCAAATTCTAGGTTGAACTTTTATCCTTGTACTCCTCAGCAATAGCATCAGTCACCAGAGAGAGTGGTCTTTGATCTATGACCTCGTCAATTATCCCAAACTCTTTTGCCTCTTCAGGGGTCATGAAATAATCTCTGTCCATGTTTTTCTGAATTATATCCACAGATTGCCCGGTGTGTTTCGAGTACAATGCATTTAGTGCATCCCAAACCCGAACAATCTGTTTTGTGTGAATTGTCATATCTTTAGCTTGTCCACTGTATCCACCAGAGGGCTGGTGAATCATAATTGTTGCATTAGGGAGAGATCGCCTCTCACCCTTGGCACCAGCAGCTAAAAGTAGAGAGGCCATAGATGCTGCCTGGCCTAGGCATATGGTATTGATGGGAGATCGAATGTACTGCATTGTATCATAGATAGCAAGACCTGAAAGGGAAGAAGAAAAGTGGAGTTTAAAACAAACATATCTCCCTTAGGAGAGAGAATCCTATATTTATTGTCGACCCTGTCCGGATTTGGTTATCCACTTCCCACAATACCTCAAATTTAATGAATGATGAAACAAAAACAAACAGAAAATAAACTCCTTGAAAATAGTTTGTCCTTCATTATTGATGGCATCAATGCCAACCTTGACCCAGAAAGGAGTCCACAGTTGTGGCATGCATCAGCCTAGAAATGTCCTCATCGTGACCAGTCTAGTTACACCAAAGTCTGCTCAGTCCATGACCAAACAGTGATAGTTTGAAGATTTTGTATATGAAGTGTCATTGGTTTGCAAATATGGACAATTAATTTCAGATGTAATCTTCATTAAATGAAGGGTTATAGGATGTTATTGCTTTTATGGATTGACAACTTTTAGTCCATATTTTTTTGGGACAAATGGGGCAAAAGAATCAGTTCCTCGTCTTTCTAAACACCTGCCATTTGAAATTGAGACGTGTCATTGTGTCAACTTGTTTGTGTTTTGTTTCCAAGGTCATATGTTGTGCGGAATCACCCTTAAGTCATTTCTAGCTTGGATATTGATGTCTAAATTACTTGCTATTTCCAAAAAAAAACTATAACTTTGAATCTTGCTCAACTTAGAATGCATTCTTTGAATCTTACATTGTGAATCTGCTAGAGAATATTTTTCATTTCGTTCAGAGCCCTTTAGCTCCTTCACCGAACCTCGTGATCCACAGTAGAATGTGGCATATGTGTAGGTAACATGGTTATACACCATGATAGCATGTCATGATGCTTTCATGTCCTAGATTTCATACTTCTATAAAATTAAGTGGATATCATAAATCAAAATAATCGAGCTTAGTTTTCCTCTATGAGTCAATGAGTTGTCGATCATTTAACCTATTCTGCTGAAAACTGCTGAACCAATTCTATGTATTGGCCTTTGAAAACATGTTTTTTGGCATGGAAACAAGCTTGATCTCTATATATAAATGATAGTTCAGACTTATTATACAACACCAACAACAAACCAGTTGGATCCCAAAAGAGTAGGGTTTGGGGAGAGAGTGTGTACGCAGACCTTGCCCTTACTCGAAAGTAGAGACGCTGTTTCTAAGAAACAACACTTATTATGTTGTCAAAAAAATACTAAACTTTTATTAGGCAGAAATGTAAATCCATGGAGGGCATGACTTTGAACGCAAAAGGTAAAACTATCTTAGACTTCTCTTTGACCTTCCAACTTCTTACCGCAAACACTTGTTTTCAGAAGCTAGATGAGCATCTCATATCTTATAAGAGTGTGAGGACATGCTCTCAAATTGATTTCTTTCTCCTAGGGAAATCAGGTCAAAAATTTTGTACTAATTGCAAAATTATTCCCGAAGAGAGCTTGACCACCCAACATAGAGTGCTCATTATGGATTTTCGTATCCAACAAAAGAAAAGGAGAAGTTGCCAAGAGAGGAACCTAGTTTTCATAGTTTGTAAGGCGTCGCCTAGGCGGTAAGGCGTTGTCCCTTGGACGCCTAGCGTGCTTGCCTTGCCCAGAAAACCTTAAGGCGTGGTAGGCATCGCCTTACCCCGCCTTACATCACCTTACGGTCGCCTCTCGCCTTGAGTCTATGGATACACATAATGATATCCATATGAATGACCTCTTCAATGAAAATTTTTAGACTTGTATGTTTGGGTCATTAAACCAGCGGGATGGAGATGAACTTTTTTTGATTGTGTTGTTATTTGTGGTCTTCTAAATGCTTGTGAACACTTCTTTCTTTTTCAGATTATGTGTAGACTTTTATTTCATATGTTGTGCCTTATATCTCTTTGTGGTTAAGTGGTTATATTATGCATAAGTGTGTGTGTGTGTGTGTGTGTATATATCTGTGTGTGTATTGTATATATATAGGTCATGTGATATGAAGGTACATTAGCGCCTCACCTTGCCTTGGCGCCTTAACAACCTTGCGAGGCACCCAAGGACTAGATGGTGGCACTTGATAGGTGTGATAACTGATAAGCAAAGGGATTCCCAACGCTGTTTAGAAAAAGAAGCAAAATGGGATGGACATGGAAGTACGAAAGAGCTATGGTGTGAATGTGTGATATGGCAGATACTATTAGAAAGGTGGCAACAGAAATCCTTGGAGAAATTAGAGGCACTAATGCAACAGACAAAGAATTACGGTGGCAGGACACTAGTGTGCAAGAAAAGGTAAAAGTAAAATGGGAACGTTTCAAAGAGGGGTCTTTATGTGGTAATGTGAAAAGTTAGGAAAGGTAAGAGGTAAGGTTTATCATTCCGTATGTCTTGCATTTTACGTTGATGACATTGTCACTATATGAAATGATGCTTATTGTATTGAGAACATAAGAGACATTTTTTCCAACATCTTGAAACTAAAGATCTTGGAAAATTGAAGTTTTTTTTGCCAAGAAATTGCTCAATCTAAGCAAGTTGTCTATGTTTCATATCAAAAGTGTGCCTAAGATATCCTTGAAGAAACGAGAAAGTCAAATAGTAAACTCGTTGACACACCCATGGAATCATGGAATTAAATGAATAGGGGGAGCCTCTTATTGATCTTAGAAAATATTGAAAACTTGTTGATAAGTTGATGTTTATCACTATCACATAACTAGTTAACTCCTCTATTGTTGGTATGGTTAGTCAATTTCTACAAACACCCTTTGAGACATTGGGAAGCTTGTATTAAAATCTTCAAGTATGTAAAGAGATCTTCAAGTGTTATATTCATGGTGATGGGTGTTCTTTGGATACATACCATTTTTAGCTCAAAATTTTGTATCTTGGCAAAGTAAGAAACAAGATGTTGCTTGATCGCGTCCAAAAGCACAATATCATGCAATGGCACTTGGGGCGTGAATTGGTATGGGTAAGACACCTAACTCACACAGCTCAACTTTTGTAAGCTTGGGCCAACCAACGAATGAAGTTAATGTTGCTCTATACAATGCAACCAATTATGTATTTTATTAACAAGCTAACAATATCGAGGTACACTGTCAATTCTACTCGGAGAAGGTGGTCCCCGGGAGGGTTGAGGCATCATCACAACATTCATTTGATCAAATGACAACTAGCTATCTCACTAAATCTCAACAAGGGCGTGAGATTGAGTACATTTTAAACACGCTTGGAGCATTTGGTCCCCACACCCCAGATTGAAGGGGTGTTAGAATATGTGTTAAGTTCATGTATGTAGGTAACAAGTAATGTGCATGTAGTGATGGTATCACTGATGTTTCATGTCTCTAGTTTGTCAACCTAGGCTCATTGTTCTCCCTTCATCCTGTACTTTGATTCCTACTTTAGTTTTTAATAGAGTTTAAGAAAAGGTGATAGTGTGGGGTTCAGTGGTTGAAAGAGAGAAAGGATATGAACCACATAATCAATTCCTAGAAAAGAATGAAAATTTTATTGTGGCCTTTTGGGAAATCTAAATAAGAAATGTAAGTACTTAAAGATGAGATCAAATAAGGATTTTTTTATCTCACAATATTCCCAAAAACCTATACACTGATTATCTGGTAATATGTGAAGTGTAAGGAATAAAACTCCTCTTTTAACAATCATAATGCATGTCTTCCAACACACCTCAACAAAATGGTGTCGTAAAATGCAAGCATTGTCACATCATTGATATAGACTATGCAATTCTACTTCATTCTATGTATTGGTCCAATAATTAAGTGACATCAAAATACTTAATAATTTGTGTGCCATCTTCTATTTGTATAACTAGGTTTTTGAGACTTTTTTTTAATAAAACCTATGTAATCATGTGTCAGGTTCTATTTGATTTATTCACATCATTGCTCCTTATCATGCATGATAAACTTAGAGCTTTAGCCATTAAATGTGTATTTCTTGCTTATTCTTTGGTTTAGAAAATACAACAAAGGATAATAGTGTTATTCTCATTAAAAAAACACATCTATAAAGCTAATGCCATCTTTTTTAGAACCAACCATTTCACATGTATTTTGTGTTAAACATTCCTATTTGTCAATATGCTTGACCCGTTATAACTTATAAGATGCATACCATAAGAGACTTATGGTCTCCCTTACCATTGTCAAACTCGACTAGCCCAACCATCCTCAATTCATCGAGATCCCATTTTTGCCCAAACACAACTCACTGTATGTTCCCTTGTCCCCACCGATTTCTAAGCCCTCTTTCTCTAATTTTGAGCTTCTCATTGCACTTTGCAAAGAAATAAATTCCTCCCTCAACCCCTGTCTTATCTATAAGTGTTTGAGTTTAAAAACAATCATGCTCAAAACTATCAATATAATGCATGTGACTTAATTGATCATATCTACTTAGGCGATATTAATGATAGCAATGAATGGTTGGTGTAAAGTATGGAAAAAAATTGATTTTGAAGAAAAAGAATTGGTCTTTGAAGACAAAGATTAGTCGCAGGGATGGTTATGAACCAAACATTTTAGAAGATTTATGATAGCCTCGGTGAATCAAGCTAAAATTCAATTATACGATTGCACATTTCATCAAAAAAAACCCAACTATAGAAGGGAATAAAGGAAGGTTCCCATTTGAGAGGCTTATCACTTATAAATAAATGATGAAGAGAATTTTTTCTGGTAAACTCCACAGAAAACTATATGAATTTGGCAACCACAAATGTAGTTTGACATGATAAATGGAAGTATCAACATGATAAACTAAACCAACCAAAAAATAATTTAAATAGACTACGACCAGTGCAGGCGGCAACCTTTTCTGTGACAACAAACAAGTTGCCTCTGCAGTATATAGTTAGCTTACGGATGCAAAATGCAAGTGAGTGTATGCCTTTTCAAATCAATTGCTGCGAATTATTTCAAAATCCGAATGCTAAGCACAAGAAAATTTCCACAAAATCTAATTCCAGACATAAATCAAAACCCAAAAACGTACCTGCTGTGACTGCACCTCCGGGCGAATTGAGATACATGTGGATGGGCTTGGTTGGGTTCTCGGACTCGAGAAAGAGGAGCTGGGCAACAACAACGTGGGAAGTGTCGTCATTGATGGGTCCATTGATGCAGATTATGCGCTCCTTGAGAAGCCTCGAGAATATGTCATAGGCTCTCTCCCCGCGAGAAGAGTGCTCTATGACCATCGGCACCAGTCCATACCATCTCCGAGAAGAACAATAGGCGCTCTGAATAGGCGGCGGAGCTCTTGAATTGAGGATGCGGGTGGTGGCGGGGATCACATCGCAGAAACTGCGACGAATGAGGTGACGCATTGTGTTGAAGACGGGCAGAGAAGAAGATTAGGGTTAGAACTTCACGTTTGGAGAAGGAAATGAGGAATTACAGTGCTCCGTATTACGGAGTCCGTAACATCGAAAGAGTTGGGGGCTAGCCCGGCTAGGTGTGTTAGGTTGGCAAATACTCCGTAATATTATAGATCCCATTGTACCCAATTTTGGGTACAATCAAAAAATTATTTATATTATGGATTTTATTTATACGAGAATGAACACTAAATTATTTGAGAATGAGTATTGTTTTGTTTCAGAATGAACACTACATTATCTGAAGATAAATATTATAATTATATTGAACCAATGTGTGAAAATGAGTACTGCATCATTTTACAATAAGCACCATACTAATTATATTTGAGTCTACTCTACTTCAGAATGAGAACTACCCGGATGTACCTATCTCTAGGTACATCCGATTGTACCATATACCTTCTCTGTTAGGTTCTTCCACTATCTAACACAAAAGAATAAAAATGTGACAGTGTACATGTGCACATTACTATACTTTTTTGGTAATGTATATGACCATGTTTAGTAATGTAAGTCCTATTTCGGGAATAAAAACATAAAAGTCCTATTTTGGTATATTTTCAATGTTTTAGTCCTACTTTGGTCTTTCTTCCAAAAAACATTATACAGATACTCCAACAAATGTCCTATTTCATGAAAAAACTCCCGAAATCAGTTAATAACGCCATTACTTTCACAATTATAAATCACCCTAAATAGGACTAAAACATAGAAAAAAGTACCAAAATAGGACATTCATATTTTTTTCCCCGAAATAGGATTTTGCACTGTGGTAATATGACTTTGCCATGTGGTAATGTGGCAGTGCACATGTGCAAATTATTATACTTTTTGGTAATGTATATGACCATGTATGGTAATGTAAGTCCTATTTTGGTAATAAAAACATGGAAGTCCTATTTTGGTATATTTTCAATGTTTTAGTCCTACTTTGGTCTTTATCCCTTTCACAATTGCTTTCATTGCTAGCTCACTTGTTCAATTATCTTACTTATAGTGTATTTTTTTGTACTGATGCTTATTGCTAATAAATAATTTTTAATGTATAAGCATCTTATAAGTTAAATATTTTTCATTGAAGTAAAATGAATTAAACGAGAGATAAGTCATTTAGGGATATCAAAAAAAAGGTGAGAAGTTGTTCTATAAATAATATGGTCAAAACAGAAAAATTTAAAAAAAATTGGGTTAAGAATAAAAAGGCAAGATCTATATTTTTTCTAGCTTATAAACATCTTATAAGTCAGCTTATAAGCACAAAGGAACACATCATTAACTGATTTTTATATTAAAAACAACTTATTAGCAGTTTGACCAGCTTATAAGCACAGAGAAACACCTACATAATGTCAACATAAATTTTATAATTAGATGAGTACTCTTTTTTGTTTGAGCAAGCGACCAAAAACTGTAAATATCTTATAAAGTTAGCCACAGGTCACGTGGCATGCGCACTACAAAAAGAAATTTGGGGAACAAGGTTGTTTGTTGGCTATAAATCAAAAAAAAATTGTTGCTGGGTATCCTATATTTTGGGTTAAGAATTGCTAATTATTCATAGTTTTCAAAATATACTCCGGGTGCCTTAAAATATCTGAAAAATGACCCTAAAGAGACTTTTCGTCCCTCCCTCTCTTAAACTGTTTCTCCGTCAAATTCATCATCATCTACTCCTCCTCCTCCTTCTCATCCTCCTCCTCCTTCTTTTTCTTCTTCTTATTTGCATTAATTTTTTCTTGATCATTTTCAAACAATTACAAAAACTTGTCGGGCAAACGAGCAACAAGCTGCACCGCAACCCGCTTTTGAATAGCAAACTCAATCATACTAAAAAACTGTTGGGCTTTGTGGAGGCTTGTTTGTCAGCCATGCCCAGTTGTGCGTAGCCCTAGCTATTTCCCTATATATAGAAAGCTTGTATTTGTAATCTTGGCACCACAAGTGAAATAAGAAAATCCTCTTGTTGTAGTCGTGGATTAGGGAAATTGAACCATGTTAAATTCTTGTGTGTCGTTTGTATTCTGTTTCTCTCGTTTCTCCCAGATTATTTGTGTGTGTTGTGTGTTTAATTCCCAACAAGTGGTATCAAAGCCTAGTTGTACAACACAAGAGCACAAATTGCTAGAAAATTTGTCACATAGGGTTCTTGAGTAAGAATCGTGTGCCATCTAGGAAGAGGAAGGAGCGTCCGTCCGTTTCGTTCGGATCTGTGATAGCCGCTGTTGGGATCTGAACAGTCGACGTTGTGAGGGCCGCGCCGGAGTGAGTTGCGCAGCAGGGGAGAGAGCCGCAGCCTTGGGGTTGCCTCGTTGCCGCCGTCGCGCAGCCTTGGTCTCCCGCCGACCGCCGTCGCGAAAAAAAAGAGGCCAGGCAGTGGAGTTGGGCCGTATTCAGCAGCCAAAGAATTGAAGGAAAAAGCAGTGGGCCAATTTGTTTTTAAATTGGTCAGCTTCTTTTGGGTGTTTTTGATTTGTTTTGGTTTGGGCTAATTAATTGGTGTGGTGGGCCTGATTTTCTAATGGAAAAATACCAAGATCTGAAATTAGTTGTATCGGGTATCTCGTCTAGTCATTTGAGATGGCAGAAGATGGGAAGTTCCAAATTGAGAAGTTCGATGGTACAGATTTCAGTTGGTGGAAGATAGGGATGGCAATTCAACCCGAACCCGAGCTTAACCGACCCGACCGACCACTAAAATATCCAAACCCGAACAGAGAATAAAATAATCCGAACCCGACCCGAAATTTTTTACCCGAACCCGACATCGGGTCGGGTCGGGTGTGGGTATATTATTTTACCCGACCGACCCGAACCCGAACCCGACCCGACTCAAACCTGAATATTTTATAACATAAAAGTCTATCTATGGATATAATGAGCACTCCGTATAATCCTTGACAAAGTGCTACTATATTAAGTATGCCTTTTATAATCATTTTTATAATTTCTTAATAAAAAAATGAGACACAAAAAAAATTAGATGTAATCTTTTTAAAATTATTGGGGTACGCCGAATTGATTATTAGTTAAAAGTCGGGTTCGGGTCGGGTTCGGGTTTTTGGTTGGAATGTCGGGTTCGGGTTGGGTTCGGGTTTTGGCTTAAAAAGTCGGGTTTCGGGTCGGGTTCGGGTTTCGGTTTTTAAAGTCGGGTCGGGTTCGGGTATAGTACTATCCGACCCGAACCCGACCCGTTGCCATCCCTAGTGGAAGATGCAAATTGAAGATTTGCTAGTTCAGAAAGATTTGGACGTGGTTTTGGGTGACAAGCCAGAAAAGATGTCGAATGCAGATTGGGCAGGTTTGGATCGGAAATAAATGTCAGTGATCTGTCTCTCGTTGACCAAGAATGTTGCGTTCAACATTCTGAAGGAGAAGACAGCGAAGGGAATTATGGACGCGCTGTCTACCATGTACGAGAAGCCATCTGCAGCGAATAAAGTTTTTCTGATTAGAGAGCTGGTGAACACAAGGATGAAAAATGGCACTTCAATTACCGAGCATATCAACAAGTTGAATTCGATCTTAGCCAGACTTTTGTCAGTGGGCATTAAGTTCGATGATGAAGTTCAAGCTTTACTACTGTTATCGTCATTGCCTGACAGTTGGTCCGGAACTGTTACAGCAGTTACCAGTTCAGCGGGACCTGATGGATTCACATTTGAGAAGATTCATGACCTCGTTCTTGGCGAAGATGTCAGAAGAAGGAGTTCTGGTGAGTCTTTAGAAGAATCACTAAATATCGTCAGAGGTAGAGGAAATAACAGAGGTAGTGGGAGCAAGAACAGACGAAGGAGTCAATCGAAGACTCGAGATAGCTCAGGCATAACATGCTAGAAGTGCAAGGAGGTGGGGAATTTCAGGAATTAGTGCCCAAAAGAGGATAAGCAAGTGAACATTGCTAGAGGCTCTGCAAGCGACGATGATTTGTTTATCTGCTGTGCAGAGAGCAATGTGGATTCGTGGGTCATGGATTTTGGTGCTTCATTTCATGCTACCTACAATGGTGAAGCATTGCAAAATCTGGTTGTTGTAGACTTTAGAAAGGTACGACTAGCGGACGACAAAGCTCTTGATATTACGGGCGTGGGTGACATTATGCTGAAGACCCGAGTCGGTCTTTGGACTTTGAAGGATGTCAGAGTTTTTCTAGCCTTGAAGAAAAGTTTGATTTTTGTTAGATAGTTGGACGAACAGGGATACGAGGTGAAGTTCAGAAACGGGCAGTGAAAGGTCTTGAAAGGAAATCTTGTCATGGCCCGCGGAAGGAATTGGAAGAGTGGTTCGCTGTACATTGTCAGGTTACCGTCTGAGGGAGTGACCGTCCCAGTTCAGAAGAGAGAAACCTAGAGCCACAGGTCAGACTGAGGTTGGACGAGCGAGGAAAGGTTCAAGGAGGCCAGTTAGAGGTATCTATGGTAGTGGGAGCATAAATGGTGCTTCAGCCAAGGTTCCTAGAAGACAATGGGTCCGGAGAACCAATATTCCATCTATTGGAACATCTCCAGAAAATTTCTTGCTGAGTATGGAGAGTGTTTATTCTCAGGATGTTCCAGTATTTGGAAGTGTGCGTCTGCAATGGGAGCCGGTAGGGACTGAGGATGAGTCAGGGGTAGATTTAGCCGTGACTGATGTGTTGGAGCTTGGGATAGCTTCAACGGGCCTTTCAGTTGTCTGATGAGAGGACCGCTGCAACAGGAGAGCTGAGGAAGATTACGCAATATACAGGCAATCGAGGTGGATGATAGTTGATGATTTTCAAGCCTCCAAGTGGGAGATTGTTGGGCTTTGTGGAGGCTTGTTTGTCGGCCCAGCCCAGTTGTGCGTAGCCCTATCTATTTCCCTATATATAGAGGGCTTGTAATTGTAATCTTGGCACCACAGTTGTGCGTAGCCCTAGCTATTTCCCTATATTCGATTAGGAAAATTGAACCACGTTAAATTCTTGTGTGTCGTTTGTGTTCTGTTTTTCTCGTTTCTCGCACATTATTTGTGTGTGTTGTGTGCTTAATTCCCAACAAAAACTCCCTCTTGAATATCAAATCTTTTATCGGGATTTAGTTTTATTTTTAAACAAAAGAGTAGAGTAGTAAAATTAATAATAATAATAATAAAAGAAAAAGAAGAAGAAGAAATTAGGGTTAGAACTTCACGTTTGAAGAAGAAAATAGTATAATGCTCCGAAACATCGTAATTCGTAAGAGTTGGGCTATGGACTATGGTAGGTGAATAATCATAGGATACCACCTACTCATTCTTCTGACTATCACACTAAGATGGTGTTTTGTTGTGCTAATGCTATTGATGGCTGGCGCAGTTTTAGCAGCATCCAAAAGTGCACCATCGCGCTTCGTCAAATGGCGCACGGAACCGCTAGCGATATGCTCGATAAATACTTGAATATGTCAGCTTGAAATATGAGGTCATGTCATTATAAATTTTCTAAAGCTATTGTTCGACTATATCATAAGAGGTATTTACGTAAGCTAACGGCGAGCGAGATTGAGCAGTTACAGACGAGACATGCCGCTAAACACGACTTTGTTGGCATGCTTGGAAGCATCGATTTCACACATTAGGAATGGAAAAACTGCCCCACTACGTGACATGGTTAGTTTTGTAACACCCTAATCCGTTCAGGTCTACAGCCCCTTTCGGATTAAAGTATAAACTTGGTATTTGTAAACATTCAAAACATTTCAAATATTTTTATTCATTATAAATAGTATTCATAACATAAATAGTTATAGTGTTTAATAATGCAGAAGCAAATTAAAAGATGTCACATGACAATCATAAATAATTATGTTATGTCTTTCGAAATCATAATTCAAATCGTTACATCTATCCCGACAATCTCGCCTCATTTGCCACCAAGAATACGTCACTTCATTCTTCTTGTTTACTTGCGTGTAGCAAATAAAACATACTACACGCTCAGCGGTGAAGCTAAGTAAGGATATCTAATGCATCGAACATCCATATAAATTGCATCTCAATTCATAATCAATTCGTTTTATATCATGCACACAATATTCAGTTCAAAAATTCATCATACAATATTCAATTCGGGTCATTTCATGACATGTTCCATATTCAGTATTCATACTGTCAATAGTATCCTTAAATTATTCTTAATCTAAGGTCGAATCGTTTTGATAACAAAATTCTTATATTATTCTTAGTCTAAGACAATATTTCTAACCAGACTCTTAAACTATAACTACTTTAAGGTAGAACACGAGAATTTATGATCCATCTTACGAGTCTTATGGATCATGCTCCAACCGAATAGTAGACTTATTTGTTGTCTGGTGGGTGATATCCCCAAATGAGTAAATTCTCAAGTTTGGTATGTGGATCCCGTACGTATGTTTTAACCCTCGATTGCTGAATTGGTCACATAGGTATATCTTAAGAGAAATTTACCTAAATAGGATTAAAAATAATGACTTTTCCAATATATGACCATATGTTTTTATTTCCCAATGTAGGACTTTTGGTCATTATCAAGTAGTCATTATTTAAGTAAATGTCCATCATTACTGGACATTATACTTCCCACTAGGTCATTATAAAGTCATATTTAGGGAATAAAAAAGTTTAAGTCCTATATTGAGAAAGTCATTATGTTTTAGTCCTATTTAGTGCAAATTTTACATATCTTAAAGGTCTTCTAGATATTCTTAATAATCAACATCAATTAACTAAATTAGTCATATGAGTATATTTTAGAGTTCTTCTATATACCCTTAACAAAACATATCATTTTCATAAACATCAATACATTTAATTGTAAACGTGGTTCAATCATTCATAATCATTATTTTAATCAAAATATTCATCAAAGTTTGATCATAAACAACATCAATAATAGCCATCAAGATATCTGATAACAAATAGCGGCCTAGCGTCGAATGCTAACACCATAGCTTACCATCATGTATCAAACAAGGTTCTTGGATTGCCAAAACATCATATTTATCTCCAAAAATCATTTCATGTTGATCATAATTGAATGGTATCAAAAATAGGATTTAATATTTCAAAAATCGGGTTTCTAGAAAAATATTCTCGGTCAGACGGTACCCGTTACGATACCTTGGTACCGGCGCATGGTACCTCGGTATTGTCCAAATAGTACGGGGTACCGTCGGGCTTCATGTACCGCCATAGGAGGATGTTTTTCTTAGAGGAGACGGTAGCTAGCCTACCTGTAACACCCTCCGTCCCACGAACCCGGTTCACCGCGGCCCAACAGACCGAAGGGTCACATGGATGGTATTTAGGACCATCTAAATGAAACCTCTTGAATTAAATATTGTAATATTTAAATTTTAATATATTTATTCAAATAAATACTGTTGGGAAATTAATTCCCTTAAAAGTAACATTACGTTGCGGAAGCATTAGAAACCAAATGTTTATTCCAAGCGAATTAAGTAAGACAAAGGTAGGTTCAAGCCCAAAATTGTTTATAATAATAAACGAGAATTAATTCGAGTCCATGCCGTTGCCTGTTCGCCACCCAATCTCCTTATCATCCAGGTAAGGCTCCATAATCGTCTCGCAAACTTGCGTATAGCAAAAAAAACGCTATTCGCTAAACATAAGCTGAGTGGTAATCTAATTGTTAGAACACATATCAATATTTCCCATAGATATAAATACAATCTTACCTGTACTAAAGTACGTGATACCACATACAAATTTTATAATTAAAATCTACATAATTACTTGCAAACAATGCAATGCCAAATGAATCATGATGCATGAGTTAGACTGCGCAGGACCCCCTGCCCTTCGGTGATCATCCCACGCGGTGATGAGTCGAGGAAACCTTAGTCTCCTGAAGGAGACTAGAAATAGTGGGTGGTAACTGAAAGCCTAGTTACCATGTACGTACACAAGCCCTTCGGATGAAACCTGTTAGATCTCGAATGCTCCTGGACGGGTCTGCGGTAGAGGCGCACTAGGCTTGACCTCTTACGCGGTTATGCCATGATATCAATGATCCTACATCATGCGTATACAATGTGCATGATATGTGAAGAATTACTTTGAGAAAAGTCTTAGTTTCAATACATAAGTGTATGTTAAATTAATTTGAGCAAAGTCTTAGTTTTAGAACTCAAAGCTCAGCGGGGTCTGATAATCTATTGTCACCTTATGGTAATCGATTAGCAAGTGGAACGGTTCTGAGCTCAGAGTTCAGAAGAGTCTGATAGTCGATTATCACTTTTAGGATAATCGATCATCAAGCTTTGCTGCCAAATAGGAAAATGCAACGTGGCCAGATAATCAATTGTCATACCCTGATAATCGATTATCAGAGCACGCAAGTTCTTATTTTTGTCTGTCTAAGTATGACCAATAGTTTGGAAGTTAAAATAAATGTTTTAAGATTCTACGTGTAGCGATCTATGATTCCAACGGGTTTCAAGGTGATTTCTTAACGAGTTTTATATTCAAAAATCTTAATAACAAGAAAACCATAATTCTTTGGTTTCCCAAGTCGCCTCCTCAACGGAGTGACTTCTCCAAAGAACTTTGGCCAATTGAATGGTTCTGTTCCTTAACTATTGGATATCGCGAGCCAGAATCTCAACCGGCTCCTCCTCGTATGTGAGATTCTCATCGAGAGTGACTGTATCTGCTGGAACAACATGAGAGGGATCTAATCGATATCTTCGGAGCATGGACAGATAGCACACATTGTGGATCTTGCTCAGCTCAGGTGGTAGCTCAAGCCTGTTGGCTACGGGTCCCACACGTTCAGTGATCGGGTATGGGCCTATGAACCTCGGACTGAGTTTCCCCATCTTACCAAAAGCGTAGGGCCTTCTTCAAAGCTAAGGGGATACCTTCAAGAAGACTTTGTCTCCAACGGCGTACTCGATGTCGCGCCTCTTAAGATCTGCGTAGGACTTCTGTCGGTCTGAAGCCACCTAAAGTCGATCCTTAATCACTTGGACCTTCTCCTCGGTCTCACGAACTAAGTCAGGCCCTTCCAACTTCCTCTCGCTAAGCTCCGTCCAACAAGTAAGAGTCTGGAGTGGCCCACCGTAAAGATCCTCGTACGGCACCATACCGATACTAGCTTGGTAACTTTTACTGTACGCGAACTCCATCAGCGGTAGATCATGCTCCCAGCCATCCTCGAAGTCGATTGTGCAAGCGCGCATCATATTCTCGAGGATCTGGATAACTCTCTCAGACTGACCATCCGTATGTGGGTGGAAGGCCATACTGAACTGAATATAAGAGCCCAGAGCTTTCTGTAGGCTCTTCCAGAACTGAGATGTGAAACGCGGGTCGCGATCCGAGATGATAGATAAAGGGACTCCATGTAACCGAATGATCTCGCGGATGTACAGCTCTTCCAGAAGCTGTAGGGAGAAATCCCATTGTATCGGAAGGAAATGTGCGGACTTAGTCAAACGGTCCACAATGACCCAAACTGTATCGTTCTTGCAAGGCGATAAAGGAAGCCCCACCACGAAGTCCATTGTGATACGATCCCACTTCCACTCGGGAATGGTAATTTGTTGAAGTAGTCCGGTCGGAACCTGATGCTCAGCTTTAACCTGCTGTCATGTCAAATATCGAGCTGTAGACCCCGTGATCTCTCTTTTCATTGTGGGCCACCAATAATGTTTCCGGAAATCCAAGAACATCTTGTTATTACCTGGGTGCATGGTGTATACAGCCTTGTGTGCTTTGCAAAGGAGAAGTCAGGTCTCTCGCCCTGAGAGGCGAGCTCACTAGTCTGCTTCCAGAAGTCGTCTCCGCGCTGTGCTGTTATAATCTCCTAGATCATTGTAGGCTGAACTCGGAGTACAGCTTGAGTCTTGCGACTAAGGGCATCGGCCACCATGTTCGCCTTACCTGGGTGATAAGCAATGTGATAGTCGTAGTCCTTAATTAACTCCAACCATCTCATTTGTCGTAGGTTCAGATCCTTCTAACTCAAAAGATACTGCAGACTCCTATGGTAGGTGAAGATGCACGTCGTTTTGCCATACAAGTAATGCCTCCAAATCTTTAGATCGAAAACGATTGCTGCCAACTCTAGGTCATGTGTGGGGTAGTTACACTCATGCAGCTTCAACTACCGAGGTGCATACATTGTCTACCACCTTACCCTCCTGCATGAGAACACAACCTAGGCCATTATGAGAGGCGTCACTAAAGACCGTGTACTCCACGTCTGAAGTCCGCTGTACTATCCGAGACGTTCACTCCCACGCGCTTCCACCAATTGTAGGCAGCATCCTGATGTAGGGCGATGGCTAAGTCGCCCCTCTGCTCCATTGGAAAAGGTTCCATGGACTCGACTTACGTGCTCGAGCCAGCGCTTAGCAATCATGGGTTTGGCGATCTAGTCGCCACTGAACTCCTCCACTCCGTTCTTCTTAAGCTTTTCTATCGTGACCACCACCGTTGGAGGTGGGGGTGGTGAAGGTGGTACATATGCCCCCGCCATCTGCTGGAGGAGGTTGAGCATATTGGCTGCCAGATGCGGCTACAGAATAAGGATCACATGTGGTACAACATTCGGCTGCGGAACCTGCGGCTCCAGAACCTCCGGTTGTGGGGTGAATCTTGACGCTTCCGTGTGCACGCTTACGAGCTCCTGTTCCCCATGAGGACCAGCTTGTCCGTGTTCGGGAGCCTGACTCATCTCCTTTCTGAAAGGAGATTTTCTATTTAGGTTAAGTAATAATAATAACATAAATGATAATGGTTACCTTTCCCGGTGGAGATACGAAGCGGGATGCGACAGTGGATCCTGGAGGAAAATGTTTTCAAAATGGGTTTCAAAAGTCATTTTTTTTAGAACCGTAACTCTCTGATACCAAAATGTAACACCCGCCGTCCCGCGAACCCGGTTCATCGCGGCCCAACGAGCCGGAGAGGTTACGTAGACGGTTTTAAGGCCGTCTACAAGGATAACCCTTGTGTTACTTGTAACGGAAATCCCTTGTTATATATATATATATATATTTAAATGATGGAAATTAATTCAGTTAAAGAGAATGTTTATAGCGCAAGTAAATGTAAATAAAACCGTTAATTCATTAATAACGTAAGTGCAACAATGGTGGGTTACGTTCAAGCCCAAAACAAGTTTTAAGTAATAACGTATAAAGAGTCGGGTCCACACTGTCGCTCATCCGCCGCCCCGATCACCCAGTCGTCCGGGTTAGGCTCCATGATCCTCTGGCCTACCTGCGTATTGTAACGCCACAAAATATGGCCTAAAATTTATTATAAAACAAAAGTAGTTTTTGTCTAATAAAGAATATTTATACGTTTGACTAAAAATAAATAGATTTTCAAAATAATGACTTTTTGTTAAAAACTTATTTTTATGGAAATGTCTCAAAGAGACGAATCCAATGGTACATTTTACGAACCAATCTGATTTATAGATTTCAAGTTATGACGATTTTAAATATTAAAATTTGTAACTTTGACCCATAAAATAAACTCAATTCAAAAGTGATTTCATAAGATTAGAAATCTTAATCTCTGCCTTGACAACACCATATTTATCATTTGGATTAAATTCATATATTTTTATATCACTCATATTATTAAATTAATTTATGACTGAGACAGACTAGAACACTGAGAAAAATAAAAGTTCTCAGAAAAATATTTTGATTATGTCAAAATTCTAGTTTTGACAGTCTGATTCCAAAAGCACAATCCGTTTTCAATTCGGAACAATTTGGGCGAAAAAGCGCGTACCGTTTTAGCCAGTTTATCAGTTACGGAGTATGAGAATATTTTAAAATCCCCAAACACTACTCAATCACGCAGCCCTCTTCACAACAAATCCAAGGAAATCTGTTAAAGTCTACAAAGCCACCCAATATGTCATGATAGTCCAAAAGCTTCTCATTATAATACTCCCAAAACCACTCCATAATAACATCACCATCATGTTCCACCATCATCATTCATCCATCCATCCCTCCCTCTCTGTCGGCAGCCCAAAGAAGGAAAAGAAAACAACAATACTCCATTGTTGTGTGCTAAGAAGGAGCAAGAAAACCATCCATAGTTTCCAAATCATGAGTTCCAAACGCAGCATCAACTTCTACGTAAGTTCTGTAATTTTACATCCATTATCTCGAAATATCTTTTGAACCAAAGTTGTAGCCCCGGACAATACGAATCCAGCTCAACAAACGGCTCGCGATTTCGTTAAGTAACGAAGAAGATATGGCCAAAATACCGGGACTGCGCCAGTGGTGGCCAGCTCCTCGGGTTGGACCATTCTCTTCACCAAATTCATGTTGTTTCATTCCAAACACTCACCATAAACTCTCTAACAATTATTAAGAACATCCGGAAGGTATCGTAGAGAAGGTTTGGTGTTGGAATATTGAAGTTAATGAGTTAATCGTCGGAATCGTTGTTCATCGACATATCCGAAATCCTGGACAGCAACTATCCCTTGACTTCAGGTCCGATTTACGCTATCTTATATTTGTTAAATCGAAATACTTTCTATACGAAAGTTATAGCCTTACATCTTAGGAATCCACAGAATCAAACGGTTTGCAATTCTGTGAAGAAACGATGGAGATATGCCCAAAATACCGCAGGCTGTCCAGTTGTGACGGAAATGACAAAATTGGCAAATTTCATTGTTGTTTCCACTCCCGCTCATCCGTAAGTTTTCGACCAATGATTTCCAGGTCTGTACCGTTACGTTAGACTTGTCGAATCATTCATCACATACATACATGAACATATATGTTAATCCATATGTTGAAATCATCCCAAAATATATATGTGTTCATATATAAGTCATCTATATGTTGAGATTAAAATACACCAAATCCATAAAGTTAATATACACATAAGTAGATATAAACTTTGGAAATCAACCCAACAATATGTATATGTTAATCAAGGGTGTTTAAAAGACTTAAATAAGTATTTTGGACACTCAAAATAACAAGAGAAAGATTCGCAGACCCAAACAGTCGACGCAAACGGTCGACCGTCACGGTGATCCGGCAATCCAATGAAGTCAAGATCAAGGTCGACCGCCGTGTCAAACGATCGACTGTTCCAAGCCCCGTAGCTTAATTAAATGATATTTTTATCAGATTTCACCCAAATAAAATAAAGTATATTTATCCATTCATATTATTTACAAATTGCTCATATCATATGACTCATATCATCACACATATTGTAGCATATCATATCATATGCATGCGTAAGAGATCATGCGTAATTGCGTCTCTTATAGCTGTGATTGTGCGGGACTTAGCAGTCCGACATCACTGACCCGGCTTAGTGTACGTACATGGTATTCAGGCTTTCGAGTACCACCCCTNAAGTCAAGATCAAGGTCGACCGCCGTGTCAAACGATCGACTGTTCCAAGCCCCGTAGCTTAATTAAATGATATTTTTATCAGATTTCACCCAAATAAAATAAAGTATATTTATCCATTCATATTATTTACAAATTGCTCATATCATATGACTCATATCATCACACATATTGTAGCATATCATATCATATGCATGCGTAAGAGATCATGCGTAATTGCGTCTCTTATAGCTGTGATTGTGCGGGACTTAGCAGTCCGACATCACTGACCCGGCTTAGTGTACGTACATGGTATTCAGGCTTTCGAGTACCACCCCTATTTTTCTAGTCTCACCTCATTCGTGAGACTAAGGTGGCATGAGTTCGTCGTACCAAATGGGCGAATCTCATAGTGCAAGGTCGTTCCTTGCGAGTTATAGGTTCATGCATCATGTTATCTTCATCAAGTACAATTATATTGATTACATAGGTGTCATGTAATCATCATCAAGAACGATTATATTGATTACATAGGTGTCATGTAATCATCAACAAGGACAATCACATTGATTAAATGTGCCATCATGTAATTATCATTAAATATTTATCATCATGATTCATCAAATTGACCATATGATATAATGTGCCATATCATGAATATTATTATACATTTTGTGGACGTATATATATGTATATGTATATGTCTGTGAATTATTCTACAATTCTAGTGTGGTACCACTTAGCGGTTTCGCTGAGCGTGTAGTTTGTATTTTTCGTTGACTACACGTAGGTAACAAGAAGACAATGACGGAACCACTCCCGAAGGGCATTGAGTCAAAGGAGATGCAAGGATGGCAGGCAAATGTTTGATCATCAAGATTTTAAATGTGTCATGATTTGATTATTATTGTACTTCCGCATTACTCTGAAAATATTTTTAAATGGGTCGCGATCCAGAGTCTGTAAATTTAACATTTATAAGTAATTGTCATTTTCAAATGTCAAGAGAAATTTTTATTTAACTCTCGTTTCACCGTAATTCGTGTAATTCCGGGTTATACGGATTGGGGTGTTACATTTTGGTATCAGAGCAAAACGATTTTTGGATCATTGAGTCAATATTTTCAAAGTCCTGCATCGACATCCTCCACGACATCTCTACCTCGGGAAAGTAATCAACAAGTAAGTTACTATGGCATAATACACATGCTTAACTCATTGAAAATTTGCTTCCTTTGAGTTGCTAATATCCTCATAGACCCGATTGCAATAAAGTATAGATTGCCTTAGAATATTCTTCAACGATCACAGTCAACATCAGAAGATCAAGAAAGGAATTGTAAGCCCGATAGGCACGACATATTCGTATGTCGTAATACGCGAATAGCTAAGCGAACGATGTGAATCAACTTCTATCAAGCTGAAGAATACGTTGAAGAAAGAACTTTCTCCAATAGGAAGTGCACAAATTCTCCAAAAGTGAATCTGTCGTTTTCTAAGAACAAGAATAGAGCCTCACTAACCAGATCGAATACGACGTATGTATCAAATCTGAAACGCATTATAAGGGTGAATCTACATACAACCATTAAGATAATTGACTCGTTCGTATACCCTATTGACGTAAAAGGTTGCAACAAGATGATAGTACAAAACAAGATGTGAAACAGTCACACCAACAATGAGAGACTTGAAGATAAAGAAAAGGATTAATATTTACATGGTACATTTTGATGTTGGAAATAAATATTCTCCTGAAATGCATTGATCATGCAGCATAGAACGATATTTATGACTAACACATAATGTACATGGACAATATTATTTCAACATTGGAAATTTTACAGATGCAACTCTAAGTCTAATCTTCCAGGATTTGCAAACTCTTCATAACTGGCACCAGGACCCGGGAAAGCATTAGCAAACTCTAGCTTGTCCAAAAGCTCATCAACAAAGAAAGAAGAAATGAACAGTTTCCTCTGATTCAAAGCCATGAAGTTCTGCCTCACCGCATCATCTAGAAACTTGATTAGGCTATTGAAATAACCGTCAATGTTCAAAAGACCAATGGGTTTACTGTGTAACCCTTCGGATGCCCATGAGATCAAAGTGAATAAACCTTCCATAGTGTCAATTCCTCCAGGAAGTACAATGAAGGCTTCCACAATATGATTCATCTCGAAATACTTATAGTAATTGCTGGAGACGGTGTACTCTACACCGTACGTAGGTCCGTAAACTTGTCGTGTTGCTATATACCCTGGTATGAAACCTCTGAATCTACCACCATTATTATAGACTGTAGAAGCTACAGCTCCTTGAAGGCCAACGTTGCCTCCTCCGTAGGTAAGCCTGATTTTTCGCCTTACCAATTCTCGTCCTAGATCAACCGCTGTAGCCATGAACCTTGGATTGCCACCAAGAGCATGACTACCAAGTAGAGCAACGAATCTTATGGTATTAGAAAGAGCTCGAGAAGTTCCTTCCATAATGTGAGAATGTGAGACGCTCTTGCCACAATTCGATATATATAGACTCTAAAAATGGACCATTGATGGAAAAGTAATTATCACCAGCCCAATAATCGATTATCCATTTCTGATAATCGATTATCACGCATTGCAGCTTTTGTTCCCAAGTCCTGCACACTATGGTAATCGATTGTCACCTCATGACAATCGATTGTCAAGTTGGTTTGTCTTGGAAATCCTAAGTTCAAGGAGGCCTGATAATCGATTATTGCTCTGTGATAATCGATTATCAGTGAAACCAACTCACACTCAAGAATCTGCAGGCCTGATAATCGATTATCACATAAGTGATAATCGATTGTCACGCCTTGTTGGTTCTAATCAGAAGTTCAGCGTAGCATGATAATCGATTGTCTAGCTCTGTAAATCGATTATCAGGGCTCGCAGCTCCTCATTTTGCTTGTTCGATTATAGTCATTATGTTGGGAGTTTTCGGAATGAATGCTTATGTTTTCACGTTGAATAAGCTATGGAATTATGAATTATCGAAAGATTTATATTCACATGTTTATGGTCGAAAAGTCTAAATAACGAATTGAATAACCATGATAATGCAGACACACGTATGTTTAGACGGGTAATCCTATGAATATAGCGATATGATTGAAGTACGAATTCTAAAGTTAGAGGGCACGTACTCACCTCTAACGCATGGGTTGACGATACGGAAAACGGATGAACGAACGGACGTCTAACGAACGAACGATGAACAACGAACGATTTCTCGTGAACACCTCCTCTTCTTCCTCCTCGTCTACTCGTCGGGAATTCCTCGCCTGGCTGCCTTGGTTGGCGAACAAGAGAAGGGGAAGGGAAGAATGTGATGAGTATAAGGGAGTTACAAGAATAGGGAAAATGAAGAGGAGAGTGGGGGTTTAAATTAGAGAAATGAATGGAGGATTAAATGTGAGTGATGATGGTGAGTTAAGGGGGTGAAGGTGGCGTGAGAATTGAGGTGATTAAATGGGGAGTTATCTCCCTAAACTCTATTCCGTTGTATAAAATCTGACTTGAAGGGTACGCGCTTTATCCCCCGTACAAGTCCGAATTGAATTCCGTTTGCATTTCTGGAATCAGACAGTCAAGACAAATATTTTGACATGATCAAATAATTTTTCTAAGGATTTTATTTATCCAAACACGCATCCGAGTTAGTAATTAATAAATTAAATTAATCAATTCTAATAGACCGCGTCTCAGGGCGTTACAGTGCAACCAGAACTCGCACTTGGATAATTTGGCACACAGTTGCTGTTCCCGTAGGATGCCGAGGACCATGTGCAGATGCTCCGTGTGCTCCTCACGCGTCTTGGAGTACACCAAGATATCATCGATGAAAACAACCACGAACTGATCAAGGTACTTATGGAACACACTGTTCATTAGATCCATGAAGACTTCCGGTGCATTAGTCAATCCAAAAGGCATTACCATGAACTCATAGTGGCCATACCGAGTAGGAAACACTTTCTTTAGTATATCCTCCTTCTTGACGGGAATATGATGGTACTCTGAACGCAGATCAATCTTAGAGAAAAGTGTGGCTCCTCTCAACTGATCAAACAAATCATCAATGTGAGGGAGAGGATAACGATTCTTGATGGTGACCTTGTTCAACTGGCGGTAATCGATACACAGCCTCATTGATCCGCCCTTCTTGCATACGGACAGAACTGGTGCGCCCCATGGGGACACACTAGGACGTATGAAGCCTTATCCAAGAGCTCCTTCATCTCTACAGGGGCCATGCGATACGGTGTGATAGAGATGGGTCCCATTCCTGGAACCAAGTCGATCAAGAACTCTACCTCCCTTGGGGGTGGTAAACCGACAGCTTGTCTGGAAAAACATCCAGAAAGTCGCACACCGTAGGGGTTTCCTCCCTACGGGGTGCCTCCAGCTGTGTGTCACGAAACGTGCATAGGAAGGCATCGCATTTCTTGCATATGAGTCGACGAGCATCTATGTAATAGATGTATTTGGGAGCTTTTGGGAGTAGCTCGCCACGGACCAATACCTCGCTACCATCTTCAGCTTTGAGCTGCACTGTATGTGCGCCACAATCGACCACCGCTTGGTTGGCAGTGAGCCAATCCATGTCCAAGATGATGTCAAGTTCTCAATGTAGAAGCTCAATCAGATTTGTAGGGAAACTCTTCCCTTGCACGACTAACGGGCAAGTGGAGTAAATATGGATGAGACGTAGACTGTGTCCTAACAGATTGGACACAATCACAAGATTCTCCATGTTCTCACTCAGAATATTCGACAAACCAGGCATGGATGCACACAAATACGACAAAGTAGAACCTGGGTCAACCAAAGCAGATATGGAAGTATCAAATAACGTGAACATACCCATAATCACGTCATGGGCGGGCTGCTCAATACATCCATGCATCGCGTATGTGCGGCCTGGAGCCTTCCTAGACTAAGCACTCGGTGCCGGCCATTTGTGTTAACTTGGTAATCATCAAAATTTAAAACATTTCAAACACTTTTATTTATCACAATAATAATTTTTCATAACATAAATAGTACGGAGTTTTCAATATTGCGGAAGCTTAACAAATCATAATTACAAACATAATTTATTTATGTTCTTTAATTCAAAACATCACATCCATTTCGAAAATATCGCATCCGTTTTCCTCAAAAGTCACGTCATATCATCGTTTCTATTTACCTACGTGTAGCAAATAAAACACACTACATGCTTAGCGGTAAAGCTGAGTAAGCATATCTAATGCGTCGTACATCCACATAAATTGAACCTCAATTCATAATCAACCATTTGATATATTCATTATTCAGTATTCGTCATTCAATATTCAACATTCAACATTCCTATTCAATATTCAACATTCATATTCAACAATATCCTTAAACTATTTTAGTCTAAGGCCAATTCAATTCTTAAACTTATTCTAATTTAAGATATTATTAACTAACCCTTAAGCTAGGCCTAGTTTAAGATACAGATTTTCAAAAAGGTTTTTAAAATCTTAAACTTACCTTCGCTTAAGGTCAACCAGAAATCGAACAGCGTAGTGTTCACTGTCGGGTGGGTGGTACCCCCAAACGAGTAGGTACTCAAGTTTGGTTCTTGGATCTCGTACGTACATTTTAACCCTAGCCACCGGGCATCATACCCGCAAGGCCTATTTCTATTCTATCTTAGAGGTCTTTTAGATAGTATTAGAAACCAACATCAATATGGATATATCTTAGAGTTCTTCTAGATATCCTTAATAATTCATCATTAGTTTCCAAATGGGTATATCCTAGAGTTCTTCTAAGTATCCTTAACAATACAATTCATTTCGTATTCATCAATGCATTCCTTTTAATCATGATTCGATCATTCACAATAATCAATAGGTTCATCAATCATAATCAACCATAATAATCATTCATCATAATCATCAATCAACATAACATTCAAAGCAATAGCAATTAGCGGTCTAGCTTCGAGTGTTAACACCCTAGCTTACCGTCATGCATCACGTAAGGTCTTTTAATTGTAAAAACATTATTTTTATTCCAAGAAATCATCTTTATATTAATCATAATTGATTGGTATCAAAAATAGGATTTTAAAGCTCAAAAATAGCATTTTTGGAAGTATTTTCGAAGCAGACAGGTCGGGGGATCGATCCAGGCAGTGTGATCGATCCAGGCAGTGTAGTTTTAGGTCACAGTTCATCTTCTTCAACCTTCGGTCCATTTTTCGGGAATACCATTTTTAGGTACTGAACTTCAATTAAATTATATAGAGATGTTCTCCGAGGTTCATAGATTATTTTAGAATCATTAAATCATCTTTTTAGCATCAAATTCAAGGTTTATGATTCTTAGTTCTACAAACATGTCAAACACAAAACTTAACCAAACGACTGTTTATGAACGTAGAAACGATCTATATGAACATTCTAGTCACTAGATATATCTACGGGCTTACCTCGAAGTGTAATGGAGGTTTTGAAGATTTTCCAGCGAAACTTCCAGCAAGGATTGTGGCTATCTACGGCGACCTCTCAACAAATTGACAGCACCATAACACTCCTCACACTCTCAGGAACATAACAAGAAGAAGAATTGTGAAGAATGATGAAGAAATGAGGAAGTTAGCTTCTCCTTTTATAGGGAAGATGATGATGAAGAAGACACCTGCTGAGTAGGTGCTGCGTAGATTTCCAAATTCACGATCTTCATTCGGCTAAGTGGAAGAGGAGGTGCCGTCACTGATTGGAACTAATTTTGGTTCCAGTCGGGGTACACTTTTTGGTCCAACTTTCTCTGAATTAAAATTTGTTTGCACCGTTGCGATCAGACAGTCAAACTCTATCCAACAATATAATTTTTATGTTTATTTGGTATACTTCTTCAGACACCATATTTTTGGGTGTTTGACTTTAACAGAGTCAAAATTTGTTTAATTGACTTGTATTCAAAAAGGTTCTCACATTTAATTCATATTATTTATTTCCATGATTTATTTCAATAAAAAATTTCAAAGTTCACATTATAAACAATTTCTTCATCTATTCTTAATTTGAGTCTGTACTCAGGTTCCCAATCAAGATCACACAATAAATCAACATGTTGGATTAATCTCTATGAGATTTATCCCAATTATGTTTATTGGATATCAATATATATTTTATTTCAGCCTAAAGCCCAACAACAATTTATTTTAATCAAAACAAATTCGATTAAATTGAATAATTATCTATTAATAATTTTAGGGTATGTTTTGGGGTGTTATACAAGGCATAGACCCTGAGTAAACCAACACTCCCCAAGGGTGCCTTCACCCTCAAAGGGTATATATCGGGTAACGGTATCCGCTCTGGCTCTTTCCACTCTTCTGTGAGGGAGCTAATGACGGGGCAAGCGCTGACTTGGCCTTCTTGCCTGGGTTCGAACTGCTCGGCACAGAGGGAGGCCTTTTGTCGCTCAGGCTGGTCCTAGGTGGTGGAGGTGGACAAAGAAGTGCTGCCTGGGTCGGCTCGTACTCGGCCTTTCTAAGTTGAGCCACATGAAGCTCCAATGCCTGCTTGTACATGGTGTTGATGTTGTTCCTGGGTGCACTGATCAGCCCTGAGGACAAGTCAAGGCGTAGTCCCTCCATGAAACGCTTGCACTGCTTCTCCATCTTCGGTACCAGGTATCGGCCGAACTCGACTAGCTTGTCGAACTTTTGACGATACTTAAGAAGTGTAAGTTCACCCTGGGTGAACTTCATGAACTCGTCTCGCTTCTCCTCCATGAAGTGCTCGGGCACATACTCCTCCCGAAAGAGCTCGTCGAAGGTTCCCCATGGCATTGGCTCTGGGATGTTCTCTCCCGCACGCTTCCACTAGTCAGAGGTGGCATCATGAAGTAAGGCGATGGCTAGGTCACCTCTCTACTCCATTAGAACTTGCAGGGCTCCAAGAACTCGACTTATACGCTCGAGCCAGCACTTAGCAACCATCAGTTCGGCGATCTTATCGCCTCAGAACTCTCCGGCTCCATACTTCTTTAGCTTCTCTATCGTGACCACAACCGCCGGAGGAGGAAGAGGAATATGTGGTGGTACATACGGCCCCGGCATATGCTGGAGGAGGTTAAGCATGTTGGTCGCCAACTGCGGCTAGAGGATAAGGATCGCCTGAGCTGCAGCTATCGGTTGCGGAGCCTATGGCTCCAAGACCTGCTGCTGAGGTGTGAAGCTAGACGCTTCCGTGTGCACGCTCACGTGCTCCTGCTCCCCTTGGGGACCAGCATGTCCTTGGCCGGGAGCTTGACTCCTTTCCTTTCTGAAAGGAAATTTTTCTATTAGGCTCATTGATAATAATAACTAAAATGTTAACTGTCTACCTTCCCAATGGAGATGCGGAGGGGGATGCAACGGTGGATCCTGAAAAATATTTTCAAGTTGGGTTTCCAAAATCATTTTTTAAAAAACCAAATTCTCTAATACCAAATTGTAACACCCTCCGTCCCGCGAATTTGGTTCGCCGCGGCCCAATGACCGGAGGGGTCACACGGATGGTATTTAGGACCATCTAAATGAAACCTCCCGAATTAAATATTGTAAAAGCTAATTTTAATATATTTATTCAAATAAAAACCATTGGGAAATTAATTCCCTTAAAAGAAACGTTACGTTGCGGAAGCATTAAAAACCAAATGTTAAGTCCAAGTGAATTAAGTACAACAAAGGTGAATTCAAGCCCAAAACTGTTTATAATATTAAATGAGAAATAATTCGGGTCCACGTCGTCGCCTGTCCGCCGTCCCGATCTCCCAATCATCTAGGTCAGACTCCATGACCGTCTTGCCTACTTGCGTATAGCAAAAACAACGCTATACGCTCATCACAAGCTGAGTGGTAATCTAACAATAGAACACATAGAAATATTTCACAAAGATATAGACGTAATCTTACCTGTACTAAAGTACGGGATACCACATACAAATTTGATAATTAAAATCTGCATAATTACTTACAAACGATGCAATGACAAATGAATCATGATGCATGAGTTAGACTAGGCAGGACCCCTGCCCTTCGGTGATCATCCCACGCGGTGATGAGCCAAGGAAACCTTAGTCTCCTGAAGGAGACCAATGATTTTAAAACCAGACCGGACCGGTCGGTCTAACCGGTCAGACCACGAACCAGTGAGCTTCCTAGTCCGGTCCAATATCAAAACCCCATTTTCTTTTGACCCGCTGAAAACCGGCAGACTCGGCAAGACCGCCAACCCGGGTCGACCTGTCCTAGCCGCGTGTTTCTAATATTTACTTTCTTCACTTTCTTCTTCTCAGTTCACTTTCTACTTCTCAGTTTTCAAAACTCAAAAGCAGATCTATCTCTTCACTTTCTTCTTCTCAGTTCTCATACGTATCTCTTCACCTTCTTCTTCTCAGCCTCTGCCAATTTTGTTGCTCTCTCGATTTCATCTTCCCTCTTCTTATTTTGCATTGGAGTCAATAGAAGAGCTAAATTGCGTGCTTATTTTTCGTTAAGGATTCAAGGTGGGTAGGTTTTTATATTTTTTACTTTCAATTTTAGGTTTAAGATTTTTAGTTAAAGCTTCAGCCACTATTTATCATTTACATTAAAATTTTTTAAGTTTTTAAGGCTAATTTATATTTTGTTTTTTATTTGAATTGCTTGGAATGTTTAAGTTGATTTTGCTGCAAATCTTTTGGTTCTGTTTAGGTTTGTTTTGGTTTTGTTTAGGTCTGATTTTGCTGTAAATGTTTTGTTTAGGTTCGAATTAGGTTCATTTTGTAAATTTGAGGTTCTGCATATTAAATGATTGTTCTGCCAATGTGAATGTTTAGGTTTTGCAAATGTTAGGTTCTGTTTTTAAACTTTTATTAATGTTGTAATATGCCATAAAGTATTTTAGTTTTAATTATAGTCTATGGAGGAAGATTTGCCCACTGCTCATTTGGAGGTTCCCAAGCTTACTCCCGTCACTCAAACTGTAAGAAGTAAACAAGATAAGGCTTGGGATTATTGTATTGAAGCTAAGGATGATAGAGATAAAAAAGTGTTAATTTGTACTTTTTGTCAAAAAAATTTCAAAGGAGGGGGGATTATTAGAGTGAAACACCATTTAGGCTATGTTCCGTTCAACTTATTTTTTCTTATTTTTTCTTATTCTTATTAAAATCAGATCAGATCAAATCCAATCAGATCAGACCAGATCAGATCGGATCAGAACTACAAAAAATGTGATCAGATCAGAAAAAATAAGTTGAACGGAACAGGGCCTTAGCCGGAAAATGGGGTAGTGTTGACGCTTGTAGGAAAGTCGATGCCACGGTTAAGGCTCTTATCCAAAAACAATTAGAGGAGAATGTGCAAAAGGCTCGAGAAAAAAAAGGGATATTTGAAACAATTGATGGTGATGTTAATCCTTCTCTTGTTAGAGATGTGGGTACTTCTTCTCAAGGGGTCAAGAGAAAAGCTAGTTCAGAATTAGAAAAATATTTTCAAGCGGGAACTAGGGATTCTTCTCAAATCACCATTAAAACTGCTTTACAAATAAAGTAAAGAGAGATGGCATGAAACTGACTTAGCTTTAGCTTTTTGGTTTTATGATGCATGCATGCCCTTTAATGCGGTAAATTCTCCATTCTATCAATTTACTATTGATAAAATTGCTTCTATGGGATTTGGATATAAAGGACCCTTATACCATGCTTTGAGAGTGCCTTTGTTACGTGATACTAAACTTTAACTGAGATTGATTGTAGACTCTTATCGAAGCAAATGGAGTGACACAGGTTGCACAATTATGGGTGATGGTTGGTCTGATACAAGCAATAGATCATTGATAAATTTCTTGGTGTATTGTCCAACAGGAATATCATTTATAAAATCTGTTGATGCTTCTAGCTAGTTTTGCTACTGATGCTTCTAACAGGTGTAATTTATTTGCTGAGATTGTTGACATGGTTGGACACTCAAATGTTGTCATGTGGTGACTGATACTTGTAGTGCTCATTGTGTTAATTTAATTTTGAGTGATGTTGGGAGCCTTGAACACGTACAATCAGATATACACTTGCTCAAAAAGTAACTGTATTTGTATACAATCATAAGTGGGCTTTAAATTGGTTGAGAAAGAGACCAAATTGGAGGAAAATCATTAGGCCAGCAAGCATAAGATTTGGGACAACTTTCATTGCTCTAAAAAGTCTCCATGGTCATAGACTTGATTTGCAATGTTTTGTGGTTAGTGGAGATTTTAAGAGGTTCTTAAAAACTACAAAGGGGAAAGAGTTTAGACAAATTGTTCTCAATGAAAGATTTTGGAATAATTGTTTGGTGCTTGTGAAAATTATGGGTCCTCTCATCCGATTGTTACGTGTATGTTACATTTATGAAGGTATTCTAAGGGTGGAGAGAGGCATAAAAGATATGTTCAAAAATAAAAAAAAGCTTATGAGCCTTATATTAACATCATTGAGAATTGGTGGGATAGACATTGAGCAAAAATATTCATGCCGCTTCATATTATCTGAATCCATCTTTCAATATGATCCATCAAGTGTTTGTAATAAAGAGCCTAAAGTCTTGGAAGGGCTTTTACATGTCATTAGCACTCAAAATGTGGGAGATAAGAGAAAGACATTGGATGAGATCAGATTATTTCGTGAGAGATTGGGATCTTTTGGAAGTGCTTTTGCAATTACGACATCACATGATTCACGCCCGGGTAAGAAACATATATACCTGATGTATCATTATTTTTAAAACTTAGTATCTAAACTTTTAACTCATTACTTTGCTATATTTTTACTATTGCAATAGATGAATGGTGGAGAATGTTTGGTGGCGATGCTCCAAATTTAAAAGAGTTGGCTATTCGAATTCTTAGACAAACTGCTTCTTTTTCTGGTTGTGAGAGAAATTGGAGCATTTTTGAATGAATTCATACCAAAAAGAGGAATCGCCTAGAGCATCAAAGGCTTAATGACCTTGTGTTTGTTCATTATAACCTACGTTAGTTTGCAAAATACGTATGTTTCATACTAATTCCTTATTCAATTTACAAAATTATCTTCTCATAAATGATCTTCTGTGTAGCATAGCTTTAAAAAATTACAAAATGTATAAGTATCTTCACTTTATTTAAATGATTTGTATTTAGCTCTAATGCTCAAAGATGCAAAGAGATCATATGACCCATGTGATTATGAATCGATTGACAAAAACGAGTTTTGGGTTGTGTGTTAGTTCCATATTGTGTTGGCATTATTTTTTGACAAACGAATAGATTTATCTAGAATTATTTTAGATGTTTTATTTAGACTTAGAGTCCTAGCATGTGAAGGAAGAGGAAGAGGAAAGAGCTTGAAGAGAGAATTCTAGTCCTACTTGGATTCTAATCCTACTTGGTTTACAATTCATAATGAGGAGGCCATGGTTGAGAATCCTAAGCACACTCTAACATGGCTATTCTATTCTATTAATATCTTCACCCTCCCTTAGAGTTTTGGACGGACAAAACTACGAAAAACCAGAAGCAAATTCGATCAAAAGAAAAAAACACAAGGTGCAGATTTTGAGACTGTAAATTCTCTTGACAGCCCGCACGGATTTGATCATCGCCGGAGATCCGACCGTTGGATTTTGCAGAAATTTTCAGAGAGTGTTCCCAACACATAGGGCTTCAACGTGTTCAAATTTCACGTCAATCGGAGTTACGGATCTTCTGTTATCGAAGTTACAATCTACACACTGTTGCTGATTTTTTTTTTTTTGCAGAAAACACTGCCCTGGTTTTCTCGATGGTTGAGGACCAAATCTTGTCTGATCGTGCTGAAATTTTAGGAGGAGTCTAAGGACTCGTGGAGCTTCAATCTGAACGGTGGAGATCGAATTTCAACGGTTCAATCTCGAGTTATGAGCTTCTGAACAGCCTGCATATTTTTGTAGATCAAGAAGAATCTTTATTTGAAGGTGTATTGGAATCTACGTCCTTGAAGAAGATCTTTGAGAAGGTGTAACAAGTCGTGGAGATAGACGCAAACCGAGTTTGTCGTCAAGTCATTCGTAAGTAGACAAATCAATACATTAGAAGGTTATGTTGTGATTGATTGTGTAATTCTTACGGTGATTTAGTGGAAAGGCTATTACACGGATGTGGGCCTTGCAGACGTAGGAGAATTTGCTCCGAACTGCGTGAACAATTCTGTTGTCTTGCTTGCTGTTTTTTACTTCATATTTTACGTGTGTGCTTGTGACAGAGAAGTATTATAGCACACTGTTCGTCATCTGTTACTGGACAGTGCTGCAGCGTCTTCTCTGCAGCATAGTGGATTGATTTGTTTGCATAGCTCTTAATTGGTGATTTCCACGCGCTCCCACGAACTTTCATTGTGGAGGAAGAGCAAGAAGGAGAGCTTGATTATGATGAATTGGAGGAGATGCTTGAAGAGATTGAACCTAGGGATTCGATGCCACCAGATTCAAGAATTACAGGTATATTGTTACCGCACCTCCTAAGGATATGTTTATTTTCTTTCTTTTCAAATTTGAATTTAAATTGTTTACATCAATTAGGTATTGGTATATATATTTTTTTACATCAATTTTTTTCTCTATATTGTTGTAGAACTGATGATGGAAACAACAATGATGATGATGATGATGATCAGCTCACAATTCTTGAAGAAATTGAGGATTTGACAGTGGGATGAATGGAAATGGGAATGATGATGTTGGGTTTGGTGATTAAAAACTGTTTTTTTTGTAAAACTTGAAAACATGGTACAATTGCTTTTTGAGTTTTGAATCATGTTTAATCATATATGGAGTATAAATATTAGTGCAATGCGTCAATATATTATCTTCGAAGTAAATGTATGCTACAAACATCATTTTTGAAACTTAAGAACCATAAATATTTTGTAACATAGTATACATTTACTTCTTTTTCATGGAAGCACATTTACATAATAAAATATTGACATGGCTGCTAATGACCATTGACCGAGTCGTTGACCCCTGTTGACCCTGGTTCAACCGGTTATCCCTTGACCCAATCTTTCATCCGGGTTGACGTCCGGTGCGGTTTTCAGAATATTGAAGGAGACTAGAAATAGTGGGTGGTAACTGTGTAAGTTCATGGGGGCGCAGCGGAAAATCACCAATTAAGAGCTATGCAAACAAACAATCCACTATGTTGCAGAGAAGACGCTGACAGTACATGATGACGGGCAATGTGCTATAACACTTCTCTGTCACAAGCACGCACACAGAAGCAGATGACGCAGAGAGCGTTACAGCACTTACTGGGCAGAATGCTATAACTATAAAAAGTGTAAAAAATAACACCAGATATGTTTACGCAGTTCGGAGCAAATTCTCCTAGTCTGCGGGGCCCACGCCCGTGTAATATCCCTCCACTAAATCACTAGATGGAAGTTACACCGGTACATAACAACATGATGAGACACCCTTCTCCGAATTGCTATGACAAAACTTTTAATCTAGGATTTCTAACCCGAACTTTATTCAGATTCGCTTCGGCTATCACATCTCCACCGAGATCACGAGGACAAACGTGTTGGCAGCCCTCTCCTTAAGCTCTAGTTCATCTCCTGGGCGTCACGATCTGTTTGGCGTTGAAGATCTCCTCCTTTATGTAGATCGTGACCTTCTTCACGCATGGGAAGCTCTGGGACATGACGGGAACGCTCTACATCAGCGTATATTCTCTATTTTCCCTCTCAATTGCTCCCCGTAATTCCTAGTGACCTGCTGCATATTTATAGGCTTCTCTTAACACAATCCTAGTAGGAATATGTTAGTAGAAGTTGGCTTGAACTCTACTTCCTTAATCTTGATCCACAAGTAGCCTAAAGAGTTGGGATTCCTTAGCATGTACAGCTGGAGCTATTATCATGTAATCACAATCCCAATAGGTCTCTAATTCAGATTGCAGCTTAAAATCCCGTGCTCAGACCTCTGATCCCGAACAGTGTGTTGCAGCATCGTGCTGTAGCATCTTGTGTGTCAACCTCGAAAACTGTAGCAACTCTAGAAGTCTAAATAAAATAAACCTCTCCTAACAAATAGAAGTTTCTACCTAGTAAAACACCTAACAAATATGGGATTCTATTTTGCCAAAAGATTAGCCAACACCATGGAACTAACAATCTCCCCTTTTGGCAATTTTTTGGCAAAATACATCGTGCATCATGCGCATAAAAATTAGAGCATCTTTTAAGAACTAAGCCTTTTCTCCCCCTTTTTGACACAAAATATGCCAATCTCATTTAGGGTAAAAAAAAGAAAAGTAATACCAAGTTCTTTTAAGAGCATACAACAATAATAAGCGCAAAACAAATAAAATCTACCATTAAGATCATGCACATGCTTCCCATTTGAATTTCATGCTGGAGCTTCATCCCTTTTTGAAATTTACTCCCCCTCAAGATATGCATCATAACCACATCTTGCTTTATAAAGTGCTATAAATCCTTTTCAAATCAGCGTTATTGTTTGCAACGGACCACCCAAAGATCAAGCTAATAACTTAAGCTCAACCGCTCTAATACCAATTGTAAGTTCGTGGGGGCGCAATGGAAAATCACCAATTAAGAGCTATGCAAACAAACAATCCACTATGCTGCAGAGAAGACGCTGCATCACTGTCATAGTACGTGATGACGGGCAGTGTGCTATAACACTTCTCTGTCACAAGCACGCACATAGAAGCAGATGACGCAGAGAGCATTACAGCGCCTAGTGGGCAGAATGCTGTAACTATAAAAAGCATAAAAAATAACACCAGATATGTTTACGCAGTTCGGAGCAAATTCTCCTAGTCTGCGGGGCCCACGCTCGTGTAATTGTTGGCCTTGAATGCCGTACCCCGTAACCGTTTTGATGTGCCAAATAAGTCTTCGAAATGTTACTAACATCATTTGCAGGAAAAACAAACGCCAAAACCTCTATTAGCTTGTTTAGCATTACCGAGATATACTCCTACGAGTTTAGAAATTGTTGTGTAAAGGTAATGATATATTTTAATGAGTTACTTATGCCCTTTCACTCAAAATTTAATTTTAAAATGACAAATATATTCTTAGTTGGGGTTATTTTGAAAACGGAACACGAAAAACAAGTTTTGGAATTTTTACACAAGCCTAAAGGTACCTGGCTACCGTATACACGGCACCAGGGTACCGCCGGTAGCCTAGTGAACACACCGGGTACGTTTCACTCAGGAGGTACACGGTACCCCTCTACCGTGAGACGGTACCTGGGTACCGTACGGTAGGCTGAACCGGCTGGGTACCCCCGTCCTAACCAGGTACCGCCAGTAGCGAACCAAACTTTTGGCCTACACGGTACCCCCAAACGGTAGGCTGTACCATGTGTCACGGTACCTAGGTACCGGACGGTACTGACCGTGAAGGGTACCGGATCCGTTGTAATCACTGTAGCAAATTGCCAATTTAAATTCAAATCACCCATAATCACTTCCTAACGGCATTTAACGTTAAAAAATCAAATTTTAACATTCCAAACTCCTATATAAACCCCCTCTAAGTCTCATTTTATTCACAACAACTTCCCAATTAATTCTAAAGCCTCTTTCTCTATTCTTGAGTGTTCTTAAAGCTTTGTTCTTATTTTTCTTACTCTTTTGAGTAAAAAGCTTTCATCTTTTTATACACTAACACACAAGGGCATTTGTGCTTCATTATTTTATATCTTGCCTATAGGCTTTTATTGTTGTTGATTTAATCTTTTGTTCTTCTCCTACCCAATTTACATTTGCTATTATTTTGGTAGAGAAGCAACACCAATCTTTTATTGAGTTATAAAAAGTGTGGATAGCCTTTAAATCCTCATTGTAAGGTTGAAGATAGCCTTAAAATCTTCAGTTGTAAACGGTTGAGATAGCCGGTGTAAAATCTCATTTGCTTATTGGCAAGGGTTGTTTGCCAAACCTCGTTTGAGTCTTCTTAGTGAAGCCAAACAAGTTAGTGAAGCTTAAATCCTTGAGGAGGAGCCTCGAGGTACTAGAGTAGGGAGTTCCCGAACTAGTATAAAATCACTTGTGTCGTATTTTCATCTCTTAAATCTTTCTTGCTCTTTTTCCGCTACTACCTTGCGCATAAGTTTTTGATTTTACGAAAATTTGCAAACACCCTAATTCACCCCCCTCTTAGGGTGTAAACCGACTTTCAGTAATAGCCCTCCACTAAATCACTAGATGCAAGTTACACCGGTACATAACAACATGATGAGACACCCTTCTCCGAATTGCTATGACAAAATTCTAATCTAGGAATTCTAACCCGAACTCTGTTCTGATCTACTTCGGCTATCACATCTCCACCGAGATCACGAAGACAAACATGTTGGCAGCCCTCTCCTTAAGCTCTAGTTCATCTCCTGGACGTCACGATCTGTTTGGCGTTGAAGATCTCCTCCTTCATGTAGATCGTGACCTTCTTCACACATGGGAAGCTTTAGGACGCGACGGGAACGCTCTACATCAGCGTATATTCTCTATTTTCCCTCTCAATCGCTCCCCGTAATTCCCAGGGACCTGCTGCATATTTATAGGCTTCTCTTAACACAATCCGAGTAGGAATAGGTTAGTAGAAGTTGGCTTGAACTCTACTTCCTTAATCTTGATCCACAAGTAGCCTAAAGAGTTGGGATTCCTTAGCATGTACAGCTGGAGTTATTATCATGTAATCACAATCCCAATAGGTCTCTAATTCAGATTGCAGCTTAAAATCCCGTGCTCAGACCTCTGATCCCGAACAGTGTGTTGTAGCATCGTGCTGTAGCATCTTGTGTGTCAACCTCAAAAACTGCAGCAACTCTAGAAGTCTAAATAAAATAAACCTCTCCTAAGAAATAGAGGTTTCAACCTAGTAAAACACCTAACAAATATCGGATTCTATTTTGCCAAAAGATTAACCAACACCATGGAACTAGCAAACTGAAAGCCTATTTACCATGTACGTACACAAGCCCTTCGAATGAAACCTATTGGATCCCGAAAGCTCTTGGACGGGCCCGCGGAAGAGGCGCACTAGGCCTGACATCTTACACGGTTATTGCATGATATGAATGATCCTACAACATGCCTATACAACATGCATGATATGTGAATACTTAATTTGAGCAAAGTCTTAGTTTCAATCCATAAATGTATGTATGTTTAATTCCGTTATTGGTTTTGTTCTGAAAACACCTTGGTTCTCGGGTTCTGGACGGGCTGATAATCGATTATGCAATGTTGATAATTAATTATAAGGCCTGGCAGTTCTTGATCCCAGTGTTCTGCAACCCCTGATAATCGATTGTCACCTTGTGATAATCGATTGTCAGGTTGGCCAGTTTTAGACTTCAAAGCTCAGCGGGGTCTGATTATCGATTATCACCTTATGGTAATCGATTAGCAAATGGAACGGTTCTAAGCTCAGAGTTGAGAACAGTCTGATAGTCAATTATCACTTTTGGGATAATCGATTATCAAGCTTTGCTGCCAAACAGGAAAATCTAGCGTGGCCAGATAATCAATTGTCATACCCTAGCCTTATAATCGATTATCAGAGCACGTAGATTCTTATTTTTGTCTTTCTAAGTACAACCAATAGTTTGGAAATCAAAATAAACGTTTCAAGATTCTGCGCGTAGCGATCTATGATTTCAACAGGTTTCAAGGTGATTTCTTAACGAGTTTCATACCCAAAAATCTTAATAATGAGAAAACCATAATCATGCGGATTCACGTAGGTTTAGCCGGGTAATCCTATGAATATAACGTTAAATTCTAAAGCTAGAGGGCAACGTACTCACCTCTAGAACGAAGGGGTTACCAGACGGGAAAAATGGGACGAACGAACGACGAACGGATGAACGGCTTCACGTGCGAATCTTCTTTCCTTCTTCCTTCCTCCTCTCCTTCTCGCCGGAACTCTCTCCCTTGGTTGTTGCTTGGCCGAAACACAAGGAAAAGGGGGAAAGGTGTGGGTTTTATGGGTGTTGGGGGGTTACAAAGTGATGAGGGAAATGGAGAGGAGAGGGTGGTATATAATAAAGAGAAGTAATGAGGAAAAATGGGGAGTGAATGTGTGTGGGTGGCGTGAGGAGTAAAAGGAGTGTTACATCCCTAAATTTCACTCTGTTGTGTAAATTTTCAGTACACGCATTTTCACCCAAACTAATTTGAATCGAGATCCGTTTGCATTTTTGGAATCAGCCAGTTAAGACGAATATTATGGTGTGATAAAATAATTTTTCTAAAGACTTTATTTTTCCCAACCCCAGTCCGAGTTAGTAATTAATTAATTAAATTAACCAATTCTAACAGAGTTACAGGGCGTTACACTATCGGCGGGACAGTACGGCCTACCGTGCCGGTGGTACCAAGGTCCGTCCGGGCAGTAGCTTGTTACCGTTCTACGCGTAGTTTTGAACAGTGTCATCTTCAATCTCGGGCAAACTTTTAAAAAATTCATTTTTCATCACCAAACTTCAATTAAAATATATAGAAATATTTTCCAAAGTTCATAGATCATTTTGGTATTATTAGTTCGTAGTTTTAACAATAATTTTAAGGTTTATGATTCTTGGCTCTTCAAGCATGTCAAACACAAAACTTAACCAAACGACCGTTTATGAACATAGAAACGATTTATATGAACATTCTAATCACTAGATATATCTAAGGGCTTACCTCGAGCTTAAATGGAGGTTTTGAAAATTTTCTAGAGAAACTCCTGGCAAGGTTTGTGGCTTACTCCGGTAGCCTGTCACCAAATTGACAGCACCACTACGTTCTCCTCACTTAGAACAACAAAATAGAAACAAGAATTGTGAAGAAAGGTGAAGAAATGAGGAAGTTAACTCTCCTTATATAGAAGTTGAGGTGAAGAAGAAGACATGGCTGACTCAAGATTCTTATTCCGCGTTTGATGATCGGCGTAGTGCGCAGGACGGCCAATTTGTAGGATTTTACACGCCACTCCCTGATTGGGACTAATTTGGTTCAAGTCGGGGTACATTTATGGTCCAACTTTCTCTGAATTCAAATCTGTTTGCAACGTTGTGATCAGAAAGTGAAACTCTATGTAACGATATATAATTTTTTATAGTTATTTGTAATATTTTTTCTGACAACATATTTTTAGGTATTTGACTTTAACATAGCCAAAATTGACTAGTTGAGCTTTATTTAATTCATATTGTTTATTCTTGATGGTGTAAATTCCACCAGATATGAAAAGTAGGTAATTGGGTCGGGTTAGGGAGACCTAACCGGGTAAATAAAGATAAGCTAAATAGTAATGAACACAACAAAAAATCACTTATACCGGGGTAAATCTCTCAAGTCTGAATATATTTCTTACTCTCTTTCTAGAGTTTACAGGGTTTTATGGAAGTAATAGTGAGTGTCTTCTCCTCTCTCTATCACATATTATTTATAGAGTAGAGGAGGCTCAGTAGGTGCATGGAAGCTGCTCACTTAAGGACAAACAATCAGACATCATCCATCACCATGCAATCAGAATATATTGATTGAATACAAATCTAGGATGTTGCCAAAGGACTTTTCCACACTGATCTCTTGAGTGACGGGTGTGGGTCCCTCCGCTGATTCCTAGATACTAGGTTTTGGGGGTGGCGGATTCGTTCGACCGTGATCTATAGGTCGAAACCCAAAACTGAGACCGGTCAAATTGTACGAAGCCCAAAACTTCATTCCTCAAAGCTTTATAGAAAGTCTAAGATAGTGATTGGGTACGAAACCGGAGGGTGACCAGTCACCTACGACTCTTTCTAAAATAGCTTCCCAAGTTCATCTTTGAAGACCGAAATCGTGACCGGTCACTTAATTCTCGAGGTGACCGGTCACCTATAGCCGGGACCCAAAAACACTTATCTTGTCGAGTCCGAAAAAGTGGAACCGTGACCGGTCACCTTAATTCGCGGGTGACCGGTCACCTAGTGTTGTGCTCTGAATAGCTGACTTGCCGAATCTAGAAAAGTAAACTCGTGACCGGTCACCTTAATTCAGGGGTGACCGGTCACCTAACGCCATGCCCCAAATAGCCGACTTGCTGAGTCCGAAAAAGTGGACCCGTGACTAGTCACCTTAATTTGGGGGTGACCGGTCACCTAGCACCGTGCTCCGAATAGCCGCCTAGCCGAATTCGGAAGACCCGATCCGTCATTGGTCACCCGACCTCACGGTTGACATGTCACCTCGGTATCGACGAGTATACCTGAGTATGTAATATACCCATCAATTCTCATGATTTATTTCAATAAATTATTTTAAATTTCACATCATAAATCAAATTCTTTATTTATTCTTAATTTGGGTCTGTACTCTGGTTTCCAATTAAGATCTCACATATAGTCAGCATATTGGATTTATCTCTATGAGATTTATCCTGATTGTGATATTGAATATCAAAATACATTTAATTCATTTCGGCCCAAAGCCCAATAATAATTTGTTTTAATCAAAACAAATTTGTTTAATTGAATAATAATTCAATAATTATTTAAGGGTGTGTTTTGGGGCGTTACAAGTTGTCCTGGGGTGATCATCTCAAGCCTACTATTATGCTCAAAGGAGTGGCTTCAACTGACCTTGTGGTTTTAGCATGTTTTTTTATGGTGCGAGCTCGAACAACAACACAATGTTCTTGATCAATCACCCGTATTTGAAGATTGGATTAACGAGACTACACCCGACTCGTCTTTTGAGCTTAGAGGGATGCTTTACAAGCGTTGGTACTATCTTGTTGATGGAATACATCCAGCTTATTCCACAAGTGTCAAGTCGCTCTCGAAACGAATCGATGTCGATAAAATTAAAGTTGTTATTATTAAAATCTTTTTTTATTAATGTAATTTTTGAAAAGTTAATGTACTTTTTTTATTGAATGCAATTTTTTTATTTAATAAATTATTGCAATTTAAATTTAATTAAGTACTAAATTTTAATAATTTACTCTTATAAAATGTGTATTTAAAAATAAAAAAAATAAAGGAGGGTTAAAGTTGACGTTAGCAAGAGAGAAGGTTTAAAACCCAGGTTTGAAGCCACAGGCTTCATTGGTATTTCCACTGCTCTTAGATCCAATATACATAATTTTTTTGCTTGATTTTCGTGTCCAATCAATCGTAGAAGATTATTACAAGACATGGAGAGTATGATTAGCTACATCAGGCAGATTCTATGTCCACTCTCTTTGAGTGGTCACGAAGGACACTGGACACCTACATTGTTCCGTTGGTAAAATTGATAATTCCTATCCCTGATTCCCTATAAACATCCCACCCAATTTGAGCGTAACCTATCCCTCATCCACACCAATTTACTGGATTCAAGTTTAGTTGATCTTATAGTGAAAAAATTTGTTTCAAAGCCAATAATCTTGCGAGGTACAATTGGTGTGAGTGAAGGAAATCCAGAAATATGTTTGGCTTTGAACAGGGTGGGGCTGGGGGGTTTATCGAGGGGTAATGGAGGGTAGAAATTATCAATTTTACGAACAAAACAACCTAGATGTCTGAATTGAGACTGTATCTTCCGTGATATTCAAAGAGAGTGGTCACAAAACTAGCCACAATTGAATGAATGCAAACAAATATTATGTCCATGTTAATTCATTTTTTTAGTGCTATTGGCGTTACTACAATTTGAGTATTCGTTTACACTCTCTTAATTTAATGACATATAGTGAGCACATGCCTTCATTAAGTATCAAACAAGAGTGAGCATCTTATAAGATCTTAATGTATCTAAACATGCAACGAGATTATTCTTACAATTCAAACAGAACTCAGAATATCACTCTTCTGGGGAATTAACCTTATACCTTGTTACAAATGTACCTCTTTTGGAACCAAGGGGGCTCAAAATGCTACTCGTTATTTCTTTCGAAAAAAAGGGAAGAGTAAGCCAAAAATGGGTAAAAAGGACATTAAATTAAATTAACTTTTCCTTCTCGAATAGCGGAGTAAGAAGAGGACAGCAACGGCCAAACTTGTCAAATTTAGCCCGCCAAAAACAACTCCGGTTTGATAATGGCCGCTCCTCCCAACCCNGGCGACCATGAAACGCCATCGATTGTTCCAATTTCCCTTTTCTTCCCCTCTCAAACCCTAAACCTGAAATTCTCTCCTCATTTCGATTCCCCCCATCGCTCTATCTATCTATCTATCGATATACATATACTGCACTTTATCTACAGATTTGGTTAATTGGATTTCGTATTGGGATGATGGAATCCTGGATTTAATTCCGGGGGGATATTTTTTGGGTCACAATTTTTTCTCTCTTCTGTTTTTGGGTTTTAAGGCCATTATTCACTGCCCCAACTGAACTATAGGCGCATTTCTGTGGGATTTGGAGAAATCTATGCATATATTGCAGTGGAAGGAGGGAAAGTGGTGATTGATTTTGGAAGGTTCTGGATACGCGTCGGGGAAGTAACAGCGCCATAAGATGGCGCTGTTCAGACGCTTCTTCTATCGCAAACCGCCCGACCGGCTGCTCGAGATCTCAGACCGGGTTTACGGTTGCTCACTTTATCCTCTGTTGCATTCAATTCTGGTTTTTGTTTTTCTTCTAGTAAATGCATTTTGAAATACTTTTTGTGCTTTGGGATTTCGGGTTGTTGCTAGAGTAGGGCATTGGGTTTGCTTGGCTCAATTTAGTGTTTTTTCGGTTTTGATTCGGACTTGCTGATTGTTGTTGGACCTACATCTAGAAGTAGTTTTTTCCATGCTTCCTATAAAAATGTCGAAACTTTTCATAGACTTTACTACCTCCGTCCCAGAATTCTGTTGATGCTTGACTGAAGCTATTTTCATTTTAATTTATCTGAGAATTCACTTCCGGGTGTTGTTAAAGTAGGGAATTGGGTTTGCTTAGCTCAATTTAGTATGGAAATACTTTTTTTTCATGCATCTTATAAAAATGTAGAAACTTTTCATGGAATCTACCACCCACCTCTGTCCCATTGGGTTTGATTTTTATTTATATGAGAATTCGTGTAAAATTTAAAAAAAGGAATATACTTAAAAAACAACAAAACTATAATATTTTATCAAATGAGTAATGAAAATAAGAAGCGAGAGTGGTCAGTGTTTGACCTTGTGAATAGTGAACAAAACCCTTCTATTTGGGATGGAGGGAGTAATCCAGAGTACTTTCCGGCATCTTTTAGCTGAATGAGGAATGGGTAACTTCAACAATGGGCTGTTCTTGGCTTCTTGCTGCAAATGAACTGTTCTTGGCTTCTTGCTTTAGATTGTGGTAAAGGTGTCTTATGGTCTTATGTATGGGGACATTTAAGGGACAGCTCATATGACGTTTGAATTTCGGGATCTTGGTGGATGATGTTATTTGGGAAATGCTAAAACCACAAAATTAGTTGATATGCATTATTATTTTCTTACATTGGTTTATTTGCAGTGTTTGATTGTTGCTTCTCCACAAATGTGTTGGATGACAATGAGTACAAGACATACTTTGGTGGAATTGTTTCTCAGCTGCACGATTATTATCAGGATGCTTCTTTCATGGTTTTCAACTTCAAAAAACAGAACACGACAAGCCCAATATCCGAAATCATGTCCCGATATGCTATGACTGTCATGGATTATCCTTTGCAACACGAAGGGTACCCAATATTGCCATTGGAGATGATCTACCACTTTCTGCGGTCCAGCGAGAGCTGGCTGTCACTTGAAGGCCAGCAAAATGTGCTTTTGGTTTATTGTGAGAGGGGAGGGTGGCCTTTGTTAGCCTTTATGCTCGCAGGCCTTCTTTTGTACAGAAAACAGTACACCGGCGAGCAGAAGACTCTTGAGATGATATACAAACAAGCCCCAAGAGAGCTTTTTTATCTCTTGTCTCCTTTCAATCCGCAGCCGTCCCAGCTTAGATATCTTCAGTATATCTCCAGGATAGGTTTTGGGTTGGATTGGCCTCCACCATCAGACACATTCTTAGCTTTGGACTGTGTCATACTTAGGTTCCTTCCTTTCTGTAAGAATGGAAGGGGATGTCGCCCGGTAGTTCGTGTTTACGGTCAGGATCCTTCTTTAGTTAAGCCCAATAAGACTTCCATGCTTCTTTCTTCAGCTTCAAAGACAATAAAACAGTACCGGCTCTACCAACAGGTGATTTCATAAGACTCTTGCTGCGTTACGTTCGCCTAATATGATCTAATCTGATTTTTTCTGATTGTAGTTATATTTAAAGCTGTTCTAGATTTGGTCTAATAAAACAACAACAACAACAACAACCCAGTTAAATCCCACAAGAGTAGGGTCTGAGGAGGGTGTGTGTACGCAGACCTTACCCCTACTCGAAAGTAGAGAGGCTGTTTCCAAAAAGACCCCCGGCTCAACGTCGAAAGTTGCATTGCTTGACTAACTGCTACTTCATTGATTAAAGAAGTGCAGACAGTTTAGAGATCCATTTTGATTTATTCCATCACACCCCAAAGCCAAAAAATGGTGAAATTTTGGATCCATCGAAGATGATGGAAAGTAGATTTGGTCTAATCTGATTTGATTTTAATAAGAATAAGTAGTTAGCTGAAAAAATAAGTTGAACGGAGCGCTGCATCTGATGTTTTTTTTATGAATTCAACTCCGAAATGTTCTGATCATCAGTTTTGACTCCAGGAGGAGTGCGAGCTAGTTAAAGTAGACGTTCCTTGTCGTCTCAAGGGAGACATTGTTCTTGAGTGTGTACATGTGGAGGATGATGATGATCATGGTCTAGTAACTGAGGAATTGATGTTCAGAGTCATGTTCCACACGGCTTTCATTCGCTCAAATGCTTTGATACTTACCCGAGATGAAATCGACGCTCTCTGGGATTTGAGGGAGAGATTTTCACCAGAGTTTAGAGTCGAGGTCGGTTTCCTATTCATTCAAACCTTACACGCTCTTGTTTTCCAATGGAAGAGGACTTGAAATATGCTCATTGTTTTTATCAGGTTCTCTTTGCAGATGCCGATGCAGTTCCATCCATTATCACCAGAGAAGAACCATATGTGGATGAGAGTGACACGTCTTCAGCGGCCTCGCCCGAAGAGTTTTTTGAGGCAGAAGAGATATTCAGCAGCATTGTTGATGGACAGGAGGGAAGGGATTTCTCTGATGCTCCTCCCACTGCTGGAGAAGTGGTCTGGAAGGAATTGGAGCATCACTCTTTTGTGGATTGCGCATCTGACGAAGGAAATCAAAGGCACGACAACGATCATGAAATAAAAACCCACACGGTATGCAATGGGAATAAGGAGTTAATCTCCATTAACCACCTTCCTGAAGTTTCGTCAGGTATAGAAGAATCTCAAGACCTGTCTCAGAGTGTTCACGACGAACAAGATGAGCTTGAGAAGAATAAAAATAGAGAAATAAAACCCACTCAGAATTTCGAAAGGCAACGTTCCCTAAAGAAAATCGAAGGTGACAGTAACATGCTGCAGTCTGATAATGTTCTTCTCCCTGATTCCCCAAAGAAACAACCACCAGCAGATGCTTCTACAAAGAAACTGCCAGTAGAAAAGTCATATGCTGAGGACAATAAACAAGATAAGGAAAGAATGTCAACAAAGAAGTTAGAAATGGATGCTGATGGTAAAAACCATAATAGGACACATCCACAAGCCAACTCTGAACCTTCTGCAGATGCGTCTTCAAAGAAAGATCCACTATCACAGTCAAATGATGGAGATAAAGATCAAGATAAAGAAAGAACAACAACACACAATATAGAAATGCAGGCTTACCAGCATAAAATTGATGCTGATAGTGATAATGTACCCCCTGCTTCCCCAAATAAACAGCCGCTAGCCAACTCAGAACCTTTAAAGGTTATTGTCTCTTCTCTGTCACAAGTTGAATGCCAATTCTCGGAAGTGCATCGGCCGCAGCCCCCACCTCCTCCACCTCCTCCTCTGCCACTTCCGTCCGGGTATACCAGCTCTCTAATATCACAAATTCCTTATGAGCAGATATCTTCTCCTTTAGTAGTACCAAGCTCTACTACACCACTTCCCCCACCCCCGCCTCCCCCTCCACCTCATGAAAAACTAAGCTGCCAAGATCTTTTGCAAGGTACTACCCAATCGCTTGCATCACAACCCCTACCTACTTTACACGTTGGTCCACCGCCACCTTCTCCATCATCATGCAGTGATTCTTCATATGCACTTTTTGAGCCACTTCTAACTCATAAACATGGTTGCCCACCTCCACCTCCTCCTTTCCCTCGTCATGCATCTGCTTCATGTGGTGTTTCAACCCCTCACCAGTCTTCAAAACCCCCTCCACCCACCCCAGTTTCTTCACATGGTCTTCAACCTTCTCCATCGCTCCCTCATCTATCGAGTATTCTATTGCCGTTACCACCCCCACCCTCTTCGCATATTTCCTCACTTCCATCTCCTTCAGTTATTGAAATGCCACCTTTACCACAAACACTGATAATATGCACTGCTCCACCCCCACCACCACCACCACCACCTGCACTTATAAAACTATTTCCTTCAAAGGGCGAGGCTCTTCCAACACCACCTATATCATATGGAGTGCGCCCACAACCTCCTCCTCCTCCTCCACCACCACCACCACCTAGTATACGTATTTCTACACAATCAACTCAAAACCTCATAGAAGCACCAAAACCACAACCTCCACATAGTGGACCTGCGATTCCCCCACCCCTTTGGGAAGGTGGAGCATCACTACTCCGATCCGCTACAGGAGTTGGAGCACCCCCTCCACCACCTCCACCTCTTGTAGGAGGTGGGTTACAACCTGTTCTGCATTCCTCAAGTGGCGGACTACCAGTTTCCACACCTTCTCCAATATATGGAAGAACTCCACCTCCTCCACACCCTTCAAGTGGGGGACAAATTCCTTCCTCACTAACTCCAATAGGTGGAGAACCACTTCCCCTACCCCCTCCAGCGATACAATCTCCACCCCCTCCTTCCGGAGCTGGAAGAAAACCTAATACACCTCTTCCAGGTTGTGCTCCAATTGCTCCTCCACCCGTGCCTTGTCTTGGTTCTCATCATCCTACAAGTTCATGTGGACCTCCATCACAACCAAGTGGTCGTGGACCCCCTTCACCACCAGGTTGTCCTATACCTCCTCCACCACCAGGTGGTCCTGTACCTCCTCCTCCACCAAGTGGTCCTGGACCTCCTCCACCACCAGGTTGTCATGTACCTCCTCCACCACCAGGTGGTCCTGTACCTCCTCCACCACCAAGTGGTTCTGGACCTCCTCCACCACCAGGTGGTCGTGGACCTCCTCCACCACCAGGTTGTCCTGTACCTCCACCACCAGGTGGTCCTGTGCCTCCTCCACCACCAAGTGGTCCTGGGCCTCCTCCACCACCAGGTGGTCGTGGACCCCCTCCACCACCAGGTTGTCCTAGACCTCCACCACCACCAGGTGGTTGTGGACCTCCTCCACCACCACGTTGTCCTGGACCTCCACCACCACCAGGTGGTTGTGGACCTCCTCCACCACCACGTTGTCCTGGACCTCCTCCACCACCAGGTGCTCCTGGACCTCCTCTTCCACCAGGGGCTCCAAGACCTCCAGGAGGTGCACCTCTGCCACCAGGGAATGGCCTTCCCGGTGGAAGAGGTCGTGGAGCCGCTGGAAGAGGACTTGCTGGAGCTGTTCGAAGATCGACCTTGAAGCCTTTGCATTGGAGTAAGGTAACCCGAGCACTACAAGGAAGCCTGTGGGAAGAATTGCAGAGACATGGAGAGCCTCAAATGTATTAAGTGCATTCTTCTAAACTTCAATAGTACTTCTCTTCAATACCAGGAAACTGACTTCTTTTTTCAATTCAGTGCACCAGAATTTGATGTGTCAGAAATTGAGACTCTATTTTCTGCAGTAGTCACCAAATCAAATAAAAGTACATCTGGAGATAAACAGAAGTCCGCTGGATCCAAACCTGACAAGGTTCACTTGGTAATGTAATTCAAATTCAGTCCCCAAAGTTATGTAATATTCAGAATGCCTAGGTACTTACAATATGACTCTTCCATTTCATTTTCTTTTTGCATATCTTTGCATGTTTTACTATGAGTGACTTGTTTTTTGTTTTATTTTTCTCTCTTATAAGCATGCCACGGATTTTCCTTTCAGTTGTTGAGCTAGGTATCTCCTGTAATTAGTGCATGATCAATCCGTTGTAGTCTTATACCTATGTGACATTATTTTAATGCGGAGAATATATTCTCTCACGAGGACCATCATCTCTCAATTTAGTATTGGTTTCACTGCATGGGAGAGAGAGAATGTCATTGAATTACATAATTTTACTTTTAGTTTTTATTGAACCTTTGGATATTATGATATTCATATCGGTTTTGGGCCATTTTCTTTATTTATTTTTATATTGTGGAAATTGACTTTTGAGTTTTATTGTTACATTTCACTTTGAATAATCAAAGCAAAGTAAATTTTGTTTTGCATCCCAACAATTTTGCTTTCCACATATTTGGCAAACATGAATCAAGTTATTCCCTCTAACGGGATTTGAGCTAACACGGTTAGTAGGATGCTTACTTGGCAGGTTAAGGGACACATTGGATGCCAAATGGATCCAACGTGGATGCTAGCACAATATTGATACTCATTCTGGCCCTTGTATGTTTAATTGAGTCAAAATAGTTTATATATCCAAAAAACGTGGATTAAATAACTCCCTCATCTATTATATTCTTTTCCTCCACGAAGACACATTTGAATATAGAATACTCCATCCATGCCACTGCATTCGTCCAATTTGACTTTTTTAGTCAAACGGGATGAATTTTAATCATTAATGAAATAAAAAATTCAATTCATATTAAGACAATAAAAAAATTATTTTTTTGCAAGATAAATCTAATGATTTTTTTGTACAAATATGCAATAAAATTTTTATGAAGTTGTCACTTTTTTTAGGTTGTTTCAAGTTTATTAATTATTGGTGGGAGTAATTCTTAACAAAATTTATTTTATTTGCCCATCTAGTGTATTTGTCTAGTTTGACTTTTAAATTCGAATTCGACAAACTTTTATCATCAATTAAATTAAAAATATATTGCATAAAAAATATTCTTGCACAAAAATGTCAAAAAAATCTTTTATTGTATATTTTTATTTAGTTGATGATGAAAGTTCTTCCATTTTGAGTAAAAAAGTCAAAATAAACGAATACACTTACATGAATGGAGTATTCCGTGTTCACATGTATTTTCATTGAGGAAAAGTAAATAATAAATGATGGACTTATTTGATTCACATTTGTCACATATAAGGACTATTTTGACTCAATTAAACATACAAGGGCCAAAGTGAGCATCAATCCTATGTTGGCATTCACGTGGGATTTATTTGGCATCCAATGTGTCCCTTAACATGCCATGTAAGCATCTTAGTAACAGTGTTAACTCAAATTATGTTAGAGGTGCCAAATTGATTCACATTTTCCAATTATGGGGGCTAATTTCACTCAAGAAAATCTACAAGGACTAAAATGACTGACAAATCTACCTAGAGGGACTAAAATGAGTATTTTCTCTATCTATTTGGTTTTCCATCTTTATCATGTGGTAGTTCAATCTGTTAATTTGAGTTGTTTTTCCATTCTTTTTGCAGATTGACTTGAGGAGGGCCAACAATACTGAAATTATGCTCACAAAGGTCAAGATGCCACTTCCTGATATGATGGTATGTTTGTGACTATTTGTCCTACAGATTTGTTTACTCTCTCTATAATGTCATATTTGATAGATTTTTTTTCTGTTGCTTCTGTCTTTCTACGGTGTTATTCACTCTCTTTCTTTACTTAAAGCATGGATGGTTAACAAGATTAATGAAATGTGTTTACTCTAACATGAATAATGAGATCAAAAGAACAATAATGATAATCTACTTATGAAGTAAGTGATTTTCATTACAAAAATTATGCTTCTTAAGTTAATTCCTAATGTCATCTTATACATGTTTGCTTTCTAGATTTCTGCATTTTCAACTGTTTGATTCCATTGCTTGCTTAATTTCAATGACCATTTTTGTCTGACTTGCACAGGCTGCTGCATTGGCAATGGATGAGTCAGTTTTGGATGCTGATCAAGTAGAAAATCTTATAAAATTTTGTCCGACAAAAGAAGAGATTGAACTTCTTAAGGTGAAACAAGCCACTCTGAAGCTTTTTTTTATCTTCTGTGAGCTATTCTATTTTTAACTCTAGTTTTTTATGCTTGTTTTATTGGAATCTATGCTTCCCATCCTCTTACTTCCTTGCTGATTTTTTGCACTTATGGCTACCTAGAATTACACTGGGGACAGGGAGATGCTGGGGAAGTGCGAACAGGTTTGTGACCAGATTATTTAGCACAAATTTTCCTATATATATTTGACTGTGTTGAAATCTGATTATGGATATGAGCATTTTGTGTTCATAAGTTAACCACCAATTTTATGCTTTAGTTCTTCCTGGAACTGATGAAGGTGCCACGTGTGGAGTCAAAATTAAGAGTATTCCTCTTCAAGATTCAATTCAACACACAGGTTTTACAAGTCCATCTTTCCATGTAATTTAGGAAGTCAAGCTTTTCAATATTTTCTAATGCAGGCTCTCCTCTCAGGTATCAGATTTCAGAAGAAGTATGACCATCGTGAACTCTGCTTGTGAAGAGGTACCTTGCTTATGTTGTTGAATGCAGTTCCTTTTTATGCCCCACCTCATATTAATTTATTTTTATTTCTGCAAATAACTTTCACAAGTATCAGGTACGAAGTTCTATGAAATTGAAGGTTATCATGAAAACAATATTAGATCTTGGGAACACATTGAATCGAGGAACAGCCAGAGGTATGAGTAACACTTTTAGATGTACTCATTTTTTTACAGTTACTTAACCATCTTTTTTTTGCGCTTTCCAATCCACACTTTGAATTAAGTTATGTATTTATGTGCCTTAAGGTGCTGCGGTTGGATTTAAGTTGGATAGCCTTTTAAAACTTACCGATACACGTGCTAACAACAGGATGACACTCATGCAATTTCTTTGTAAGGTATTGTTGTGTTCTTAATTTCCAGTATATTGTTTGTGTTATAAATGATAATTCATTTGTTCCTATGCACCTTACTTACAATTTCTCTCTCAATCTATCTTCCTATCAAATAATGAACCCCTTTCGTTTTTGTTATTTCCATCCCCAATTGATTGCACATGATTTTTGCCTTAAAGGGTTAAAATATTCGTTACTAAATCAGGGCAAGATGAAATGTGCAGTGAAAAATATAATCTTTGTCATTAATTTTGAAATTATTGGGGTTAAAAGTGAAAAGTCACTCACTGAGAATAGTTTATTTCTGATAAGTTTAATGCTTAATGTGCTTACTGCATCCGACATTCTTTTGGTTATAATAGGGAAAATTACCTCATAATGGCCAATTGGGAGGGATTTTTTTACATAGATTTTTAATGTTATTTACCCTATCAAAATGTGTGTAGAGATTTATTCAAAACATTAATGCTTGCTGAAATTGTTGTAGGAGAATTGATGCTATCTTTTTAATTTTCATTAACCACTTCATCTTCCATCAGTCTGTAGCTCAAAAGTCACCTGCACTTCTGGACTTTCATGTGGATTTTGTTAGTCTAGAAGCTGCATCAAAGGTTGGTACATTGTCCTATTTCGTTCATCATTATTATGAAGAAAAGGGATATTGGGTGGTGTAATGAAATTCACTGAAATATACCTGCGCTTACAGATACAGTTGAAGGCTTTAGCCGAGGAAATGCAGACCATCACAAAGGGATTGGAAAAAGTAAAGCAGGAACGCACTGCATCTGAGAATGATGGTCCTGTTTCCGAAACATTCCGCAAGGTATCCTGATTTTAGTGATAATTGTACATACGTCAATAATCTCAGGTATATGTACTATGCGCCATCTTCCGACGCAAATGGCCTTGTGTGTTCTGAGAGGAATGATTTTACATATGACCTTAGATAGAAGGGTTTGGAAAGCTAGGACTAGGGTAGTTGGGAAGGCGCTTTGGACTAGGTAACTGCCGTTGTTATGTATGTTGTATGCTTTGTATGCTCTGTGCTTTCTCTCCTTTTATGTGTCTTCTGTGCTCTTATATTGTCTGTGTGCTACTTGAGCTGGGCGTCTCTTAGAAACAGCCTCCCTGCTTTCGAGTAGGGACAAGGTCTACGCACACACACCCTCACCAGACCTTACTTTTGTGGGACCCAACTGGGTTGTTGTTGTTGTTGTTGTAACAACAAAGAGGTTTTTTTCTGTTAGTCCGAATGAAAGAGAGACCGTGATATTTCTTAAACTATGACTATTTAGATATGCATCTGTGTTTCAGCGTTATTGATCGTGATTTGTTTCATCCTTGACCTGCTTGTTAGACACTGAAGGAATTCATTGGAGCCGCTGAAGCAGAAGTGACATCTTTGACAAATTTATATTCTGTAGCGGTACACTTCAATGTTTTTTTTTTTTAATTTTTTATGCGGTTTGACGATCTGAGTTGCTTTTGGAGGTGACCTCTTCTCTCCTCCTGATTCGCAGGGCAGGAATGCAGATGCACTAGCCCTGTATTTCGGCGAGGATCCAGCACGATGCCCATTCGAGCAAGGTAAAACAATCATTCAAATCTTTTACACTAGAGGTTATTGGTGGAAAAGAAAACGAGAAGGCAAAATGTACTAAAAGGAAGGAAAACCAAATTTCTCCCATTTTGGTGAGAAAAATGAGGGAAAACCATTTTTTCCTTTTCCTTCTGAATTCCTTGAACCAAACATAGTGTTAAGGTTTGATGACATTGATGATAAAGTAGAAAATAATCTCTTCCCTTCTCCAACTGAACGAGAAATTTCATGATGCTGTAGTTACATTCAACATCATAAACAATTAAACAAATGTTCTTGATTCAAGTCTCAAGTATTTGTCATTAACAGACTATTTTCACTTTGATCCAACATATAGAGAGGGCACTCTAATTTTATACTCAAGAAAGCACACTATTATCATCCGATCACTGGTAATGGTTCTCTGATTAGCATCATTTGAAAAACAGATTTATGACTTGCCAAAATTTACTCTTACTCCTATTGGAAAGCTTTTTTCTCTAAGTGTTTTCAAATCAAGAAAAGAGTGGTTTCAATTAATTCTACTAGTACAGGTAATTTTTTTTGAATGGTGACGTGACTTCATGCGAGCTTTTGAAGAAGTTGTTCTTCCCCATTACGGGTTACTGCCTCATTCTGTTTGTGGTTTATATTGTACATAAAAATTTTCATGCCTCATAGAATGGTACATCTATATATGATGCTTACATGTTCCATTATCGGTTTCTGATGTAGCTGCTCGTACTAGGTGCTCTGGTTATCTTTTGCTTGATTTGTTATCTTTAAATGATGATTCATGCAGTTGCTACAATCCTTTTGAACTTCACAAGGTTGTTCCAGAAATCCCACGAGGAGAACTTGAAACAGGCCGAACTAGAAAAGAAGAAAGCCCAGAAGGAGGCCGAGGCAGAGGATGCCAAAGGAAGAAACCAGACAGAAGAGCCTCAGACAGATTGAAATCGCTTCAACTATGGATTTTTGAAGCATTTGAAGAAAGAAACTGATCTGGGATGAGCAGTGCCAGCTAGCTCTACACAGGAAGCTGTTGGGTATCCACTATGCGGGCATGTCGTTGGGCCTACCCAATGACTACCGACCCAAAGAAATGACACACCCGAATCCTGACCGGTAGAGATCGGGTACACAAATAAACAGATTGAAACATCACAAATGCGAGCGGGTCGGTCATACATGGCTTTGTGTTGGCTTCTCCATTCAGCAAGCAGCACAGGGGAGTTATTTCCATCAAAACTGTAAACAATGCAAGAAGACCAGAACAGAAAATGAACATTGTGCACAAAGATATGACATTCTTTCATTGTAACATAGGGAAAAAAAAAGAAAATTTGATGGGAACAATCATTCAATTCTTTGTACAAAAGCCAGGATTAGATGAAGATAGGGAGATAGGCTTTGTTAGTGTAACTATGTAAAAGCATAGGTCACAGGTTAGATTCCTCTTCTTTGGTAGGATCAATTTTGTTAATGCTTGGATTATCAAATAAAAAAGAAAAAAGAATGTTAATGATTCTAAGAGTATTGCTGTTGCATTTTTGAACTCTATTAGGCGTGTGTGTGTGTGTGTGTGTATGCAGTTTACCAACACTATGTTTGGTTCAAAGAATTTGAAAAGGAAGAGAAAAGAAGATGATATGGAAAACAGATTTTCTTGTTTGGTTTTTATGAAAAGAACAAAAAAGTAAAAGGAAAAGAGAATGGGAAGACAATGAATTAAGATGGAAAATCAAATTAAAATCAAATTTCTTCCCTTTTGATGAGAAAAGGACGAGAAATTTTTTCTTCTTGTTTCTTTCCTAGTTCAGTATTTCCTTGATTAAAAAACTGTAGGTGTCTATGACAAAGGAAAAAGCGAAATGTCATTGTGGTCTACTCCCTCTATTCTAATTTAATTGTCCGATTCGCTTTTCAAACTTAAAACATATCAGTAAAAAAATATTAAAAATAATATATTTAAAGTATTTTTTTTACACCAATAATTATGGTATAATTTTTATATATTAATTCATTGTATATTTTTGTATATAATTAGTCAAATATTTGACACACAAAGCAAAACCGATAATTAAATAGGAATGGAGGCAGTATAGTGATATAGAAATTGACAAAAGATAAATATCGGAGAAACAAACCTTGTGCAAGAAAATAAAGAGAAGCATCGTGAAGCATTAAAATCTAAATGATCTGAAAAATGGGTTAGTTCTATGAAATGTGAGATGGAATCCTTTCGTGTTAACCATACGTGGAAACTTGTGCCAAAACCTGATAATTGTTCTCTTGTGGACTGTAAGTGGTTGATTAAAGTTAAGCAAGAACCTGAAAATGTTAAGTCTAAGGCTAGACTTGTGGCTAAGGGACTTACTCAAAAGGAGGAATAGATTATGTGGAAATTTTTTCTCGTGCTGTCAAGTTCACCACAATTAGAATCATGTTGTCTTTAGTTGCTCAGTTTAATTGGGAATTAAAATAAATAAATGTTACTACTCCTTTCTTGCATGTTGATCTTGATAAAAATATTTATATGCACCAACCTGAAGGATTTGTTGATCCTAAGTTTCCTAATCATGTGTGCTTGTTGAAAAAGGCTTTGTATGGTTTAAAACAATATCCTAGGCAATGGAACATTAAATTTGATAATTACATGAAAACTTTGGTTTTAAGAGAAGTAATGCTGATCATTGCTTGTATTTTAAGAACACTTTCTCTGTTCCTATTTTTCTTCTCCTTTATGTGGATGATATGCTAATCATTAGTCCTAGCTTAAAGTCTATTGAGCATGTTCAAAATTATATTTGCAAAAATGTTGACATGAAAGATTTAGGAGATGCTAGAAAAACACTTGACATGAATATTGTTAGGGACAGAAAGAAATCTACTCTTGTTTTAAATCAAAATTCCTACATTGATTAGATTTTTAGTAAATTTGCTATGTCTGATGCTAAACCTGTGATATTCCTTTAGCTGCTCACTTTGTGTTGAGTAAGGATATGTGCCCTAAAACTAAAGGTGAAATTAATGAAATGAAAAGTGTGCCTTATTTGAATGCTATTGGTTCTGTAATGTATCTTATGATTAGCACTAGGCCTGATATTGCTTATGTTGTTAGTTGTTTGAGTAGATACATGTCTATTCCTTGTATGGCTCATTGGAATGCTCTAAAATGGCTTTTGAGATACTTTAAATCTACTAGGAATGTTGGTTTAACTTTTTCAAGAAGTGATAAAAGTGTTAAATTGATTGGCTATGTGGATTCTAACTATGCAAACGATAGGGATGATAGAAAATCCACTACTTCCTACGTGTTCACTTTGTGTGGTTCTTGCATTAGTTGGAAGTCTCAACTTCAACACATTGTTGCTTTATCTACTACTGAGGCTGAGTCTGTTACAGCCACATATGCTTTTAAAGAAGCTATTTGGCTTAAAGGTCTTTTATCTGAAATATGCTTGCTTGATAAGAATGTGGTTGTGTTTTCTGATAATCAATCTGCCATTCAACTTTGCAAAAATCTTGTTTTTCATGATAGAACAAAACATATTGATGTTAGATCTCATTTTATTAGAGCCATAATTGAAAAGGGCATTGTCATGCTGGAGAAAATTCCTATGGAGTCTAATCCAGCTGACATGGGTACTAAGTGTTTACCTATTGAAAAATTTACCTTATGTCAAAAGATTTTAAACCTATCTCTGTGATTGTGGGTTGATCTTTTGTTCTTTTTTGTCTTTGTGACTTTTGCTTTTCATTTGTTTTTGAACTCGATGACTAATGGTACAGTTCGACTCTTCGTGAGTTATATTTTGGCATGCTTTGTGACGTTGCGTAGTCTTCGTGACTTGAGAGTACTTTATGAACTCTCCACCACTACGTGTGTTCTCATTTGTTGATTACACATTTAGTGGTTATTGGGCTATGATGAGTCCCGCGGTTCCTTGTCACCTATGTGCACTACTTTGGGCCAAAAGTGGAGATTATTAATTAATTGGCTATTGGCCCAAAATAATTAATAATGCATCCAAACCAACAACCCATGTTACTTAGCCCATCTCTTATTCTTTACCCTAATTAAGCTTTTCTTAATTAGCTCCTAATTTGTACTGTATATTGAGGGTGTCTCCTTGTGTTTTCCACCGTGCAAAAAAGAAAACTCCTCCTCTTTGTGAGTCCTCCGTGAGGTTTTCTCTTCCTCTGTATCTTCATCTCTGTTCTTCTCTGTTTCTTTGTGAGTGGGGTGTGGTTAGGTTGGGTTGATGTGTTTCTCCTTTTGGTATCCTAGTAGTGCACAACTACGGACCGATTTTACGGGTGACCTGAACCTAATTAGAATAAATAAATACACATAACAATTTTTATTAAAATAACTGCTAACTACTAAACCAATTTTTAGGTCGTTACAAGATTCGAGGCAAGCGGGGAAACTCCCTTCGCCCTATGCTACGGATTCGAGGCAAGGGCACCCACAGAAATCTCCATCGCAACCCACCGGGAGGAGGTCTTTGACCCCGAGCGCAATGAGGAAGCCCTGGCAGCCGAGCTCCACCTCGTGCATGAAAGACGAGAAGCGGCATTCATACGGGCAGAGAATTATCGAAGGAAAGTGAAGAGCTACCATGACGGGCGTGTGCACGCGCGTGGATTCATCGAAGGAGATTGGGTGCTGCGCAAGAGAACGGTGAGCCACCCCCTAGGTGGAAAGCTTGCCAAAATTTACAAAGGCCCATACATCATCAAGGAAGTGGTGGGCCCTTCGACGTTCCGCCTGCAAACGCCGAGCGGAGGGGACGTGCGCAGGATATGGAACGCCCAGGGGCGGAGGAGAGGGGGGGCTGCCTGGGCAAGTGCCCCCCGGCGAAGNCCCTTCTCCGATGGTAGGCTTGATGTGCCCCCCCAATTTTTTCCGGCAACAAGCAGGGCGCTGTGTGGCGGCTGTGCTCTGCGAAGAAGAAGCATTTTACGGGAAAAAAAGGAAAGGGAAACGATGACGTAGCTTTTTTTAATGCCTATGTTGTAGGTTTTTTTAAATGCCTAGGAGTCTAGGACTTTGACCAAACACTGCAAACAGTACCCATTCCTTTTTTTTTTGATCTACACGACTACACTTTAAAACAAAAGGTAAACCCAATTAGGGGCAATTACCCAAATCGAGAAGTCTTAAAAAAAGGGGAAACCCATCTTCCCCAATAATGAATTTTTATTTAAGTCTATTAAATATTCAATTACTTTTTTTGTGTTCAATTAATAATATTTTTATTTTATTAACCAAATTGTTATTTTGAAAAAGAACTAACATTTTGTACAATCATAATAATACTCCCTCCGTCTCATTTTAAATTGCCTGTTTGCCTTTTTTCTCCGTCCCAAAATAAGTTGCTTGTTACTTGTTTTCGTAAACTTTTAAAAATAAAATACCTAAACTACCTTAAAATAAGTCACTCTTCTTCACCTTATCTTCTCATTCATCATCACCCCTTCTAAAAAGTAACGGCAATTTCAAAAAATCAACTCTATTTTTTATTTTCCTTAAATATGCCCAAAAATTGAAACATGCATTTTAAATTGGGAGGGAGGGAGTACCATTTATTGTTACATTTTTTGTGAATAATTTGATTCTTTGAAATAAATTTTTTAAATCATTTTATGTTGTTTTATTTTTAAAAAAACTGGGGGCGCTGCCCCCTGGATCCCCGAAGTGTGCCCCCCCAATTGTGACCTCCTAGCTCCGCCACTGGGAACGCCGAGAACTTAGTTAAGTTTTATCAGTAGAACTCTGATGTACACGGGCCCCAAAAAGGGAATCTGTAAACCCTTTTGGTTGAACTCAATGAAATGAAGTTTTTTGCGAACAGAACCTGTTTGGACACTCGCGCTCGACGCTCCTCCTCGGAAGGAAGGCCGAGCGTAGACCATACCCAGATGTTTTTTCCCGGATGAAGGTCAAACACTCGTGCTTGGCGCTCCTGCTCGGAAGGAAAGCCGAGCGCAGACCATACCCGGATGTTTTTTCCCGGATGAAAGTCAAACACTCGTGCTCGGCGCTCCTCCTCGGAAGGAAGGCCGAGCGCAGACCATACCCGGATATTTTTTCCCGGATGAAGGTCAAGCACTCGCGCTCGGCGCTCCTCCTCGGAAGGAAGGCCGAGCGCAGAGCATACCCGGATGTTTTTTCCCGGATGAAGGTCAAACACTCGCGCTCGGCGCTTGTAATACCCCGTATCAAGATGGGAATGAGAAGAGCTCAAAAAAAGGATTGATAGTACTACTCATGCCAACAAGCGTGCTTGATCGGGAGTAATTCTAGGATGGGTGACCCCCTGAGAAGTTTCCTTGGGCGCGCACGAGTGGGGACAAAGTGCGCGGGAAAGACTTGTGTTGGTTTGTGGGGTCAGTCTACAATCCTATGAGCGGACACTTACGGCTAGGGTGGGGGCCGGGGTGTTACAAATGGTATCAGAGCAACTCTGCGACCGTGACGGGCCAAAAGAGCTTAGTTCACCTAGCGGGGAAGATCTATGGGTTCAAAAAAAAAGGATGCAACTAGGACGTTGCATTCCTAAGTGGGGGTGAATGTAATACCCCGTATCAAGATAGGAATGGGAAGAGCTCAAAAAAAGGATTGATAGTACTACTCATACCAACAAGGTGCATCTTCTTTTCGAGAGCTCATCACCTAGAAACTCCAAAGTTAAGCGTGCTTGATCGGGAGTAATTCTAGGATGGGTGACCCCCCTGGGAAGTTTTCTTGGGCGCGCACGAGTGAGGACAAAGTGCGTGGGAAAAACTTGTGTTGGTTTGTGGGGTGGCGGCGCTCCTCCTCGGGAGGAAGGCCGAGCGCAGACCATACCCGGATGTTTTTCCCAGATGAAGGTGTCAAACACGTACTCGCGCTCGGCGCTCCTCCTCGGAAGGAGGGACGAGTGCAGACCATACCCGGATGTGTTTCCCGGATGAAGGTCAAGCACTCGCGCTCGGCGCTCCTCCTTAGAAGGAAGGCCGAGCTCAGGCCATACCCGGATGCCTTTCCCGGATGAAGGTCAAATATTCGCGCTCGAAACTAATGACTAAGGACGAGACTTAAGATCAAATTTAAACTTTATTCATCCCTGAAAAAGGAGCAAGTACACGGCGCTAACGCCTTACAATAATTAAAATATGAAAATAAACTTGAATGCATGCCATAATTCCACCCTCGCTTGCATGGGCACGACGCGGGATAAGACGCTGGTGAAGGAGCCCTCCCAACAAAGAATGGCCAGTGGACTCGCCAATGCTAGGCGAGCCCGGGTCTTCGTTGGAATGGCAAATTGGATGGTGTGACGCCACTAAGCTCTCGCCGGGGCCATCCACCGGAGGAATGGGAGGATGACGCCTTCGGCCTCAACGATCAGGAGCAGCCGGGGGAGCGACGACCTCCTCACGACGAGCGGGCCGGGGAGGAGTTTTGGCCTCCTCCCCCGAGGAGAAGTAGATAAACCCTGGGATTTTCGCAAAGGGGTCCGGGTGCACAGACTCGGACTCGGAATTGGAATCCCACCAGTCCCGCGTGTGGGGCGGAGGAGTTGAGCTCGGCCCGGACTTCGTCGGGATGGCAGGAGAGCCCCCAAGCGAGTAGCTGCAGAGGGAGAGTATTTCTCCCCCATCTCGCTTGAGTCGGGAGGAGTTGGAGCAGAGTGAGACATGGCAAGAATGCTTTGTGCAAATATCGTTATGAAAGCCCCCTTCCTTATATAGGTCATGGGTGAAGGGGGAGAAGGACACGTGGCGAAGCAGGAATGGTTGATTATGGTGGTCAGTAAAAGGTACCATGCCCCGAGGTCGCCTCGAGTAATGAGCCGGTCAGATGAGGTGGGACTGATTGGACCGGCAGGTAAAGGCACGGGGACCAGGGTGGCTGGTACGAGCCCGAGCACGACCACACTGGCACGAGCACGGCCTCGCTAGTATGAGCCCGAGCACGACCTCACTGGTGCGAGCCCGAGCACGGCCTCGCTAAGGCGAGCTCGAACGTTTCAGCGAAACCGACATTTATTCATCAACATTCACTCGAGAAAAAGCATTTAAGGATCAAAGCGAAATGACTAAGGCATCACAAACCATGGAAAGTCAAAGGTAATAGTTGCACAATACATTGTTCAAACACGAAAACATTACATTGAAAAAGAAGAAAGGAGAAAAAGCTAAGGGAGAAGGGGTTCAGCAAGGAGCCAGCCGCGTTCAGTTACCGGCGGTGTCCTCACCACCACCAGCAGCGTCCTCATCCTCGGAGTAGTAGATGGAGGAGTCAAACTCCTTAGGGTCCTCGCACGGCTTCGGGAGTTCCTTGCCCTCTCTGATCCGCTCTAGCAAGACTTCCTGAGCTCGGTGCTGGCCCGGGGAGTAGTTGGCCTGCCCCTCTTTAAGGAGAAGACGCTTGCCTTCGGGAGTTTTAGCCTAGGACTTCAAGAGATCGTCCATGCGGGAGAGAGCCGCCTCCTCGAACGCCGAGGAAGCCTGGAAGGCCTCGATCGCGTGCTTGCTGTCTTCCTCGGTGCGGCGCGCTTTCTCCTCAGCAGCGATGCAAGCCTGCTTCGAAGCCCGAGCCCGCTCCTCCGCCTCGGCGAGCTTCCCCTCTAGGTCGGCCACGTGCCCCTGCAGCCTTTGAAGCTCCTCTTCGCCCTTGACCTTATCCGCCACATACCACTCCCAGCGCTCCACCAGCTCCGGGACGCGCATGGCCGCCTACAACAACGGTGAAATTCTAGTGAAATTTGTTATAATCTATCTAAGTGTCGGGAAGGAAAAGCACCCGGGCTGTAACAAAGAACACTTACCGAGCCCAGTTCGAGCATGAGTGTGGAGGCGAGGTCCTCCGTGGCGGCCGAACAAATCTCGATTCGGTCCGGTGGAGGGATGAAGCTCTGCAGGAAACGGCGAGGCTCGTAGTCCCCGTGCAAGAACGAAGGCTTGGGGGGAAACGCCACTTTCACGAAGGTCGGGTTCCCACAGTCCACTGAGCGCGAAGATGGGGACTTCATCCCGCTCAACGAGGCCGCCTCCCGCGCAGAGCACACGTCCTTGCGTTTCTTGTTCGGCTGGGTGCACTCGGCGGACGGTGTGGGAGTTGGGAGCGGAGGCCGAGCTTGGCTAGACTCCGCGCGCGGCTTAGATTTGAACAGCTTCTTTCGGTCGGCCGCGGAAATCATGATTTCACCTACAAGGAAAATAAGAGATAAGTTCGAATCCCCGGAAGGAATTGCGAGCGGAGCACAAACTCGCTAAGGAAGTGAACGAGGAAAACCTGAGGGGCCCTCCTCGAGCTGACTCTAGACGACCCGGCGCTTGGGCTCGTCCTGGTCATTGAAGATGAACCCGAGCTCGGCGAGAGCCTCGTTACTCACTAAGGCCCCGGGCTCGTAGGGGCCGCCCGAACACAACTTATCCGTGTCAGCAATGGCCTTGGAGGAGGCAAAGTGTTTGGATCACCGACGGAAAGAACTGAGGGGAGCGGCTCAGAAAGGGGAAGCCGACCCCACAGAGACGAAAACGAACTTGGACTTTCAAGTCTTGTTGGATTCCTTCTTGGTCTTAAAGAGTCTCTCTTGCCGCTGACAGAGGGCGGCGAAAGAACCCCCATCCGACCCGGAGGACTTCGCCACTCGGAATAGGGTCAATAGGCGCTCAAGGTCGGCCCGCACGCCCATCTCCCGACAGCGGATCAAGAACCCCGCCAAGTACCGGTGCGAGTTCGACACCAATTGGCACGGGAGGAAGTCAAAGTGCTTGAAAAAGTCGATGACCAGGGACTCGAGGGGGAAGCGGAAGCCGTTCTCAAGAGACTTGAGATGGATGGCGAAGTAACCCGGAGGAGTGTCGAAGACTGATTCCTCCGAGGTAGGGCGACGGACGATGACAAGGGGGCCGGCGTAGCGCACCGCCTTGAGGAACTCGTCACCCGACAAGTCGCACTTGCACTCGCGGATGAGCGAGTCCACGAGCAAGGTGCGCTTCTGGAGGCGGGGCTCAGTTTCCCCGGGCACCTCTACAGCCGCGATCTCATCAATAAATGGGGAACCCGGCTGCTCCGCTTGGTCGTCCTGGTGTACGGAGCCCTGACTCCCGAGCCGGAGCCCATGCTCGGCTTTGGACATACGGAGGGAGGAAGACTCAACAGACATGGAAGGAGCAGAGCAGTGGAACTGACCTCAAATAGACGTCGCCAGAGAAAATCGGGAAGCAGCGAGCGGCGGTGCGGAACGAGGGAGAATGGCCAACCCTAATATTTTCTCTCTCTAGAATGTGTGAGAATGAAGGAAGCCTTGGGGGCTATTTATACTAAAGTTGGGCCTAAGTGATGATGGGCCAAACAGGTGTCATGATGGGCCGCCACTTGGGAGAAACGAGGCGTCACAACCGCTCGTGGGGAACTCCAAACGTCACCACCTGTCCGCCAAGCAACGCGTGGGCCCGTGAGCTGACCATCCACAATGTTTTCTATTCTCACGCGCTCCGCTGCTAGTTGCCACGGAACCCGGAGAGTGGGGGGCTTCTGATGGGGAATAACCCCACGTCAGCCTAGGGCTGACATCAGCATAAATTTCCCTAAGTATCGGGCTTGGACATCTCTGCTCGGTCATCTCTGCTTGCCACCTGAGCTCCGCTCGTCCCTCCTGCTCGGCCCACGAGCTCCGCTCGTCCCTCCTGCTTAGCTCGGCCAACTAAGCCGAGCCCGAACCCCGCGACAACGACGTGCGACAAAGACTTGATGAAAGCGATAGGATGAAAGGGACAGGACCAAGGGCTAGGTGACGTCCGCTAAACGACGAGTTTCGATCAGAGGCTTTGACTTAGTTATTGTACCCCCTATAAAAGGGGTGATACCCCTCATTGTAATGAATCCCGATTTTGAAGTGAATAAACTTCTACTTTGCATTCTCTCTCTCTCTAAAACTTATATTCCCTCCGTCCCAGAGTATTTGTCCACTTTCATTTTTACACACCATCCAATGCACTTCTTTAATCCATTTTATCTTGTAATTTGTATATTAAAAAATTATAGAAATTATACATTAATAATTTATATGTTAAGACATATCAAACAGGATCACACATGACTATATTTAGGCTTACACATTGAGAGAATTTGATAAGTCAAAGTGCTTAGATGAACAGTTTCAAAAGTCAAAAGTGGACAAATATAGCGGGACGGAGGTAGTATTATTTTATATATTCGGTGGTTTATAACCATCAATCATTAAGAAAAAAATTACATGCTAAAAAACTACATCAACAATTCTACAAAATAATAGGTAACAAGAATATTTTATTTTATCAAATAATGAATGAAAATATATACAAAGAATCAAAAGTTATGGAAAAAAGAAAGAAAATAAAATTATACGGAGTACTCCGTAATAACCTAGAGAGTATTATGTGGGTAAAAGTTATCATAGCATCATTACAATTTATCCTCAATTTGTCCCAAATTGAAACGTACTTAAAAAATCAGTTCACCCGGTAAAATACCGTCGGCGCTTCTTCTTCTTCTTCTCCACCTGAGCCGAAGGGGCATTTACTCCCCATGATACTGTCACGACGGTAATAGAACTCCGGCGAAACTCGAGATTGTAGAGAGAGAGAGAGAGAGGGATTTGATACCGTGCTTTCTCCGGCCATCGCGTAAGATGGGCCAAGACGGCATTTTGTCAGCTCAGAAGAGAGCCGGAGCTCTGCCCACCACCGCCGCCGCAGGCGCAGAGGTCGCCGTGAATGGGGACGCTAGAAGCCGAGCTGGAACTCAGGTCCCAAGGGGGCGGCAGATCCAGCGCACCTTCAACAATATCAAGATCACAATCCTTTGCGGCTTCGTCACCATTCTCGTCCTCCGAGGAACAATCGGAGTCAGCAATCTAGCTTCGACGGAGGCTGACCTAGAGAACACGAACCTGATCGACGAGACTAATCGGATCCTGGACGAGATCCGTTCTGATAAGGATCCAGACGACCAGGTGGAAAGCTTCCTCAGCCCGAACGAGACCTACTCGTTTGGTCCCACAATCACTGGATGGGATGAACAACGGAAGGTATGGTTTCAGAGAAATCCCGGATTCCCTAACCTGTTGAATGGAAAACCTCGAGTTTTGCTTGTTACTGGGTCTCCTCCAACCCCGTGTGAAAACCCTGTTGGGGATCATTACTTGTTGAAAGGCCTGAAGAACAAAATTGACTACTGTAGGATACATGGGATTGAGATTGTGTATCATTCAGCTGATATGGATAGGGAAATGACAGGGAACTGGGCCAAACTGCCTCTGATTAGGAGGCTCATCCTTTCTCATCCTGAAGTCGAGTGGGTTTGGTGGATGGACAACGATGCTTTCTTCACTGATATGGGTTTTGAGATCCCGCTGTCCAAATATAATAATCATAACCTTGTTATTCATGGGTACCATGATTTGATCTTCGACCAGAAGTCCTGGACTGCATTGAGTACAGGTAGTTTTCTCATCAGGAATTGCCAGTGGACACTAGATTTTTTGGATGCTTGGGCTCCAATGGGACCTAAAGGGCCTATTCGTGAAGAGGCTGGTAAGATTCTAACTGCAAATCTAAAGGGCAGACCAGCAATTGAAGCCGATGATCAATCTGCCCTGATATATTTGCTTTTGTTGAAGAAAGATCAGTGGATGGACAAAGTGTTTCTTGAGAACTCATATTATTTGCATGGGTACTGGGTAGGATTAGTGGACATGTACGAGGAGGTAATGAATAAGTACCATCCGGGATTTGGTGATGACAGATGGCCATTTGTTACTCATTTTGTTGGGTGCAAGGCCTGCGGGAGCTTTGGAGATTTCCCTGTTGAGAAATGTGTGAAAAGCATGGAAAGAGCTTTCAATTTTGCTGATAATCAAGTTCTTAAGCTGTACGGGTTTAAGCATAGGGGCTTGTTGAGCCCTAACATTAAGAGGATCCGGAATGAAACTACTACTCCGCTGCAAAATGTAGATAAGTATGATTTTCGACATGCAAAACTTGAGAGCTAAGACCACACCATCATCAAGAGCAAAAACCTATAGGTAATGGGGAATTCCTTTTACTTCTGGATATTTGATAGTTGAGGTTATACAAGTCTATATGTATATCTGGGTTTGATTTGTAACTGCAATATATCAGTCTTTAACATACTCTTACCCAAGATAAGGATCACGATTTTTTTTGGGGTCCTAGAATAAGGTTCCTCTTGTCTTTTGAGGAAAAAGTTGAGTGGTTTATATTTTCTCTTTCTTCTAAATACATTTTAGCCACATAATTATAACTTTCAAAATAAGTGTATCAAGTCCAACCGAGAGGCGAGAACCTAATTTGGGGACCAAAGAAGCATGCACTTCATACGTCCCTTTTTATCTTTATATTTTCTTTTTTAGGTCATTAATCTTCTCATATGTCAGGGGACATACTAGTTTTTTCATATCTAATTAAATTTCAACCACACAATTTTTCTTAAACTACGTGCAATGTCAAATGTGGACCATAAAATAGGGACAGAGGGTGTCATATATTATCCTTAAATATGATCACTTGTTTTTACCCCTCCAAAACAAGAGTGATTCAATCCTATAAATAAGAATAAATAATACTTATTTTTTGAAGGTGTGAATGACTCCTATCTAAAAAAATCAATACTTGTCCTAAACAGGAATGCCGTCTATTGGTTACTTGTTTGTCTACTTCGGGAACCATTAACTACATGTTCGATTGGGAATTTTGATTAGTTCTCTATAGCTAAGTTCAACTTGTAGTTTAATTCTTGTAAACAAAACCAAACATACCCAGTATATTCCACTCTAAAGTGAGGTCTAGGGGTAAGATGTACGCATATTGAGAGGATTTTTTTTCAAGAGGACTCACGACAAGCACCGAAAAGACGTGTGTGATATGCCAAGGCATGAAAAAAGTTAAGGAGGACAAAATGCAGATGTCCTCACAACTCATGAAAAATCATAACCCTGTTCATATCCTTTCAAGTAATGTGCCAATATGCAAACATCTTGAGTATGTATTCTCTTAAATGAATTATCTACACTGTATTAATTAAGGGCTGTTTCTTGTTCACATGAATCGATTATTCATCATCTTTTCAGCTATCTTCTTCTTAAACTCTTCTCTACTTTTTTTTTTAAATAAAAACAATTTGGTTTGTCAAATTAATTTCTAGATTTCTTCTCTGCTTCGTTTTTCATCTCCCTGAATCCATAAATTAGTGTAAGAGTACTAGCATTATGCACTTCTTTTATCTACTGATATGCCTGCACCACACCTTACTACTTTTTTTTTGTTGCAATACGGATCCCTTTGGTTCATGTGAAATGATACATTGCATATAACTTTTTGGAGAATGTCCAGTATGTTTATCTTCTAAAGTTGTGCTTATTTATTTTTCCTTTTCTTTATCTGCTTTGCTTTTTGTTTGTTCGAAGTTAGAATAGTAGAAAGGAAATTGCATTTTATCCATGTCATTCATACCCGTATGGAACGAAAAACAAATTTTTTCGTTCCATGGATATTGGTCTTGGATTATGCATGTTTTCTTCTCATATTAGCATCTTGAAATCCTATAACTTCTGAACCCAGCTGTTTCCTTTGCAGTGTATATATATGGCTCTTTTCCACACGTCGTGCCGATCATCAAGACATTTCGGACCCTTTGGCGCGAGGGCCAACTTGTCCTCTTGTTGTTGTACCTGTTCTTGAAACATCCTGATTTATAGTGCAGTTCTCATCCTTTTTTCGTTGTGCCCGGTAGAAGAAGTTTGAGTTCAGCTGCTTTTCTCAGATTCTCTCATCTTCAAAGGAATTTTCCCACTCTCTTATCTTCAAAGGAAGTTGTTCGCACATAATATTGATCATTATCGAAGCTTTTGAATCGAATGGATTACACTTGATCTCGGTTGTTGTCGTTACATTACAAAGAATGTGGTGATTACTTTCATGTTTCGTTCCCATGCGAGGGATGTCGACACCAATGCGAAAATTTTCAATTTCTTGATTTATTTCATTTGCCTAAATCTTCATAGCAGTTTCAAGTTTCTACCCATATTACTTAACTAGCTGGGGACGCACTAATTGCGTTGGTACCCTGTATGGAGCAACAGTTTTTTTTACATCCACAAGAGTGCAAGAGGAGCTTTTCACCGGATCTGATCTGAGTTGCATTTAAAGCTGTTTCCGATCTAGTATCTGTCTGATTTCAATAAAAAGTAGTCTAAGTATTTGCTGCTTAGACATCTAAAATCTGCGGGGAAAAAAAGTTTAAGTGAAATAAGTGAATAAAGAATAAGTTTTTCCCTGCAACTAAACGAGTGCAGGAATAGTTTACATGTACTATATTTTCTTATCTTCTACGTGTTCATTTTATTGAATCTCATATATTTTTTTGTTTATTGCATAAATGAAGAATTCCTTGTTCATTGTTGATATCATTCTCAAGAATAATAGTAGATCGTGTTTTTTTAAATCTATACATTCTCCTCCCAAGTCCCAAATCCCAAATCCCAAAAATATCTCTTCCCTACAAGCTAATCATGTGGTAATATCTAAAAACCAATTTAAGATTTTATTATATCCTATCAAACAAGTTCAAAAAACCTCTTCCATAAACAAATAGTGAGTATTTTTCACATTGAAAGATAATTTTTTTTGACTCTCCACTTGTGTAAGACAAAGCCCTCTAATGTTTTCTAGTAGACCCTGTGATTTCGAGAGCTTATGTAATGAGTGACATCCTACTTTTATGGTGTTGAGAAATTTTATGCTTAGTGTTTTTTTCTATTTGCTTGCAATACTCTCCTTTCGTGGATAAAATGTAAATTATTAATATCCAAGAGTCAATACAATGTACATCCACGAAGTAAACATACAAAGCATCGGGGCATACCCCTATAAATCAAAAGAAAGAATGGCACACACGCCAAAGGCACGCACGCCCAATCAACAAAACATGAGTAAACAAGCACAAGGAAATAAATGTGTATCACATGGATACATAATCACCAGGGCTCGTCCTCGTTATTCTGCATCAGCGTCATCAATGGGTCATCAAAAGGAAAGAAAATCCTCATCAAAACTCCGAAAGTGAGACACCACCGGAGGGCTTTATGAATCATCAAGACATCAAACCAAAAGGGGTCATTTGCGTCATTGTTGCCACTACAACGACAAGTCCTCAACATGTGTAGGCTCATAAAGTTCACCCTCAAGGAATATATGCCGTGACCCAAGTCCACAAGTTCAGCATCGGCCATATTGCCAGAGTAAACTCAGCCATACCTAAACAGAGACGGCAATGGCGGTTGGCCTGTGTAAACTCCAGTAGACCAGGCCTGAAATCATAAAGCACGAGAGAAGCACTCAGTCTGGCATCCTAAATCACACAAGGGGTTATGGGTTCCCAAGAAGTCTCAGCTTTCACACACTAGGGGGTCCAACGTACCCTTCCCTTGACGGTGTTGAACACTGGAGCCTCAGGCTCACAATGGCTTTCCAACAAAGATGTTCGGAATGCAGCGAGAAATGCAGATGGTAAGCCCACCCAAAGGTGTTCAACGACTCCAAACTGGGGGAAGAAGAAGCACGGTTAGTTCAGGGCTAAAAAAGGAGTCCTCAATCACGCACCCACGGAGATGGCCTCAAGCCACTGCCCAATGGCGTTCAAGGCCTAAAACCAGCCCCAAGACCGGTTTAGATCCCAAAACCAAAGCAGCACAGGTTGGTGAAGACAGTCTATCTCAGCCCCAAACCAACCACACAACGGTCTTGTTCTGCCCAAAATCCTTCTCCATCAAACCCAAGCGTACAACCAAGGAACGACGGGTGAGAGGAACATAGACAGTGGTAGACCAAACCACGTCAAAAAAGCCACCAATGGAGTATGCAATTCGAAAATGGCAGCAATGGATAACATGAAGTGCCAACAGCAGCTTTGGGTGGCTGTCCAACGAAGTAGTCTAGCCAAACCCAGTGATGCCACTGCCCAGCCCTGGAGAACAGAAAATCAGGGCCTAAACACCACTGACCAGCTGGTTCAAGCCACAGAAAAACCATTCCAAGTGGCTGGTTGAAACCCATTCCTCTTAACAATACCATAGCAGCTCCATGAACAAAACCAGAGAACCTGGGCAGTCCAAACGAGAGTAGTGCAGGCACAGCAATAAAGAACAAGTTTACAAGGCACAATCATGATTCACAGTCAGTTCGTGGCTCAAATAAGTGCTCATTCAATCAGTATTATCCTGAAAAAGCAAGCAAAACCAGCACAAGGAAGCCAAGACCAGTACAGCAGACCTCCCAGGATAAAGGAATAACATGAACAGTAACTCGAGCATCAAAAATCAATGAGACCAAATCAAGTTGTGTGAATCACAAATCCAACACCAGATGTTGAAAGTCCCTTAAATCACGAGCACAATACCAAAAGATGGGAGAAAAATCAAGCCAAAATCATGGGTAAACCTGGAGTTGAAATCATCGCTGTGAACAGTGACGATGAACCCAAATTTGGCTCAAATCACAAGCTCCTTCAATTGGAATGGAAATCCAATGTAAGGTGTTGAGAGAGCATCCCATGTCGCCCATAATCCCCCAAAAAATCTGCCTTCAAACGAGCTGGAACCGAGGTGAACTCAACCTTCAAATGTCGCGGAATGAACAGTGACTCCGAGGGTTGACCTGCGATTCTTGCCCAATCCAGCTTCCAAAACGTCAAATTGAGCTGAGAAATGAATTGCCCTGCTCAAAACGATCCTAGAGCTCCAAGGATCGCACCAAAAACCCAACAAATTCAAGAGGAAAGCATGGATTTAGCTTCGGCAGTGAACAGTAGCACGAGGTACTGCCCAGCGAAACCAGACCCTAGAGAGAGAAACTCCCGCTTCCATTATTGAGAGCTCTTTTCCAATGCTCTCCTTTCGTGACTTCGGTGTGCTTGGTGATTTATTGCCTTGTAGCTATGCTTTCCTTGTTTTGTTTTGTGTATCTAATTATCTATTGTTGTTTTGTGTATCTATTGTGATCTTTTTATGTGCAGCTTGAACTGGGGGTCTCATAAAATCTTAAAGCAATTCATACTCTTTTTTTTGAACAAATGCACAGGATTTTATTCACCATTTCAAGTGAGTTCGAGTACAACTCTATCAAGACAAACTAAATAAACATTCATCCTTAACTCAGCCACACCCTCTTTAGCTTAGCATTAATATAAATGCGCACATGATCCCTAGTCCAAACACTACAATCTTCAGGGGAAACATCTTGATCTTGCTTAATCTTTAGATTACGGGCTCGATCTCCATATCGCATAACAAATTGCTGCAAAACCAGCTGCCATGTCTCTGCAACCTTCCTTTGATCTGCTTGACTTCGTCCAACAACTCATCATCATTTGTTGCCCTCCATTGGTGTTGTAGCCACTTGCCAATAATAACCTGAATATATTTGGTATAAGAGCATTCATAAAACAAGTGTTGTTTATCCTCAACTCCTCTATCACATAGCACACGGGATGTGTCCATCTCCACAAATTTCTTCAATCTATCTTTAGTAGGAACTCTATTTTTCCAGTCAAACCATTGAAAAAAATGATGTTTAGAAATCGCAAGCTTATTCCAAACCATCTGATGTGTATTCTCCATTACTACACATTCCATCAAATATATTTTTATTATTTAAAAGCTTCCTAAAGTAGTAGCAAATACCTGCTTTTGGTTGCAATCCGTACTTTGCCAACTAGGATTGTTATAGTTTAGGTCTAGATCGGAAGAATAGACCGAACTCCATTAGGTCAGACCGAACCCGAAGAGAGCGCTTCAACACAATCGGAGCTAATTACAGATAGACCTACACATGTGTAGATGTGAGAACATATTCTTAGGGGCTGTTTAGGAATTGGCTTTGTTGGATTTCTTTTTGCTTACATTTTTCTTAGTGTCTTGCTGGTTTTGTTGATTGCTCTTAACTTTGTGAATTTTATTTAATTTACAATCAAAATTTATTTAATTCACACAATGCCAAACACCAACATAAAATACCTTCAAAGACAATATAATCCTTGAATACCTCTGATGCAACATTGTATAATTTATTGTACAAACAAATTACACTAATCACATACAACACAAGACCTTGAAACATTCCCAAGGTTGGCTATGTAAATTACATTTGCTAGGAAAGGTTTAAGGATTTGAATATTCTGTTCCCCCATACTTGTTCTCAAACTATGCACATTGGATTATCAACAGAAACTTCTAGAAACTATTGATTATAGATCAGTGATCAAGAGACATTTGGGATGTGCAGTCCCACTTTTCCCCGGCCCGCCTTGGAGATCTGATCTTCTTTGGATCTTGTCTGAGACAAGATTCAAACAGACCAGTAAGCTCCAAGGGTTCCAAAGATAGATGTTTGCGAATGAAGTTATCTAAGTTGAAGCTACTAGCAGCAGCATCATCTGAAGTACTGCCATTGCTGTGTGATTCTTCACCATGAGAATTGCCATCTGTTGCTGACGCGTTTCTTGAAGAACTCTGACCCAAATTCAAGATTTTCTTTAGACTGCCGATGGCTGGATCAATTATGTGTAGAAATCCCGTAACCATTGACTCGTTATCATCAACAGTACACTGTCAACTCATGGAAATCAGATGTCAGTTCAAAAACTTCCAAGGGAAATTGTTCTTGGTGAGAGATATTGAGAAGGAAAACGAAAAGTGTGGGAGAAAGCAGTTCGTATATGGTGCGTCCAGATGAGCTATAATAAACGTATATCAACCATATGCAAATGAGCATCCTTTTAAAGGGAATATGCATTCAGCATATGCAAGTGAACATTCTTTAGAGGAAAATGAACAGAACAGAAACATGACATCATATTAAAATGGTGATGAGCATAAATTAAAGAAGAATCATCATAAAAAAAACTACAAGATTATAGCTGATGTATGGATATAATTTGCAGAGGCCGGGGAGAAATAGAATGTGTCAAGAACACTGCTGCAAGGGAAACCACCCCATCTAAATGTTATCAATCATGTTATGCTCTAGCGGAAATGTTCATGTACAGTAATTGGCAAGGCGTTCTTCGCATCTGTGCATTATGTTTATATAAACCTATATATCGGATGGCCCTGAAGGGACGACAAATACAACCTACCCAGTAAACTTTGCACAAGTGAGATTTGGTGGGCCCTATGTAGAAGAGATAAAGAAGTTATTTCTCAAAGACTCCCAAAGGGATTATATAAACTTATGTAACCAAATGATTATTGTGCTACATCTGGAATTCAACAACAACCCAGTATAATTCCAACTTTATTAGGGTCTCGGGGTCAAGATGTACGTAGTTACCCCTATTGGGAGTAAAACCAGTGAGATTGTTTCCATTAGACCCTAGATACATTGCTACATTTACTGCCCAAAACTTCATCGAGAGTAAAAAGTAAGGGAAGTTTAATGTGCCATTGTGATTTAGTCCATTATGTGCCTCGAACTAAACATTGTCAATAAAGACTCTTTTAGCTACGGTTACAGCTAGAATTCAAAGATCATATTTTAATGGAATTATCTTCTAATGAAACTTGAATTCAATAACATGCAACATCAATTAAGACCATATGACTCTGGAAAACAGCCGAAAGTTCTAAACACCAATTTAAATGAATGAAATATGATCCTTTAGCAGTAACTATGTCATACACTCATACTCATACCTCTTGAGAATAAAGGTTACGAATTTCATCAGCAAGCACATAATTTCCTAGCTCTTCCTCCAAATTTGCCCATGCCATCCATGTCACAGAACTTTGAGAATTTATTTTCAGAGACGATATAAACAGTTTTCGAGCTGCAGATAAGTTACCAACACTCTGCTCCAAATGACCCCAGGCCTGCAAAAGATGTTAGTAGAGATACTATCAATAGTAGAACCACCACAAATGAATCATCTTTATATGGTCATTCAGGGTGTTTTTATATCTGCTCCCATTTTGGCTAAATCCACTCCATTTATGTTAATTTGACAAGTTTAGCCTTTAAGAATACAAAAAAAAAGGAATTCAGATGCAAGCCAATCTTTAGGGCGAAGTTGTCTAAAAGGTGTGGATTTAGCCAAAATGAGGTTGAATAGAGCAACACCCGTCATTTAGCCATTGGAATGCCCAAACAAATACTAACATGTAAAATACACTCAAGTCATCTAGTTTACATAACACCTTCAGTGCATGCACCATAAAAGGGGATCAATATATTACCACTGATCTACTATTGGAACTCCAAAAGAATGAGAATCCAAATCAACAATGAGCTTACCTGAAGACAGCGACCGGCATTCTCATTTGTTGAATTGATTGATAACACTTTTTGGTATAGTTTCCTTGCAGTGGAAATATTTCCTTCTTTCCACTCCATCCAGCCCCAAGCCTAAGTTGTGCACATTTTAGTCAGTAAGAATACTATTGACACTTGCATTAACTGCTACACTATGCTGTCATGTTGCAGTAAATATGGTGATATGCTAACACTAAAATGAGAGCTCAAAAGATGCAAATTACTTGGAAAACATTTGTTTGAAGATAAATAAGTTGACAGCAAATTTCAAACTTCAATGTGGTTTCATTTTTTTATGTGCAACGGTAAAGGAAGTTATTGGGCCCATAAGAAGACAAACTTAAATCTTCTACAATGATTAAAACATGTTTTAAATAGAGATTAGTGTGTGCTGGTAATCATATATGATCAATTATTTTCTGATTACGCATACATATACTCCATATTTATAATACTACTTGTACACTATATAGTTCTGTTAGTCACCATGGTTTTTCTGATTCCTTGTGTGCCAAACCAATCAAAATTTCACATTTGACATTTCCTCTCATTTGAATTTTTTGACATGGAAAGGCCAAAATACATACTATGTACTTTGTCCGTCCCTAAAAACCTTCCCGTTTTGACTTTTAGGAAAATTAAGGGGGAGATATTTTTGTATTAACTTTTCAAAATTACCCTTGATGTGATGGCTAAAAATAAGATGTGATGGGTAGATTATTCATAAAATAAGTATGATGTGATAGGTAGGTAAGAATTATTAGGGGTAAAAGTGGTTTTTTAATAAAAAGGGGAAAGACTTTTTGGGACAAAGAAAAAAAGAATGGAGAAGGAATTTTTGGGATGGAGAGAGTATTAGGTTGCAGTACTGTAGTCATTGTTTTTCCACCGACCAATAGATTTAGATATACTTCAAGATAAACTCCTTTCGACCCATAATTTTCTTCTTTGTTTGACTTGTCACGACTTTTAATAGTGGAATTTGTGTAGTTGTGGTGGTTTGTGTAGAGGAAAGAGAAATGATAATCACCACTCATCTTTTTCTTTAAAAGGAATGAAAAAGAAAACCTTGAGACAACCTAAATAAGAAAATACGAAGATAATTATGGGACAAGGGAATATAGAAGTTCATTTGTAGTGTTCTAGACTCGGAGAAAATGTTTTCTCATCAGCAGCTAAGAGGCGCTATTTTGTTATGGCACACTCTATGGTGGACCTAAGGTCCACCATGGACCTACATATGACTCAAATAAACAATTTTTTACTACTTAGATGAGCATTTTTAAAAATAATAAAAAATAATATAAAAAAGAGTGTATGTGAGAAGGTCCACAAAAATGATATGCACCTAAGGTGCACCAAAGAAGCACTCTTTTGTTACTACAACTAGCTGAACTGCATCTGGATAAAGAACGAATTCCTGGACACCCACTGACCATTGTCAGTCAACAGCCATGAGTATGGATGATAAAGCCTCAGCAGGAAAAGTCATAGAATTATCCAGAAGAAAAAGAGGTAGAGGCATACATTCCAAACTGCCTGGTGCCTTGGATCTAACTCTGAAGCTCTTTGGAACAACACTCTAGCAACACTTACACTCGAGTGTTTGTATTCTATCAAAGCAAGTGATTGAAGGAGAACTGGATCTCTAGGATTTAATATGTAGCCTATCCGCAAAAGTTTTCGTCCTTGGTCAATATTTCCCAAATTGGCTTCAAAAGCTCCCCATACATGCCACGCAAACCTATTTTTAGGACTAGCTTGGACTGCTTTCTGCATTATGGGAAGATAACTCAAATACATGAAAGAAGGCCAATCAATAAACAGAGAAAATCAATTACTATGAGCCCAATACAAAACAAAACTAGTAATAGGACTATTAACTTTTCAACTTCCTACTGCTCAAAAGAAAGTTGGAAGATTTACACAACTATGCACCTCAAAAAGCTTCCGAGCTTCATGCACATTTTCTGATTGTGCCTCTAGCTGAGCCCAAGCCTAGATAAAGAGAGAGCAGATCTGTCATGTGCACTTCATCAAAATGTTAAGCGTAAATCAATATCTGTGGAAAAACAATTCCAACTGCACTTACAAGCCAGCTAGCACAACTATTTGGGTTACATTTTGTTGCCTTCTTGAATAAATAGCGAGCTTGCTCAAATCTCTTTGCCCTAACTTCAAGCAGTGCTAAGGTTTGGTATATGTACTCATTTCCACCACTATATTTTAGGCATTTTCCAAGAAGATCCATTGCCTTCTTGTCATTTCCTTGTTTGATTTCTAATATTGCCCATCCATGCCATGCTGCAATATGCCTCCTGTCTGCAACTATGGCAGCATCAAATAATTCTCTAGCTCTTCCTATATTGCCCAATCGACATTCCAGAACTGCCCAGCTCTAGTCCAGAATAGAATGTTTTGTGAGCTTCTGATGTAAAACATAACAGTCACAAAGGAAGTATGACATTTTTCGTGAGTTAATTGTAAGCGCCCTAAGTCAAGGGCACTACAAGTCCAGGCACTACCCATAATCATGACTTTGGTTTCACAATTGCACATAGAAGCTGAGGCGAAAATCGAGATATACTAGACATAACATACAGCAAACTAACCTGCCAAATGTATGCATTTTCTCCCTGTGTAGCCTGGCAACCTTTCTCATAAACAGATATGGCTTCACTCACTTTGGATTGTCTGCTAAGCATTTTACCTAAGGCCACATATGGCCTCCCTTCTTCTGGCCAGTAATATATACACTTCAAGCATAAAGAAATGAATGAAATACTAACTAGAAGAGAGAGGATATTATAGCACTAACAGCACCAGAAATTACCTTATGAAGTATATTTTCTGCTTCTGTATACTGGAAATTCCGTGCCAATACTTTTGCTCTGTACAAATACAAGTGCAAATTCACTTTCGGAAGCTTCTCAGCAGGAATTGATTCGCCCTTACCAGGCTCAAAAATTGACATCTTCCGAGCAAATCTCGAAAGCCCAGCATCAATGGAAGATGCCAGAGACGACTGCTCCTCCGCGGGAGTGCTGGTAGCACTAGGCTTATCTGAACTCTGGGTATCGCTTGTGCCTTCATCGTCTCCTTCTACTGAGGTCTCAATTGCTGGCATGCGTAACGCTTCAGAAATGGGATCGTTGCAGAATTGATCTCCGCTGCTGGCCTTTGGGGAAGACGCTGAGGAGGAGGGTTCAGGCTTTTCTAACACGAGCAGCAATGGCGGCGGGATGGATGACTTGTGGGAACGCAAGTGGGGTAAGAGGAGAGAATGGGAAGGGAAGTATAAGGATCTAGAGCAGATATGAAGATGAAATTGCAATTCCCTGGTGTTCCGAGATTGCTGCAGGAGATGGAGCTTGGAATTGGAGCTTGAGAAAGATGATGATGAAGAGCAAAACTGATTCATTTCCGCAGATCTCAAAGATTCTCCCTCTCATATCTATCTCTTCTATTAATCATCTATCATCACAAACTTTGTTAAAATAAAACTTTTTTCTAACTTATTCTTATTATTTTTTTAATAGACTAAATTAAAAATAATTTTAAATATAATTATAATTAGATTTAATCAGAATTTATTTGAATCTGATCAGAAGAAGAGAACAAACACTAAATGTATTTTTTGTTTAGGGTGCTTGTTTGAGAACTACTGCAAGAGTTAGGGCATCAAACTTAAGAAAACTGTTCCAAAGACACCTCAGCTTAATGGAGTTGCGGAAAGAATGAACAGAACTATTGAAGACAGAATCAAATGTATGTTGTTTCATGCTAAGATGCCAAAGTCCTTTTAGGGAAAGGCAATTTTCATTGTAGTTTACTTAATTAACTTTTCCTCTTCAATAGTTCCTTTTGATGGTGATGTTCCTCAGAGAGTTCAGATTGAGAAAGATGTATCCTATAAGCATTTGAGAATCTTTGATTGCAGAACATTTGGTCATGCTCCTATGATATTCAAAGGATGAGTTTGGGTACATGTTACGGGATCCATGTGATAGGAAAGTGGCCAAAAATAGAGATGTAGTTTTCTTTGAAGATCAGATCATTGAAGATTGTGAGAAAAAGCGAACAAATCCTCCTCCATGCATAATAATTGATCCAACACCATCCCTTCCTCGTGTTATAGTGCCTCAAGATTCATCAAGTTCATGGGATAGATATGCACAACCATGTTGATGCCACTCCTAAAAACCTTCCTTGAAACTTTGAGAGGATGATTTTGTGTTAGTCACAAGAGCTAGACACATATGATGAGGCTATGTCGCACGCGCATCGCGAGAAGTGGTATGATGCCATGTAAGATGAGATGACACCCTTGCACGAGAACTACACGTATGTGCTTGTGGAGTTACCTAAGGGAAAGAGCACACTCAAAAATAAGTAGGTATACAGATTGAAGTGTGATGAGAGTAGCTCACAACCAAGGTACAATACAAGATAGGTTGTGAAGGGGTTCAGTCAAAAGAAGGACATAAATTTTGATGAGATATTTTCTCCAATTGTTAAGATTTCCTCTATCGAAATTATACTTGGCTTAGCTGCTAGTATGGAGATTGAGATTGAGTAGTTTGATGTGAAAATAACATTTCTTCAACATGAGCAATGCTAAACCCGTGAGCTCTCCACATGCAAGCCACATGAAGTTAACTATGGACCATTGTCTTTCAAGTGAGAAAAAAAAGAAAGAGATGAATTAGGTGCCTTACGCTTTTGCCGTGGGCAGTTTGATGTATGTCATGGTATGTACAAGACTCAGTATTGCACATTCAATTAGGGTTGTGAGTCGCTACATGTCGAATCTGATTAAAGAGCATTGAGGAGTCGTGAAGTGGATTCTCACGTGAAGTGGATTCTCACATATCTTAAAGACACCTCTAGAGTTTGTTTATGTTTTGATATTGAAAAGCCTGTGTTAGATGAGTACACAGATGCATATATGTATGAGAATGTTGATACTGCAAATTAAAGTCTACCACAGGATATTTGATGGCATTTGCTCGAGCTGTAGTTTCATGGAAATCGAGATTTCAGAAGTGTGTTGCTTTGTCCAATACTGATGCACAGTATATAGCAGTTCTTGAGGCGGGAAAAGAGTTGTTATGGATGAGGAATTTTCTTGAAGAGCTTGGCTTGGGAGTGTTGGGTAACCACACATGGGTAGCAAATCGAGAAACAAAATTTTATATCCAATCGTCGTAACCACCCAAGATCGTCATACAAAAACTATAAATTATTCTAAAGAAGAACAACTTTTCTCGTAAAAAAATAGATCAGATAGTGTAGGTGAGGGATTAGTGCAACGAACGTAGCCACAAAATTATCCAACCTCTAGCGCGTTCACACGAACAAGGAACGATGTTCTAAGAAGAATTTACCATAAATTCTTCCTAGATTATTACTATAATATAAAATATTTTAGGAATTATGAAGAAAAATATCAAGATAGTTTTCTTCTAGGTGTTTCGGCTCTATCTCTCTCTCATTTTCGATCAAACCGCACAAGAATAGTGGAGAGAGGCGTGTGTGGTTGTATATAAGGTAGTGGTGTGGAGAAGGAAACTCATTAATTATTACTTAATTAAATTATGTAACTAATTAAAGAGTTAGAGGTATAATCAAATTCTTCCTCTCTTTATTTTCGGCCCCTACCTAATAAAATATACTCCCTCCGTCCGGAAATATTCTTCCCGTGTTTACTTGGCACGCTTATTAAGGAATAGTAAAAAAATGCAAAATTTTCAAAAATGCACATACTATAAACTTTTAAATCTCCTTTTATTATTAAAAAAGTACTAAAAAAGTAGATTTGTGATACAATAGAAGGGTATTATTGATATTTAGCCTTAAAAAGTATACTAAAAAAGGAAATGGGAAGAATATTTCCGGACGGAGAGAGTAACAATTTATTTTGTTTACTTTAATTATCATATAATTAAAGTAATATATATATATATATATATAGAGAGAGAGAGAGAGAGAGATTGACTCCAGTCAGATGACACCTTATGGTAAGATGACATGCTTCAATCAGATGACACAACACACAACACTGCCAATGGAAAGCTCACAAACTGCCAATGCAAAACTCACCAACTTCTAATGCAAAGCTCACCACTTTTTTTAAATAAAAAAAAGTTAAAAAAATAGCACTACCATTCAACCACCAGTCCACGACGATAGTGGGGGTCATCGGTGGTGGTCATTGGTCATGTGCAGTCAAAGTGTAAAGCTCAACAACGATCAATGCAAAGCTCACCAAGGAACAATGCAAAGCTCACCACTTTTTTTAAAAAAAAAGCTAATAAAATTGCACCACCAGTCAACCACCGGTCCACGGCGGTAGTCTGCAGCGGTTGGAAGTCAGCACCACTGCCCTTTGTTTTTTTTGAAATCATTTTAAACTTTAAAGTGTGGTGAGCTTTGTGCACATATTCGGTGAGCTTTGCAATGAGAGTCAGTGAGCTTAGTTGCTGGGCTTTGTAAGCATTTAACCATCAAATTTTGAAAAAAAAAGGTAAAGTGTTGGAAAATCATGGTGAGCTTTGCATTGGACAGTTGTGAGTTTTGCAGTGATCAGTGGTGAGCTCCAGCGTCATCTGACTGAAACATGTCATCTTACCACAATGTGTCATCTCACCAGAGTCAATCCCATATATATATATATATATGTGTGTGTGTGTGTGTGTGTGTGTGTGTGTGTGTGTGTGTGTGTGTGTGGTTCCCCCCTGTAGAGATGGTCACAGGGTTGATTGGTGAACCACACCACCCGGGTTCGATCCGCAGAAGATGCATATTTGGAGAAATTTTAAAAAGTTAAGCGTGCTGGCATGGGAGTAGCAAAAATGATGGGTGAACCCCCTGGGAAGTAGATTTGGGCTTATGGGGCTGGGCTTTAGATTGGCTTACTTTGGGCTTTCTATAGTGGGCTATCTACCTCGGGTGTTAACGGGCCCCGGGGTAGTCACGAGGTTAACGGGCCTCGGGCCCCCTGCTTTGTAACCGACCGTTCATTATTAAAAAAAATTATATATATATAACACATTACCATGTATACGTATACTAAATTTATATTTTATTTTATATACAAAAATAATATTTGACAAACTTAAATATCACATAATTAAAATGTCAATGTATATATTTTACATGTACATGTACATCACACGTCCCATATAAATATATAATATTAATTTACTTCCTTCCAATTTAATATTCTACTTCGTTCAATTGTTCTATGTTTCTAGATATTCATAACGTTGGCAACAGTAGTATTTGATGGGTAATAACCCATTGATTCCACCCGGTAAGTTCGTACCGACCGGGAGGTATCAAATACAGCGCCCTGTGACTTGGTCAACCCGGGCAGTCTGACTGGTCAGGGGTGAGAGGATTCAGAATCACGGACATGGCTTCATCTGACGAAGGCATGCATGCTGACCGGTTGGAGACTGACCAGCATGAAGACCATAGACGTGTTTGACGTGCTTAGTCATTATTATAAATAGGACTAAAAGCCTCATTTGGGAGGCATGTTTTAATTAATCCATACGGCTTGTACTTTGTAAACGGTCCTACTATCATTAATAACAAACCGGGTTACAGGTGTTCCCACCTATATCCCTTCCGCTTATTTATACTTAATATTTGCATGGTATTTACACCATCAAATTGGCACCAACCGTGGGACCTCTTTACAAAAAGCCATGACAAACAACCAAGAAACCTTTATTTCACAGATCTCCACCCCAGCTGAGAACGTTACGTTACTCCTGGGAGGAAATACCCTACGTTTTGCTGAATGGGTCACCATTCACTGACAAGGTGCATGTGACCCCGTTTCCAAAGAAGGCTAAACTTGAGGTCCCAAAGTTCACCGGCAAAGAGGACCCATAGATCCATATCAAAACTCTCCACCAAAGTGGAAGGATGATGGGACTCACCGGAGATGAGAAGTGTTTATTTTTCTTTCAAACCCTTCGCGGCCGGGCCGCTGAGTGGTTTCACAACCTCCCCTCCGGTGAGATTGACTCTTTTGATGAATTGGGAGAAGTATTTCAAGAGAAATCCAAAGAAAATTGTACCAAGAGGAAAAAACTTACCTACTTGAGTACAGCCGGGCCGAGGGAGCATGAGGATCTGACCAAGTTCCTCACTCGGTGGAAGGATGAAGTTGACAAAGTCGAGGAGATGGACGATAAAACCGCCATGTCCCTCCTGGTCTCCAGACTCCGGTCCGGGGAGTTGTACAAGGAATTCTGTAGAAGGCCTCCTCAATCTAACCAAGAGGCCTACAACACGGCCTGGGACTATGCGAATGCTGAAGCCCAGGTCTCCTCCAAGAGGGAAGCTGAGCAAGGTCCCCATAGGGGAAGGAGTGCGGTAAAGAAGGAAATTGATTTACCCGGTAGGATAAAAACAGAAGTATTGGAGGTGAAATCGGAGAAGATGGAAAGGAAACCAACCGGGGAGAAGCAGTGGACGGAAAAATACTGCTCTTTCCACAAAACTGACACCCATAACACAGCCGAGTGCAAGAGTATTAAGGGGGTGATAAAGCAGATGATTGAGGCCGGGGAGTTAGGCCAGGAGTATTTGGCCTAGGCCCAATAGAAAAAGAACTAATGGGTCCGACCTGAAGGACAAGCGGCTGATCAAAACAAGAAAAAGAAAGCGGCCGGTAAGGAACATGTAAAGATGATCTATGGTGGACCAGAGGGAGGAGATTCTGCTTCTCAAAGGAAGAAGTGGGGGCGTGAACTCTATGTGGGTTCAATTGTCTTTGACCCTCGGCGGAAGCAAACCAGGCGGGAGCCGATCACTCTTACCGACCAGGATCTTCCCAGCACCGGGGAAGACCACAATGATCCTCTAGTCATAACCATGGACATGGGTGGGGTAATGTTTCCCGGTTACTCGTTGAGACCGACAGTAGTGTCAACGTGTTGTACCTGGAGGCCTTTGAAAAACTTAAGCTGTGTCGAACACGGCTTGAGCCATTGAAAACTCCCATGTCCGGGTTCACCGGGGACTCTATAGAAGCTAATGGAACAATCCTCTTGACGGTGGAGCTTGGCACGGGGGACAAGGTCGTGCAAAAACAAATGAGATTCGTAGTGGTAAACATCAAATCTGTTCGCAATGCCATCTTGGGCCGGCCAGGGATCAACAAAGTCCGTGGAATCATCTCCATGGCCCATTTATGCATGAAGTTCTATACCCCGGGAGGTATAGGACAAGTCAGAGGGGACCAGAAGAAGGCCAGTCATGCTACCTCGAAGCCGTGAAGAAAATGACAAAGGCATTTGAGAGAGTTACCTTGGTGTCCTAGGAGGTTGAAAAAGACGAAGACCGGTCAAGGTTGGAACCGGGCGAAGAAACAGAGGAGATTGTTCTCCGGGAGGCATTCCCGGAAAAAATGGCTAGGATTGGACGGGACTTACCGGAAGGACTTCGAGAAGAGATCATCTCAGTCCTCCGGGAGTATGTCGACATATTCGCCTGGAGTGTGGCGGATATGCCAGGCATTGATCGTTCTATTATCTGCCACCGGTTGGCTGTAATAGAAGGTAGCCGGCCTGTGAAACAAAAGAAGAGACACTTAGCAAACGTCCCAAGGGAGTTTGTTAAAAAAGAGGTAAAGAATTTGCTAGCGATCAGACATATCAGGGAGGTCCAATACCTGGCCTGATTAGCTAACGTCGTCTTGGCTCCCAAGGGCGATACTTGGCAACGTTGGCGTATGTGCATGGACTACACAGATCTCAACAAAGCATGCCCCATGAATTCATATCCATTGCCCAGTCCCGAATTCCCGATCAGATGGTCGATGAGGCGGCCGGGTGCGAGCTCCTGAGCTTTATGGACGCCTTCAAAGGCTATCATCAAATCTCCATGGTGAAGGAAGACGAGGAGAAGACCTCTTTCCGCACTCCCGAAGGCACGTAGTGCTATCGGGTGATGGCCTTTGGACTCAAGAACTCGGGTGCTACTTATCAGCGAATGGTAAATCGGTTGTTCAAACCACTGCTCGGTAAGTCCATGGAAGCCTATGTGGATGACATGCTGATAAAGAGCCCAGGAGCAGCGAACCATCCGGCCGACATGAGGCTGTGTTTTGAGATCATGGCCAAATACAACTTGCGCCTCAACCCCAAGAAGTGCGTCTTTGCTGTGAAAACCGGCAAGTTCTTAGGGTTCATGGTCACAAAACGAGGGATTGAGCCCAACCTGGAGAAGATTAAGGCGATAATAGAGATGAGGTCGCCCAGTTCCTTAAAGGACGTCCAGCGACTAACCGGGCGGCTGGCAGCTCTGAGCCGTTTCTTGTCCCGGTCAGCTGAACGAGCCTTACCCTTCTTCAAAGTCCTAAAGAAGGCCAGTACCTTTGAGTGGGATCGGGAGTGTGAAGAGGCCTTTCAACAGCTGAAAGAGTACTTAGTTTCTAACATAGTTTTGTCTAAACCCAAGCCGGGTGAGACTTTGTATTTATATCTGGGCATATCCCAAAATGCTGTAAGTTCTATTTTGATAAGGAATGAAGATGGCCAAAGGCCTATTTACTATGTGAGCAAAGAACTTAACGGGGCAGAAAGCCGGTACACTGCCATTGAAAAAAAAACATATGCACTTTTTATTATGGCAAAAAAACTGGCCGCGTACTTCGAAGCGGTGCAGTAGAAGTACTGACTGACCAGCCACTTGGACCGATCCTCCGCAGCTCAACTTCTTCGGGAAGAATGATCAAGTGGGCGATGATTCTCACCAAGTTCAAAATAGATTACAAACCTCGAACTGCGATAAAGGGTCAGGCCCTAACCGACTTCCTGGTTGAACTGACCAGTCTGGAACCTGAAGCGAGACCATCCTATACGGTCGAACCGTGGTGGGACATGGCCGTTGACGGTGCTTCCGGGCCAAAAGGTTGTAGGGCTGGGATAGTCTTCACTACTCCTGAAGGATTCAAGATTTTCCATGCCCTGGTGTTTAGCTTCAAGCTCACCAACAAGGAAGCGGAGTATGAGGCACTAGCCGGCAGGCTTAGATTGGCCCGAGACTCGGTATTAAAAGAATGAGAATCCAGTCAGATTCAAGCCTGGTTGTTGGACAGGTTAATGGAGAAATGGAGGTCAAAGAAAAACGCCTCGCCTAGTGTAATGATCTAATTTGAGCTCTTTTGAGGGAAATGGAGGAGTTCCTTCTGACCAGGATACCCCGGTCGGAAACATTGATGCTGATATGCTTTCCAAATTGATGCAATCTTGCCCGGAGCATGTATCAAAGTTGGAAAAAATTGAGATACTAGACCTACCAAGCATCGACCGGCTAGAAGTCGCGGCTGTCCAAGAGGACCAAAGCTCGCCGGTCGGGGTGATTGAAGCGTACGAATGCTGGAGGTACGATCTCATGGAATATTTGATGACCGGCCAGAAACCAGACGACGAGGAAAGGGCCAGGAAGGTAGTCTTGCGAGCCCCCTGGTTTCAAGTTTTAGACGGACACTTATACAAACGCACTATCGGAGGACCTTTGCTGCGCTGCCTCACCAACCCGGAGGCAGAACGGGTTATAGCTGAGGTGCACGAGGGTGTCTGCACTGCCCACGAGATGTCCCGTACACTCGCCCAAAGAATACTTCTACTTGGTTATTACTGGCGACCATCGTCCAAGATTGCGAGAGGTATGTTCAAAAGTGTAGGACATGTCAGGTTTTTTACAAACATCCCGGCCGACCGGCTACATATTATCAACAAACCTCAAATGTCATACCCTTTGCCCGGTTTGGGATTGACATCATCGGGGCATTCCCGGTTGTGCAAGGTGGGAAGAAGTTCGTTTTGGTCGCCATAGACTATTTCACCAAGTGGGTTGAAGCAGAAGCAATGGCCACCATAATCGTCCGGCAGTGTGAGAAGTTCGTGTGGAAGAACATCATCACCCGGTTTGGGGCACCAAAGATGATCGTGACGGACAACGACCCGCAGTTTTGCAAACCCCCGGTTCACGGCATACTTGAGCAATTTTGGAATCAAGCATAACAAGGCTTCGGTGGCGTATTCCCAGGAATATGGCCAAGTAGAAAATTCTAACCGGACGATAGTGGATGGCCTGAAGAAAAGGCTAGGCGAAGAAGGGCGCAAATGGCTGGAAGCATTGCCTCATACGATTTGGGCACACTGGGTGACCTCTAGATGAGCGACCGGGGAAACACCATTTGTGCTCACCTATGGATGTGAGGCCCAGATACCAATCGAGGCAGAGTTCCCAACATTTAGAGAAGCCGTGTATCAACCCGGACAAAACGAGGCTGATCACTTGGCCGAATTAAATTTGGTTGAAGAAAGAAGAACGATGGATGCCGTCAGAATGGCCGGGTACCAGCAATCTGTGAAGAGATATCATGATAACCGGGTTGGTCCGCGTTATTTCCAAGTGGACGATGAAGTCTTACGAAGAAGAGATGCAAGTAAGCCGAACGAAAGAGACAAGCTAGTGCGCATTAGGGTTGCCGTCAGAATGGCCGGGTACCAGCAATCTATGAAGAGATATCATGATAACCGGGTTGGTCCGCGTTATTTCCAAGTGCACGATGAAGTCTTACGACGAAGGGATGCAAGTAAGCCGAACGAAGGGCTGTATCGCATCAGGGCGATTATCCGCCCGGGTACTTATCAACTTGAGACCATGGAGGGTGGACGAGTCGACCGGCATTGGAACTCTCACCACCTGCGAAAATTTTATAGATAGGATTTGTAATATGTTCCCTGTCATGAAATAAAACTTGTTCTTTTTCAGAAAGACCGTTTTAAAGGCCGGTCAGGAAATGGTTGCAGACCAATCTGACCGGTCAGATGTTCAATCGAATAAGGCATCCAAAAAAACAAAAAAAAGGAAACCAGCCGGTCTGGTCAAACTATTAATCCGTACTGACACGATATCAAATGACGTAACCAAAAAAGGAGAGCATCCCGGCTTGGTTAGGTCAAGCGGTGAAAACACCAAGGCTTATCTTTGACGCGGGCAGAAAGCCGGTATGAAAGATAAGCCAGTTTCGTTTGCACCCGGGCAGAAAACATCCTTCCCTATCACCTGGTCAGTCTTTCGAAAAGACTTAGGTGAATACGTTAGACCGGGTGGATTGAGCATGGCTGTTTCTAAATAATCTACCCGACAAGAAATTTAGGGGCTGTTTGTTTCAGCCTCTTAATGGTTCAGTTGTCTGAATGATTCAGCGCTTAATGGTTCAGACTGTTTGTTTCAGCCTCTTAATGGTTCAGATGTCTGAATGGTTCAGACATTTGCCTCTGAATGGTTAAGTATTATACAGAGTCTGAATGGTTAAGACCTTTTATCTGAATTGATCAAACATTTGCCTCTGAATAGTTAAGCAATATACTAGCTCTTAATGGTTCAAACCTCTTATTGGTTTAACACTTAATGGTTCAGACCTCTTACTGGTTCAGCACTTACCAATTCTGAAGTTGCCAAACAGCCCTTAAAGTTGAAAAAATCATTTGAAAGGTAAAAGTAGTCGGGTGCATTTATCAAGATTCAAAAGTAAAAATTAATCAAGCACTCGGCACACAATATAGACAATAAGACTTCAATAATATCAAAATGTCTTACAAAGTGCCCGGGGGCAAAACATTACATCAGAAATACCAAGTAGGGATTGATTTAGTGCGTGATTGATTTTAAAATTATTAATTTAAGTTGACATGTTCATGATTTTATTCAATTCACAAATATATTTAAGTTTGTATGTTTATCTTATTATATTTTGGATATATTGATAACTTATTTTCTGTGTAACTATTAAATCTATTTTGTGACTATTCCAAAATCAGTAAATTTTGTGTATAAAAACAGTTTGAAATTTTTAAAAAGTAATTTTTCAAACTCTAACAAAAAATTATATTTAAAAGTTAACAATCAAAATTATATATTTGGGTGAGTTAAAGTGTATAAAAACATAATAGATATAGACGAGTTTGAAATGAGTTCAACCATTTAGTCGAGAAATATTAACAGATCTCCGAAATAAGAAATCTAGAGAGTCAACTATAAGTAGGTCAAAAGAATTTTTTTTCATGTATCAACACATGTATAAAATATATTTACATGTTTTATATATCAATAGTAGCATATCGACTTTAATACATTTTCAAATATATTTTTAATTTCACATTTTTAAAAAATGAAATATAAATTTTGTAGATATATTTTACATAAGAATATACGACTCCGTGTGAAGCACGAATTTATTATTAATTTTAAATTTTTTTAAAAAGGAATATAAAATTCATATATATATATATATATATATATATATATATATTATTTAAAGAGGAAACTTTTATTCATCCAAAGAGGGAAAAAGGAAAGTATTACAGGCCTAGAGAGCTAATAGTTCACTCGGGTATTTTTGAAGGTGTGAATACCAAATCTAAAAACATTGGAATTGTAAAGAAATGTTGTATCCATTTTGTGTGCCCAAAACCAAGTTTGTAGCAAGAGGTTGATGGACGTCATGAGTCTGTCCCGAGAAAAACTTCCAGCTTCAAATCTGATAGAGTTGTAGCTCTTCCATACTGACCAAGTTATCAGTCCTGTGAGGATCATACGAATGTTTCTTTTGATACTGGACTTGTTGGAAGAAAACCACCAGCTTAGCAGGGCTTGATGGAGGGTGAGATCACAAGTGAAGGAGGGGGCTTCAGCTGCATAAGCGTAGGATTTCCACACCTCTGCTACCCTGTTACAATTTATCAGGATGTGGTGCTCATCTACGTTAACCTCATTGCAAAAGGGGCATAGTGCCGGAATGAAGATCTTCAACTTTTGAAGGTGACATGGAAAAAGAACAAGCCTATTTAATCCCCTCCAAAGAAATAAACTAATCTTTCCCATCTGCCTCTTGTCCCAAATGTAGGAGCAGCTGGTTTGCTTTGGCATGTGATCTATTGTGGAAAGATAGGCTTTTTGAAAGCTGTAGGGTCCTTCATTCCAAGTAATTTCATCCTGGGTGATTGTGCAAAAAGGAAGAGTTCTTGGGACAATTTTACATATTGCTTTCCATGTGTAGGAGTCGTAAAGCTGTGGTCTGTATTGGCCATCCCTAAGGTACTTCATCTATATATATATATATATATATATATATATATATATATATATATATACATATATATATATATATATATATATATATATATTTCGTGATAGGTTCTGGTGGTATCACAGACCGTCACGGATCGCGCCCATCCCTATGAAGCACGAATTTATTTTTAATTTCACATTTTATTAAAATGGCATATAAAATTTATAGATATATTTTACGTAAGAATATTACAATTTTATGTGTTCACACACAAGAAATATCAAAAGAATTTTTTCATGTGTACACGCGCATATAAAATATATTTACATGTTTTATATATTGGTAGTGCAGTGTAGCATATCGACTTCAATACATATTCAAATTTATTTTTATTTTTACATTTTTTAGAAATGAAATATAAAATTTATAGATATATTTATCTAAGAATATATGAGCCCGTGCGAAGCACGGGGAAAACACTAGTTATCATAATATTTGACTAAGGACATTTTAGACATAACCTCTATTAATGTAACAACCTCATAATCATAACTTGTAGTTCTAATCTATGCTACCTGAGCGCTAAGTCTATGGACTAAAGCCATGTTTAGAAACACAAGATGTATAAGCAATCTTTAGGGCCTTTTATTCTTGATAAATATTCAGATACCGATTCATACATTGGCCTCTAGGGCTCATATATCCATCAGAACAAGAGAGTTATCTTCTCCATTGTGATTCTTTAAGAGCTTATTCCTTATACTTGGAAAAAAAGTTGGATATTGGAAGAAACTCAAAAAAATTGAAGAAATTGAAAAAAAATATAAAAAACTAAAAAAAACTTAAAAGAAATTGGAAGGAACTTGAACAAACTTAAAAGACTGAAAAAACTAAAAAAAACTAGAACTAATTAGAAAAATCTTGAAAGAACTTCAATAATTTATTTAACTATATTTTTCATATTAAACTTATTATAATTGTTATTGTTGTTGTTCTTATTATTGTTATTATCATCATCATCATCATCATTATTACTATCACAGTACGTAAAGAGAATGAATAAAATCTGACTATGTGAATAGTGTACATGTCATTTAATTAGGGACAGAGAGAGTAGTATAATTATTATTTTTTAGTTTAAAATATATATGTTTTTCCCAAGTCAATTTAGAGTAATAAAATATTTATAATTTTAGGAACATAGGCTAGTGTCATGTAAATTAATAGGAAAAAAAACAGTTTTGTCAATAAAATTGTGCATCGTATTATTTATATAAAATAGAAAGAAATAATAATGAGTGTGAATCACAAAAAAAGACATGAGAAAAAATAAAAATTTAAAATTTAAAATAATTTATAAACTATTGTTATGTAGATAATAATAGTAATAATAATAATAATAATAATACATGAAAAGCATATCAGTTTTAAAGTCATTATTTAGGGAGTAAAAAAAGATTGAAGAAAATTGGAATAGTTGAAAAAACTAGAAAAAACGAGAAAAACTGGATGAGACTTGAAGAAGGTGAAGAAATTAGAAAAACCGAAAACACAAGAAAAAACAGGAAAGATTTCGAAGACACTAAAAGTTAATAGTTTAAACTCTAAAAAACATGCTTTAAGAGGATATACCATTGGATTCGAGAAGCTGTGGTGGACAATACATTTGAGCTTGTGAAGATTCACACATGTGAGAATTGTTCAAATATGTTGACCAAGACTTTGCCAAAGGAGAAGCTCATATTTTTCCGAGAGAATGCCAATTTGATTGCTCACTCCGTGTAAAAGTGAGGGGGTGGTTTGTGAGAAATATTCATCCTACATCGAGGAAGTGTCTAATTTTGTTGAACAACATTTTATATCTCTCATTTTTATTTGGAATGTTTGAACTTGACTTTTAGCCCAAACTTTTTTGTTTTATCTTGGTTCATGTCTCTCCTTTGTATGGCTAACAAATGAGATAAAAAAAAACTACTAGAGTGATAGGGGAGAGTGGCAGAAGCCTACGTGCAGAAACTTGACAGCCTAGTTTTCCATCTAGATTGAAGGTCAAACGAAGTCTGAATGTGCTCAAATTTTAGTATGTTATTCCACACATCCTCCCATTTAAATTTAGCTGTCAGTTTCTTATAGTTTCTTATTTTGATCCCCGAAAGAAAAGATGGTTTTCTTGTTGCGTTTTTAGACTTGCATTTTTGGAGTTTTTACTCTATTTTGGTAAAATTGTTGATTTTTGTTGTGACAACAACGTTCCTTGATCATTGTATTTGCCTCTAGTATTTACTATAAAGAGAGCTTGTTATACTCACTTGATTATTGATGATTAGTGCAAATTTAGGTAACATTATTAAATGGCCTTGTGGTTTTCTCCCTGATTTAGGGTTTCCACATGAATTGTGTGTTCCCTATATATTTACGATGCTATTTATTGTGCTTGTAACTGCTGATTTTTAGAGTCTATTATTTGTTTCTTATTATTCAACTTCATTATTTGGGGAAAAGATTTACCCCGCTTCCATTGTGTTTCGTCCATGTTTCCCTAACAGTATGGAATGGTCAGGTTGATAAAACTAGTGCAAAAATATAATTCTGACAAAGGACTATTTACTTTTCTAACAATGCGTGTAAAATTTAGAAATCTTCTTTTAATAGAAAATTAGGACGATGATTTACCCTACAATAAAGGGTGAAATAAAAAGTAATGCAAGAATTGCACATTCTTTAAATCTCACCATTTTCCAAAATGAAAAAAAATACATCCATTTCAAATTAATTTATCTGTTTACTATTCATAGAGTTAAACGTCATTCACTTTCTATCCCTATTTTCCTTGTTCATTTAAAAAAAATAATAGTCATGCCACCTCTTGTTTCGGAGAAATTTTTAAATATGTAAATTTAAATTTTTTTATTCCACTCCAATTCTCAAATAATTTGTGTTAAAAATAAATTTAGTCGAATATCATAAACCAAATCAAACAATTTAAATTGAGGAGGGAGTATGTGACAGAGAGATTATTATCTATTCTAAATTTATGCACTAATGGTAGTTAGAATTTCCCAACGGCATGAAACAGTAATTTATTTTTATGCTATAATAGTCTAGCACTTCAATATCAGAGGATAGTCAATGACTACAAATGTTTTGCCACATACACACAACAGATGAAAGATTTACAAACTAGTCTCTTGGGGGGCTTGGATCCTCTGTCTCTCCTTCATGTTCCAACTCTCTGTTCCACCATTCACATTGTGCCACATAACCCCCCCCCCCCACACACACACCTCTAAATTCATCTTTGAAGGGTGGTGAGATAGCGTGGCAGAATGTGAATGGTGGGACACAGAGTTGGAACACGGAGGAGGGACAGAGGATCCAGGCCCTATGTTTGGTCTGTACTATCATTCAACCTATGTTCAAATATATATAATACGGAGTAAAACATTACAACAATGGGAACGATAAAAATAATTACCAATCTTTGGAAATAATCCAACTTCAAACAGCTTTCTTTCCATTCCAGTTACCAAACTGCTTCAGAGGAATCCTGAAAGATTTGAAGAATTAGGTATGCAGACAAGTTTGGAACTGAATAAAGGTCACAATTAAGGGAGAGTTCACCAAACTTACATGTTCGAAATAGAAACCCCGCCAACTCACTCACTCTCAGCAAGCAAGACAAACAGTTCGTCATCGGTGATTGCACCCATTTCCATGGTCCTTTCGAGTACACTGAAACCCCCAGCATCTCTAACTGAAGCACGAGCCCCTCTGAATAAAAAGATTCTTGTTCATAAATGTTGATTTCATTGGATTTTTCTTCAATTACGTTCAATGGGCGGCTTTAAGCAAACTACTTATTCAATTAAAACTTCGTATACTTTTGGGGGAAAGACTAAATTAGGAATAAAACATAGGGAAAGATACAAAGTAGGACCTTCATGTTTCTAACTCAAAAATAGTACCTATATTGTCAATAATGCCAACATATAATACCAAAAAACAATAAGGAACGCCAATATACAGTGTCACATTGTCACAGTGCAATAGTCCTATTATGGGGGATAAAAATACTTTTTATATATGTGAAAGAAGAATAGTGTGGTTTTGTAGTATAGCGCCTTAGTAAAAGACATAGATGTGTCCTCATGTTAAAGAAATTGAATTTAATAACACCACAATCAATCTGCAAATAAGACGTTTTCTTGGCAAACTTTGGGCAATGGAGTAATGCCCCGTAGTTCATGGGTCATCACCATTAGGTACCCAATACAAATGTCTGGAGTTTTGAAGCGTAGACTTATATACTAGGAATTAGAAGCCGACATAAACTTATTATCTACCTCAGTTACTAACACCGCAGACTGGGAACAAAACGTCACGGACTATCTCGTGTAAGATCGGATGAAGATCAAACATTATTTGCTGCATATTGAATGTTCATTTGGTGTGGATATATAAGATTTACCTTCTAAGCAAAAATTTGGCTAATTGGTTATTCCCTGTTGAGATGCAATGATGCAGAGCAGTTCTTCCATGCAAGTCACGCCAATTTATGTCCGCACCAAATTGCAGCAGCAGTTCAACAATTGCAGGATTATCAGAGCGGCACGCTAGATGTAATATTGAACACCCTTGAAGACACTGCTTGATATTTTCACAGGCTGCTGGATCATAGCGTTTCTTTTTAGAGTCGTGAAATCCTCTTAGTGATTCCTGCTCAGAAAAAGCATGACATAGTGATGCACCAACCACCTCATCATAAGTGGCATTGATTGTATTTGCATCAGATGCCACGATTATTCGATAGACTTCCCTCAAATTGCCTGCCTTTACTGCATCCCAGATGCTAGTGATAACATCATTCATGTTATATAGTAGAGCTTCTTTATTGATAAACAGCTTTTCAACATACTGAAACCATAAAAGGGAAAATGCTCGAATCAATGTCATTTGAAAAAATCAAGAGTGCATCTAAGTGCACATATCTAAGGCACAGTTGCATGCCCTTTTCCATGTCTTCCTTATCATACAATGCATACTATGAGGAGAAAATAATGTAAATTTGCATGAGAACATGCAAAAAAATGAATCAGTGTTCATCTAAACATGTAAAAAATACTGTCGTGTCATATGAGAACATGCAAATTAGACCGGAACTGAAAAACCTCTGTTGAAATTTCGGTGGGTCGAGTGAACTGGGTGGAGTGTTGGATGAGATTTGACCAATTATACATATAAAGTCCAAATCCACTTTCAATCCAAAAGCTTAAGCTAATGTGTAGTGCTTCACATTTCTTTATATGGTGGTGGTATTTTGAATATACATGCCGATGTGGGACGGTACCACACACACAGCTCCCAACACCCCCCTCAAGCAGTAAATAGCATGGTCTAGTTACTTCGATGAATGAGTCTAGCATCTCAATCACATGTAGCTAGTCTCGTAAATACCAGGATGAATCGAACATCGAACCTGAACCGAACTTGGCTCTGATACCATGTTAAAATTTTGGTGGGTCAAGTGAGCTGGGCGGAGTGTTGGGTGAGATTTGAACAATTGCCTATATAAAGTCCATATCCACTTTCTATCAAAAAACTTAAGCTAATGGGTAGTGCTTCACTTTTTTTTATATGGGGGTAGTATATTTAAGAGTAAATTCCATAATTGGTCCTTTATAACAAGGGGGTTTCCATATTTAGTCCTCTATTATCAAATATTACCCCCGTAGTCCTTTTTTTAAGGGTACCTTTCCACAAATGGTCCTTTTTTTGATCTTCTGCTGTGTTGGTGTTAATTTAAAGGCTAAAAATATAATTTGACGTCAACATTATGTCTAGTGACGTGTTCTGATATTGGTTAAGCGGATAACACAAAAATAATGACTATGATTGTGGGCTAGGATTCTGACGAAAGATCACATTTGTAGACTATAGTTGTCGTAAAAAGTGACTGTAATTCACAAACGACACAAACGGAACAGCCTTTGGAATTGTGTATAACAAAAAAGATATATTATCATTGTGAAATTACACTTTTAGCCCTCAAATTAACACCAACATGATAGAAGATCAAAAAAGGACTATTTGTGGAAAGGTACCCATAAAAGAAGGACCACTTGGGTAATATTTGATAATAGAAGACTAAATAGGGAAACCCCCTGTTATAAAGGACCAATTATAGAATTTACTCTATATTTAATATATTTGCCAATGTGGGACTGTACAACAAACATGGCTCCCAACACTATTGATAGAATTTAGAATGGGGTAGAAATCAATGGACAGGGTCATACGACACTTGGGTTGAACCACATTAAAAGATTGAATCCAATCGATTACTTAGTTCAGCTCAAGAGCTTATATACCGATTTATTTTATCTTCATGTTCCGATGTGGGATAATTTTTAACACTCCCCTTTAAGTGCACAACCAGGCCATTTTGAATCTAACTGGTTGACCACTTGCAAATGGATTTCCACTCCCCTGATTTTTTTTTTTGCGCCAACACCTAAAGGACCACGAGCCGCTGGGTATGAACTTCCAGACGAGCAATCAGATTAAACGAGTCACAGACCATTGGATATGCATTCCACGCGGACAGCGGGCTAAACACTAGGGCCGCTAGGAATGAACGTATAGACGGACACATTGACAAACGAGGTGGACTAAAACTGGCTTTGATACCATGATAAAATTTAGAATGGCTAGGGATCAGTGGACTAGGCCATACGACACTTGGGTTGAACCACATTAAAGGATTGAATCCAATCGATTACTTAGTTCAACTCAAAAGCTTACATACCAATTTATTTTATCTTCAAGTTCAATGTGGGATACTCTTTAACAACTATCAAGGATTCTCAATTTAACTGAAGATGCACAACGAATAAATGGAAACATAAAGATGAAGAAGTATCTACAACAGTAATACACAAATAAATTAGCTATTTAAGGACCATGGACATCAGATATAGAATATCAAGATTCAAGAATGATAATAAGGGAGATGATTTGTACCTTTGACATGATGTACTTCTCTTTTTTCTGAAAAGCATCTAGGGACTTTGGTTTCAAAACATTGCTTTTTATCCTGAATGGGTGATAGTTTTGTCAGTAACAAAGCAGCAAAATGTTATGAACCAATGCAAGAGTACAAGTCCATTATAGTAATAAAATCGAAATATTCCAGAATGAGCCCAAAGGGAAAATTGAGTTATTTTTTGCTCAACTAGGTGTAAGGTAAAAACTAAATGCAGTTTCTGACAAAAAAACGTCAAACACGGATGAGATGACATGCTACGGTCAGATGACGCAGAGCTCACCACTTCTAACTGTAAAGCTCACCCACAGCAGCTGCAAAGCTCACCCACAGCAACTTCAAAGCTCAACAATATTTTTTCACTATGATTTTTTTTTAAATAAAATCTAATGAAGATGTGCAGACTAGAATTTGACCGTTGACCGCCAACCTTGGCCGCCGCCGCCACCTGCCACCTTCCGCTAGTCTCTGCCACCTCCTGCCACCTGCCACCGGTCGCCGCAGCTGACCGGTGGTTGACCGATGTTGTAGTTTTTTTAATTAATTTTTTATTTTTAAAATTTAAAAAAATAGTGAGTTTTGGTGTTCAAAGTGGTGAGATTATCCTCTCTAGCCTATTCAACACTTTCAAACTTTTGAACATATTTGAGAGGATTTCCCTAAGGGTTCATCATATATTATTCAAGGATCTTGAATAGGCTAGAGAGGATAATCTCCTGGCTATCAAATCAGCAAGAAATCTTAACAAATAAATTCATTCCATACTTAACACCTCAAATCCGTAGCTAGCATTCCATCCTGGTGTATAAAGATTGAGTTCAACTGTGTTGTCTTCAATTTTAGTATTGGCAATTCAAGTCCACTCATTTCACCATTGTATTTCATTGTGTTGCTATATTGCCTAACCAAGATGAACCCCATGCTTACTGAAGTCTTGATATTGTTTTGTTTCAATAGATAGTGATTTATTCTTCTTAAATTAAATGACTACTCCCTGTGTCCAATAAATTCCTTGACACTTTTATTTCATGGAACTTACGAAAGTTGTTGAAAAGTAAAAAAGTATGAAGTTAGAATTTGTTTAGAGAGAGAATTGTTGGTACTTGGTAGTCACACATTCATTACCAAAATAGGAAATAAAGTGTTTGATATATTTTGGGAGGTAAGTGTGATTAATGTGATGAAACGAAAGTTGAAGCATAGTCCAAGCTCTAAAAACTTTAACACCTGACCAGAATACGCTATTAAATACTGCTTGATCTTAAGTTATTTGTTTCCAAATTTTTCTTTTGGTAGAAATTGTAGCATTATACATCGCCATAGACGGTTTTGCCGCTACAGCTTTTCAATCATCGTCCTAAGAGTAACGAATCTACAGTTGGAGCTTCTCATGTTGCTAATTGATCGCCGTAAGAGAACGGATCTGCAATTTCTACTGGAGATGAAATTTGTATTGCTTGAGAGGAATCTACATGATTATTTGTACATAAAAAGAGTGATGAATCTGAATCTGAATCTGCAATCTGAATCTGGAGAGGAATCTGCCTTAGAGAATTGCTGCCTCATGCGGAGTAGTTCTCATAGCCAAACAAAAGTGATAATTGTAACAAGGGCATATTTGTAACTTCCTCTTCTATTTGCCTTTTCCTTGGTCTAAGAAGCCAAACTAAAGTGGACGAAAACAACGGGACGGAGGGAGTATTTCTTTATTGTATTAAGAATAAAAAGTAATTTATTCTTACCTATAATCATCTGCGCCGGATCAAATTTCATGGCCATTTTGTTAGTATATGGAACGTGAATTACTTTTTTTATATGTTACCCTTCAAAAAATGAAACACCTTGAAAAATATGTTCATTAATGTGTAGTGAGTTCATAGATAAAGGTAGAGTTGGTACTTCCACTTTCCCTATTTTATCTACATTCTACCTTATTTGTCTGCCTGAAAATTATCGTCTATTTCGTTTTTTGTGGAAATGGTTTTGTGGTTGGTATTTTTTTCATCTTGGTTAAAATCGAACCACAATTTCCACTTTTTAGAAAGTGTGTAAATATTAAGCCAGAAGTTCATTTAGGGGCCCATGAAGTAATATTCAGTAAGCACTTTAAGTAATTTTTAATGTGTGGTTTAGATAGTGGCTGGATAAATAGGATACATAGTAATATGCACATTACTGGAACTATAAGAAATTCAAATGAAGGAAACATACCCATGGTTTGGACGTAAAAGCTTCTCCTCCCAAATAGAGTTGCAATATGAATTACCCAAAGTTTGAAACAAATCCATGACAGTAGGTTCCCAAACTCTGACATCTAAAGTTATGGACCTTACCTGCAGTTAGTACAATATCTTGACAGTTGATACTCCATAAATATTAGAGCAATTTATTCAGATCTACAATTGTTTTTACATTCATACAGATAACATTTCACATATCAGGAAGTGATATGTGTGAGGCTAAGAGGTACTTATCAAGTGGTAATTTATTTAAAGCTAAAATTTATATCTACATTAGAATATCTTGGAATAATAATGTCATACTCCCTCCGTCCCACAAAGAAGTTCATGTTGCGAACTTGACTGAAGTTATTTTACAATTTAATTATATATGGGTATAATATGAAAATCATAACATTTACATATATAAAGGATACATCAAAAGCTTTATAAAACAAGAGGTGCTTGGGTATATTATTTTGACAAATGGTTAACGAAAATAGACAAAGAAAGAAAGATCTAGTTTGTCCTGTGAATGGGAATAGTGCAGGAACAACTTTCAGGGATGAAGAGAGTATACCCAAATTCTAACGTGCTTCGCCAAACTCTAATCACAAGCAACTTTAATGAGCAACCCTTAGAGCATCTTCTTTCATCTCTTCATTCTTTCTGGAACTTTCTAGATCAGTATTGATTTTTCTGAATCGATCTCGAAATTTCTGGATCTATACGGACTAGAAACTAGAACTTTCTGTATCTTTTTGGATGACTGAAAGTATATTGGATTATAAAAATAATACTCCGGCATTCCTTTAGAACTATTTTATAAATCAAACAATGAAAAACTATGACAAATTAGTTGGCATTATTTATTTAATTTTTTAAGAGTTCGAACATTGAATGAAAATTGTTGGTTTTTTTAAGTTTTTAAAAGATGAATTTATGTTCTGTTATAATTTTAAGGGCATAAACAAACCGTTCGAGATTTTAAAAAAAAAGGTTTTTTAATATTGGTGATGATCTTGATGGAATTCTATAGAGTTTAGCTTATCCAAACCATACCAATACGGTACATAGCAATCAAGTTCATAGTCGTTACAAGTATAGGCACAGGATTTATGGCCTTAGTCGAGCATCTCAGGTGCTTTCAACCTCCACCCACCATCATACAGACGAATACGAGAACATCTTCACTGTTCCAAGATACTCCAAATTGGTTTTCATTCAATACCACAGCACGAGCAATCATGTCAAATGGCTAAGGAATTGTGAACAGTTCTATAAACCTTAATGCTTAAATCCTGACATTTTGATGTGCCAAATAAGTCTTTCCATATTGTGTTAAACTCATCATTGCAGGTCTATAATAACCCCACAATCCATGAAACTTCTTTCGACTACATGGAGCGGATTTAAGACTTTCTAAAAACCAGTTGTTAAGAATAATGAGTTTATATTGATTATATAATATTGCCCTCACTTTTACATTTGAACAAATATTATTTTTATTATCTTTTTCTTGTGCATAAACACTTGTTTTACGTTTTGGTAATTGGAGCTTTTGGACTTGAATAAAAATTGTGTGTTTTGAGTGTGAGCCGGTGCGGTGAATACCTCTGACCTGCAATACGAAAAGGTGAAAAATGCTACCCCAGAACAAACCTTGAATTCAGAACGGTTTTAGCAAGAACATGGCTAGCGCGATAAGAAAAATGCAAACCTAATGTCACTAACTCATTACTATCTTACTTAAATTTACACGGACAAGCCTTCTACCGGCACAAATGTGGCATCCCCTTCAAGAACCACAAAATATGTGTTGGGTTCATCAAACAAGAAATCTAAAACTTGTTATCATTGCATGAGCCATGGCCCATGGGCACCTCTTAACCCATTGTCATATTAAACGTCTAGTTGAGTTAGGCGACAAGGTCCCACCAAAACTTTGACCTAGGTTGGTAAAAAAAGGTATACAACTATCGTACTCTTGGTTATAGGTACTAAAAAGGGATAACACCACATGGATAGTGGACAGCAGTTGCTCAAGACACATGAACGGTGACTCCAAGTGGTTTAGCATGCAACAAAAAAAAGAGTCATGATTATGTTACCTTGGGCAACAAAACAATAAGGAAAATGAGACATTCATTAGCCAAAGCAAGTATGCTAAAGAACTCGTAAAGTACAATTTTGGAAGTCCAAAGACTTACTCTACCCCAATAAGTACCTTAGTAAAGCTTCATTAGTGCTCATATTCTCTCAATCATTGAGACTTCTTGCAGTTTTTATTCGTCCACAAAAGGGTCATATTATACTTCAAAAGAATATTGCACTTCATTGCCATCTTTTCGTACTAGTTTTCTCCAAGGTCAATTTTTCATCAAAATAACTTTATAGGGACATTCTATTTCTTTGTCGTCACTACCCTTGATAAGCATGTTAAAAGCACTAACTACTCGTCATGGAGCATCTGTTGGAATGTGGTTCAAGGGTCATGGTAAGTATGAGTACTTGAAAAAAAAGAGGCACTATCAAAGAAAAGAATAATGAGAGAAAACAAGCAATTTTCTCATTTTCATCAAGTATTGAAAAAATGTTAATGAAGGAACGTCTTGAGTTGTAACAAATCTTACAAAAAAGTGTGCTAAAATCCAAACCCAATTCGACAAAACTTGCATCATGTGAATTGATAGTGTACAAGAATATTTTTTCAGTCGAGATTTGTTTCTCATCGAAAACGAACATGCGGTATTAGAGTGAAAATCTCCTAATGAACGAAATGAGTTAAACTATGTGTCTCAAAATATCTTAGCATCATTATGAGATTTCCCCAAGCTCGAACTGAACCATGGAACCGGCTTGATGAACCCTTTTAAGTCTAGTCGCATAGTGAATCCCTTTTTTTACTTAAATTCGTGTACAAAGTTTAGTATTAGTAATAGCCTTAATAGGGCTCTCAAACTAAGATGAGAGGTAACACTAGAGGCACTAAGTACGTAGTCGCTTTGATGAGGTGCGTAGTCCCTTTGATGATTCATTTCACTATGTGAAACTCATTTCTTTATCAACTCATTGAGTTGAACATACTCATTTCGATCAATAAGGAAATTACATAGATACGAATCACGCTAATCTTGACAATTTCTAGTTTTGATTGAAAAAAGCAGATGGCCCAAAGAGCTCCAAATAAATTACCCATTCTTTTACAAAAGGGTAAACCCTAAGCTTGTGACCCTATCCTATATATACTTAGTTGATTTTCATCAACGGTTTTCTTCTTACTCTACATTTGTGTCATAGTTTACAATGTTCATTCCTATGAGCATTGTTGAAGCTTACATATTCTAGGTTGGCATTAGACAATGATGGATGTGATGGATATCCTGCATTCCATTCGCACGTGGGATTTAGTACCACTTCCTCTCGGTAAAACTTAAAACTATTGTTGGTTACATGTGGATTTTTTCTGCCAAAGTTGATGCAAATAGAAAATTTGATCACTTTAAAGTTTAATTGGTTGTAAAAGGGTACACAAAACTCTTTATACAAAACGAAATGAAAACCTTCTCACTAATTGACTAGTGCAACTCAAAACGTTCCTCCATCAACAAGACTAGTTAATGAATATTTGTATTACAAGACTAGAATGAACATTTATCAGCATTTCAATTTGTTAATGAATCAATTTGTTAATCTATATCTTTGTTGATGACTATTAATCAGTTAATGAATGTTTATCAGTAGAATGAATCTTTATCAGCATTTCAATTTGTTAACATATATATTCATAAAACAATACTCCCTCCGTCCCAAAATGTTAAACCTCAACGAAAAAATCAAGCCAAGCTTTCACTGTTAATTTTTCTTAAAATACATGGTCAAAAAATCATAATATTTACAAATTCTGAAACTATTATCATCACAAATGTGATAATATAAATATTACTCCCTATGTCCCTAAAAGATTGCCAGAGTTTGACTTTTTTGGTCAAATTATGGCACCCTTTGACCAAGAATTAAATATAGTTTAAAATAATTAATATTATAAAAATTTGATATTGCAAAACTATATTTTAAAATAAACCCAATTTTACCAAATTTACATTAAAACTAAATATTTTTTCCCCAAAAATCACGGTCAAAGGGTGCCACAGTTTGACCAAAAAAGTCAAATGATGGTAATCGTTGGTAATCGTTTAGGGACGGAGGGAGTATATTTTTGACTTTTACTAAATGAGACATTAATGGTCAAAGTTTGGCACAAATTCCCAAAATCACCTTCATTTTGGGATTGAAGGAGTATTGAGGAATCTAATATTCAAATATCTGTGTTAGAATACTTTATCTTACACCTTTTGTGAATCAATATATTCATGTTCTTAAACACAACATAAATCAAGAAAGAGTTAATCAAATAAGACCGTGATATAAATCAAGGCTAGAATTGGAAGTGTGATGTCTCAGCATTTTATTTTCAACTAATCTTGTACCCCGTAGTATAATTTCCCTTGACATACATCATCTACATACCATCATGGAATAAAGGGCTATAGCAACCTCCTTTAGCTGCATTTTGAACTAAAGAGGATTGATTCGGAAAAATAGTAAAACATGTACCTTAGAGATATGAACACCAAGATTTCTATGAATGCCAGAGCATTCTATGCACACCAAAATCCCAAGATTAAGAGAAGCCCAATCAGCTTCAGAAGCCCCACATTCTGCACACTTGTCATTCCCTGGAATTTCTCTAAGAATTTTAGAGACAGACTCAACTTGACCAGTTGGCACACTCGGCAATTGTCTAGCAATGTTGTCAAGTGAAATGTCATCAATGCAAGCACCAGAACTGGCAGTACCACTCTTCACAATAGTTTTGCCAACATCTAGCTGCAGCATAAGAAAATGAGTTTAACAAAAGTTAGCAGATAAGTGTTTTGTACGAAGAGAAGAGCTTTTCAAGGAATCAACCCCATGCAAATGAGAATTTAAGAGGGAAGCAATGACTCCAGTTATTTTATTCATCCAGTCAATTCTATCAGCTTCATTTTCAGCCTGCCAAAAACATGGAAGTTCTAATTACATCAAAGTATATAGGAAACACAACAAAAGTGACATCTGAAATGAATTTAGCAAATTAAAAAATACCATATTGCTAATTGTTATAAGCTCAAACGCATTTNATACAGATGATATGCACCAAACTTGTTGCACAGATACCCAACCCTAAGACCTTTAAATCACTTATTCAAAATGTTTAGTTAAAAATTTTGGTGAGACTGCATCAAACTGTAATATGTTGGCTATAATTAAGTGACAATCATGTTCTATACATTTCGTCCTATCACAAAATACTGGATTTGATGCAATGTGCATCGATGTTGATTGCCACAAACCAATTGCATTTGAGTAACATCACAATATTTTAATTGATGAAGTTGATATTTCAACCAAATTAGCTTGTGTGTTAAAGCCAAGGCACGATACTCAACTTCAGCACTTGACAAACCCACATCTTGCTTCTTACGTTTTGAATTAACAAGATTTGCTCCGACAAACAAACCAATTGCATAAGACATTTAAAAAATTCAAGCCTTGGGGTGTTACCCTGCTCTGTGAAGGACGAGCAGACCTTTATCTTTGCATGAACCCAAAAACAAAGGGATCCAGTTCTCTCACTTGGTTTCATCTATTTATTCAAATGCATCATGGTGGTATTGTGTAAGTACAATAAATAATGTTTTCTCTTAACAATGTTGTTAACAATAACACCACCAATATTAAGAATGATAGCAATAATAATTGTTAGAGTCCCACATTAAGATATTTAAGAGAGAATGAAGGAGGTTGATAAGATTTTGTGTTGAACTAGTTGACCGGTTGGATTCAATATTGGATTGAAGCGCTTTATGATCCTGTGGAGTGAATCCAACCAAATTTGAAACCCCAACAGAGACGGCTAGATGGCTGTAAATTAATTAGTCAGGGATCCCACTCTGGTGACAGAGGAAATGCTAATGGAACTACACTTTTTTCGGAGTGCTAATGTACTTTTTCCTTTTTGGGAGCATTCACATAAGATCCTAGGTAATGATATGAATTTTTCTAATAATAATAATATTATTATTAGGAGCAATATAATAATCATAACAAGAATAAAAATGCTTTTATTTTCCACCTGCAATGTGTAAGTTTTTGATGGTGAAATTATTCTGAAGCATAGCCGCAAATCTGTATCTTCGGCATCAACTTTTATTATTGAAGTACGAAGATCAACAGCATGAAAGCCCAAACTTTCTTCTCCATGAGAAGACGACTTTTGATACCTTGCTCTAAATCTACTAAATACCTTGTTGTGATCCACACCTGGTGGTGGAGATCCCTGCGAGAAAAGCCATAATGTAAAGTTCAAAAGATAATCAAGTTTAATGTGCACAGCATGCATTGGCACTATAGGAATGATGAAGAGATCATCATAGCCATCACAGAAGACGTTAGTAGTGCAAACAAATATAAAATTTCCTAAAGAACATTACATCTTGAGCAGCATCAATGATGTTGCAAGTTAGGGTTTTGATTAACTAAAGATTTGTCAAAATTGTGAAACAAAAGATACAAGGAAGCATAACTAAAAGGATTTTCATAGGAAGATTTCTTCAAACAAGTCAACAGAGAATCGTCCATTTTAACTATATAAATAATAAACGGGCCGGTTCTATGGACATAGTTTTTTAGTGGCCACGGAAGCCACTATTCTGATTTGGATACTTACGGTGCTCCGTTCGTAAAATTGATGATTCCTACCCCCCCTAACCCCTATGATAACCCCCCCCCCCAATCCCGACCCCAACCCATCCCCCCGACCCCAACCCATCCCCCCACCCATGTCAATTCCACCCCGCAACTTTAGTTGATTTTAAAGTAAAAAATTGACTTTAAAGTCAACTAAACCTGCGGGATGCAATTGACATGGGTGGGGGGATGGGTTAGGGTCGGGACTGGGCGGGGGGTTTACCTGGGAGGTTAGGAGAGGTAGGAAACTAGGAATCATCAATTTTACGAACGGGGCATCGAAGAGTGGCAGTAGCTTTCGTGGCCACTCAAAATGAGTGGCCATTGAACCTAGCCGAATAATAAATGCATCTTTATAAGTGTTTTTTAAACAAAAAACAGAATCGGGATTTCATAATATCACTAATGGTCAGGAGTACAGACTGATTCAGGTAGGTATTCAAAATTATGAATGGATTTTTAGATGTGGAGGATTTTATTCAAAAGTATAAAGACACCTCATATGAAAGTCAACAGAAAATAGTTCATTCTGCCAATAAAAACATCACTAAATACCCTATGTGTTCCAAAAAAAAGATTCTGGTCTGAAAATTTACTTGTCACAAATATGAGTCCTATTTGAACTACAAAAACTTAACTTTGGTCATATTTATTGTTATTTTATAAATAAAAAATGTCCCAAACAAGTTGAATGTGTTAAATTTAGTTAAACCATCAAATAAATTTTAAAATACAAGAAACTTCATTGTTTTCAACCTTACAAAAATAAAAAAAAAGAACACATATGAAACATGATTCTTTTTATGAAGTGGGGGGAGAAAAAAGTTTTTAGTTAACCAGAATCATGATTTGATAATATCACTAATGATCACGAGCATTCGACTAATCATGAATTTAATAGATGCGGGAAATATACTTTAAGTGCAAAAGGTCAGACTCAATGCCAGAGTCAACCATTGACCATTATACTTTGAAGGTATATCATTTTCAAAATAGATACACTTTCCCTTACTCCTTGCACTAATTTCTATTTTGGGGTGATCACATAACATCTAGGCATAATTTACCACTTTATTGATGTCACATTGTATGCATATATTATACAACTGCCATTCAACAAATTGAGAAAATAGTATGGTAAAATGAATATTAGTTTGAAAATTAATCAAATGACAAATTATTATTATTATTATTATTATATATAAATATATATAAGTGCTCCCCTTTCTTTGTTTTCTTAAATTTTTGGATTGACCCAAGGGATATTAGGGAGGGGGAGAGTAGGGGGGAAGGAATCGATCCTCCGTGAGAAGGGAGAAATGTTGATGCTCCAACCAATTTACCACACCCTCCCCTTTCTTTTGCAATCAAAAGAAAATTGAAGACTAGATACTATGTTTCTGATGGCCTGCATTCCTTCCTCAAGGAAAATAGAGATGGTCGTAGCTTCTGAATGGTGGTAAGCAAAAGGACAGAATGCAACACTATATATAATATGTCTACATCACTAATATGACAACCACATCAAAACTATGATTCATATGGAACACCCTCTTCTATGAAAAGAAATGTTATAATTGATTAGGTGGTATAAGACTTCGTGAGAAACTAGAAGTACATATTTAGTCATCAAACAAGATAGCGAAGAGACAAAATTACTTTACCCCTGGTTTGGGACCCTTGTGCCTATAATAGTATAAGTTGCCAAGACTGTCGAGAACAAAAAATCTCCTCTTCCAATCAGCCTTCGAACTTGTAGATCTTTTCAAAATATATCCCTGCTTGATTGTTTGGACCTGGAGGTATAGAGCACATTGGCATTTGAAAGTAAATTACCAGAGTTCAAAGTCTAGCAAATACACCATATGGAGGAAAATAAATATAACTTAGATGGGGTAGAGACTAATTTCACAACTATCTTTATATAGACGGTTATCTAAAATTAGATTATTTCCAAGTAGAATGATATTTTTAGCAGTCATTTTGGTGAAGAATAATAAATATACAAAAAGGCAACACTTTTATAGGCACTACTTACTTCACCATTTGCACTGGACTGCATAATTGCTTCTATATTTTTGTTTGAACTCATACCAACCCCATTAGCGCGAAAATTACTTGCTTGAGTACTAATGTTACTAGATGCCTGCATAAGATCTAGCTCTGCCTGTGTCCTGAATTCCTGAATCCTTCTGGCAAGCCTGTCTTGTTCGATATTCGTCTGTTCTTTTGACTGTTGGGCATATGTCAAAACCTAATTATGAAAACAAAATAGTAAAGCACACATAAAATGATATATTTAAGCTTGGGTTTGGAAAGGGAGGGGAGTGGACTGGTCGAGTATATGGAGGAGGATGAAGGGTTGATTTTTAAGATGGTTTAAAAGCATAAGAATAGGGGAGAAAAAAGGGGGATACTGGTTGTGCTTTTTAGGAGGGTCAAAATTTTGGAAGGGAAAATAAGAGGGGAAAGGGATAAAAAACCAAGTAGGTTTTAAGAGATATAACACACTCTTGTCCTCACTTGGGGTTTGAATCTAGAATTTAATTAAGATATTACACACTCAATTAAATAACTAGAACCTAACACTCACACTTAAGGAAACCAACCTTAAGATATAGAAATTAGGATTTGAAAACAGAATACAACCAGTGTATTTCTATTTTGAAATGAAGAATAAAAATCTGAGCATTACAATAGGCCTATGGCCGAAATTTAAAGGCACTCATACAAAGGAAAATACTAAGCCATTTCTTCCACAAATCCTAGAAAATGCAGTCATGTGCTTGAGTCCTTTCATGGAA